CTCCCTGCTCTGCTGTGAGTAAGTCTAGGCCTCGTCTATTCTGGAGGATTACCTCCGCTAGGGAGTCTAGTTGGTCTTGAATGTCAGTAATAGTACTGGATAAGGCTTGGACATCATCGACAAGTTTTTTGGAAAGTTTTGTATAGGAGTGAACTGCAACTCCTAATCCTGCAGTTCCAGTAGCCACCGCTCCAGAAACTCCTAGACCAACAAGCAGGGGAATAATAGCTAAGGCTCTTTTGTGTCATCCTGCGAAGTGGTCAAAAGCAGGAACGGGGACGGGTTCATCCCCTGGGATAATGTCTATGTCAGGTAGTAAGGCAGCTAGGGCACATAGCCCTGTCCAATTGGCGGGCAGGGCGGTGAAAGCTAGATTATTACCACAAACGAATGCTCGTCCTGGACCAGGGCAGAGGGATGTGCTGTAATTAAGCATGTGGCTACAATTGGTAAAGCTAGCGAAACCTACAGAAATATCAAAAGAATTATTTTGTAATTTTTTATAGATACAGGGGGAGGAGTAAAAAAGCATAGGCTGAACTCTAAAGGGTATGCTGAGGGTGCAATTTTGTTCGGTGATATTCAGGGTTGATATGTTGGTGGGGACAGCTAGAGGCATGGGGGTGCCTTGGCTTAAGCATAACCAGCAATCTTGGGCTAGTGTAGGGTTGGAAATATTTAGTGCCCAATGGGTGGCTGTCAAAATGTCTGTCGTTTGGGTATCTAGATCTATTCCTCGCGACTTGGGAAGAGCCAGAGGGTGATGGGTGAGTTTAGGGAATTGATTTTCAATGAGCTGTTCTATTTGGTTCTGGACGGTGAGTTCTCTTATGATATCTTGAGGCCCACCTCCATCAGAAGTGTGAATAGGAGGAGTTTGTTCCCAGCATACTGACTGTCCTACAGTGCCTTGGCAGCTGGCTTGTAAGTACTTGGTGGAACTAAGGCCAATGACTGATGAGCTTTCTCCCCAGTTTCCTACGTTGGCAGCATTTTTTGTTTTCTGGAGTATGGCAGTAAAATATGCCTTATTGCCAAGGGTACACTCTTGAACATTATTGTAGCAAGAAGAGTGCATTGTTGAATAAAAGGAGGTGCATGGGCATGGTCCTGGCTTTCCATTAATGGCAGGTATGATAGGAGGCTTAGGTACGCAGGACCATTTGGGTTTGGACATCCCCCCTGTTGCTGTGGGTGAATAAGCTAGGTAAGCTGTTTTTGTGTTGCAGTCTACTACCTGAGTATAAGACGAGGGGACGGCATGATCGGTAGTAGTTCCTCCACGGCATTCACACGGTGGCCCAAAGAGGGCGTGGTAAATGTTGCCAGGCGGCGCTTGAAACCCTCCATATACTCTTAGATGTAAGAGTGCTTGTAGTAACAGGAAGAAGAGCCATTGGGAGAACATGTTTTGCCTGAAATAGAAAGAAGAGAAAATCTCCTCAGGGCGTATTATTATTCCCTGGGATTTGATTAGGTTTAACTGGTGGGGCGGGGCGATGATTGATATGTTTTATTAGCCTTTCGGGGAGCCATCGTGGGCCATCTTCTTTTTGATCATAAATACAGGCTGAGCCTCTCCCCCATATGAGGACGGGGTCTGGGCCTTTCCAGGCGTGAGTAAGGGGGTCGCGCCACATGACCGTGGCTTGTTGTGATGCGGTTTGTGGGTGCCAGTGGCGATCGGCTGCCGAACGACCCTGTATGTCCAGTGTAAGAAAATTAAGCTGGAAGAGGGCATGATTTAGAAGATTTCGAGGTTGTTGTTTTGAAAATCCAAGAGGAGAGTGTGTTAGGCGATTAATGGCATTCTTTAAGGTTTGGTGGGCTCGCTCTACTATACCTTGTCCTTGAGGATTGTAAGGGATTCCAGTAATATGCTTAATTTGAAGTTGTTGGCAAAAGGCTTGAAAGTTCTTCCCTGTATAGCCAGGGCCATTATCTGTTTTAATGGTGTGGGGCTTGCCCAAGGCAGAAAAGCAGTGGATCATATGAGAGATTACATTTTTTGACGCTTCTCCTGTTTGAGGTGAGGCAGCTATAAATCCACTAAAAGTATCAACTGTAACATGAATAAATTTTTGCTTCCCAAAGGCGGCAAAGTGGGTAATATCCATTTGCCATATAGTATTGGGTATAAGGCCACGGGGATTAACGCCTAGATGAGGCACAGGGGCTGAGGTTATACAATGAGGACAAGCTTTAACGATGTCCCTAGCTTGGTCTCTAGTGATTTTATAAAGAAGGCGAAGGGTATGAGCATTTAAATGGTGTAAGGTATGGGCTTGTGTGGCCTCAGTAACTGGGTCTGTAAGAATAGGGCAGATGGTCTGTGTGGCAACATCAGCTAGGGCGTTGCCTTCTGTTAGGGGCCCAGGAAGGTCAAGGTGAGCACGAAGATGTCCAATATAGAAAGGGTGTTGTCTTTGTAAGATAAGGTTTTGTAGTTTGGTGAATAAAGGTGTGGCATTAGTGGAGGGTTTGATGAAGGGAACTGTTTCTAGTAGAGGAACTGACTGAGCTATATAGGCGCTATCAGTATAGAGGTTGAACGGTTGGTTGGCAAGTGAAGTAAAAACTTCAAGTATGGCAAACAGTTCTACAAGCTGAGCAGAGGAGTAAGGAGATTTAATTGTAAAAGTTTGTTTATTAATGATATAGGCAGCTGTGCCGTTTGAAGATCCGTCGGTAAAGACGAGGGTGGCTTTAGGAATTGGAGCTGCTTTGGTGAGTTTAGAAAAGATGAACTGATGAGTTTTGGCAAATTGAACGAGGGGATCACTAGGGTAGTGATTATCAAGATTCCCTGTAAAGGAGGATAATGCTATAGCCCACTCATCAGAAGTTTGTAGAAGCCAGTTTGTTTGGTCATGTGAATAGGGAGTAATTATTGAATCAGGGTCTTTACCAAATAGTTGGCGGCCGGTGGATCGCCCTTTAATAATTAGAGTGGCAAGAAGGGAGGGATAAGTAAGTAATACTCATGAGGGAGAGGCTGGTAGGTGGACCCAAAGAAGGGGATGGCCATTTTTTGTAAGGTCTGTGGTTTTTGACTGCCAGAAAACTCCAGTAGGTGTATGGGCTGTAGGGAGTAATATGAATACTAGAGGTAGGTTATAGGAAATCTGTTGAGTGCTTTGTCGTTGTATAGTTTTGTTGATAATGGTTAAGGAATGCTCCGCCTCGGGGGTTAAGGCCCGTGGAGACAAAGGATCTGAGTCTCCTTTCAGAATGTTATTGAGCGGGAGGAGCGCTTCTGTGGGCAGCTTTAAATACGGCCGGAGCCACTGAATGTCTCCAAGAAGTTTTTGAAAATCATTGAGTGTTTTTAAATTGTCAGTTCTGAGGGATATGCGGGGGGTAAGTACTTGTTGGTGACATAGTTCAAACCCTAGATAGGAATACGGGTCAGATGTTTGTACCTTATCAGGGGCAATTTGTAATCCTTGTTTAGCAAGACATGTGATCATATGGGCATGACAGGCTCTAGCAGTATCTCCGTCAGGGCAGGCTAGAAGGATATCGTCCATATAATGGAGGATATAGGCCTGGGGCCATTGCTTTCTGACCGGGGCGATGGCAGCTGCAACAAATTTTTGACACAAGGTGGGGCTGTTGGCCATACCTTGTGGTAGTACCTTCCAATGGTAACGAGGCATAGGGCTTTGAAAATTAGTTTGAGGAACACTGAAGGCAAAGTAAGGTCTGTCCTCCGGGTGGAGGGGAATGGTAAAAAAGCAGTCTTTTAAATCTATGACAATTTTGTAATAATTGGCAGGAATGGCAACAGGTGACGGGAGACCAGGCTGTAGGGCTCCCATAGGGATCATTATTTTATTAATGGCTCTAAGATCTTGTAGAAGACGCCATTTTCCGGATTTCTTTTTGATGATGAAAATAGGAGTATTCCAAGGAGAATTAGAAGGCTCAATGTGCCCCGCTGCAAGTTGTTCCTGCACTAACGTAATAGCAGCGAGGGTCTTCTCTAGAGTAAGGGGCCATTGATCAACCCATACAGGTTCAGTGGATTTCCATACTATTTTATCTGCATGGGGTGCAGGACTGTCAATGGCCGCTAGGGTAAATTTTGGGTATATCCTAGACCTGTTTTATCAAGCTTTGGATTGATAGAGATGGGTTGAGTAATGCCTTGATGGTTTTTTCCTAGTCCTTGGCCGGGTACGAATCCTTGATTAAGCATTTGAGTTATAGCAACGTTACTGGGGCTATATAAGACTACTTTCATTTGGGCGAGAATATCTCTCCCCCATAGATTAACAGGTAAGTTAGGTAGGACATATGGTGTTACGAAGCCTTGATTTCCTTCATTATCTTCCCATTTAAGGGTTTTAGAGCTCTGTTGAGGATTGGTAGACTGTCCTATGCCACGCAAATGGGTGGCAGCTATAGTTAGGGGCCAATTTCGTGGCCACTGAGACTCTGAAATGACAGTAGCATCGGCTCCTGTGTCAATCATGCCTGAAAAGGCTTTGCCATTAATTCGGAGTTCAAGTAAGGGACGGCCCTCGGCAACTTGTTGTACCCAATATGCGTCTGAAGAGCCGGGGGGGCTTGACCCTCGAAAAGGTTTTTGAAAATTGGAATTAAGATGTTGAAGGGGGAGGATGATTATTTGGGCTAACCTAGTTTCTTTGGGGATAGTAATTAAATCTGAAGTGGTGGAAAGGATAATTTGGATTTGTCCTTCAAAATCATTATCTATAATGCCAGGGAGGACTTGTATCCCTTGTAGGGTGGAACTGACTCGGCCGAAGATAAGCCCAAAAGTATTAGGTGGTAGGGGCCCGAAAACGCCGGTAGGGACTATTAGGGGACTATTGTCTGAAGTTAGTACTGTGTCGGTGGCGGCACAGAGGTCCAATCCTGCGCTGCCTGTTGTGGCCCTCCACAGGTCTGTGACGTAGCGGCGTGATTGATTACCGGGAGGGCAGGGATCTGTGGGTGGAGTGATCGGGGAGTGAACTGTGTAGCCCCAGAGTTCACACCCGGTATGGGGCCCTGGGGCCGGGCCCTGTTGGAGTTTCCCTGCGGCGGGGGAATGGGCTGTCCATAAATGTCTGTCTTAGATCTGCATTCTGAGGACCAGTGAAAACCCTTCTTACAGCGAGGGCATTTCGTGGCAGGGGCTCCTGGACTATTAGTACTAGGCCCTGTTGGGTTTTGGATCTGAATTTGAGTCTGATTTTGGCTCTTCTGGGGGGCAGGCTCGGGAAAAAATGTCCAGGTTGGTTACAGTTGTAACAAAGGCGATTAGGGGGGCGTGCCGGCTGTGGGGGCATAAAATTTTGTAAGGCGGCACCAATGGCAAGTCCGAAAGCATGGGCAGAGCCGATGCCGGAGCAGAGGCGGACATAGTCAGAGAGCTCTCCTTGCCGATAGGGACGGATGGCATTTTGGCAAGCGGGGTTGGCGTTTTCATAAGCTAGGTGTGTGACAAAAGCGTTTTCACTTTCGCCCGCGCCAAAGAGCCTCTCAGCTAATTCTTGTAAACGACTTATGAAATCACTATATGGCTCGTCTGGGCCTTGTCTTATTTTTGCAAGAGAGGTGGTTGCGGTGCCCTTTTGTGGAAGGCACCTCCATGCTTTAAGACCCGCGGACTGGATCTGGGTTAGAAGTCCGGGGGGAAATTGAGCTTGCTTTTCATTGCTATGATAGGGGGCGGAGCCAAGAACCTTAAGAATGGTCCAATTTTTAGAGGAGGATTTTCGCATATTGCGCTGAACAAACTGTTTAGCGGTGTCTTCATATTCACTTTTCCAAAGAATAAAGTCACCTCCACTTAGCGCTGCCTTCGCCAGAAAGAACCAATCATTGGGCGTGAGCCAGCGCTCACTAAGATTTTCAATTAGGGCGAGGGAAAAGGGAGCTGTGGGCCCGTAATGTGTTACAGCAGATTTGACTTTTTCTAATGTTTTAAGGCTAAGTTTCTTGTAGGTGTGGGAATAAGTTTGGGGGGCCGCAGTATCTCTTGTACTGGGCTCTGTTTCGTCTATATCAGAAGGGGAGCTGTCAGAGTCCTCGGGGTTGTCGCTATCAGGAAGGGGGGTAGCTGCAGCCGCAGCTGAACTATCTACGTTCTCGGTCCTATCTGGGCGAGTCTGGGATCTAGTAACAGGGAATGCTAAAGTCTCGTGGGGAGGGGGACTGATCGTAAGAACGGAGAGCTCGTTGGCAATGGTTTTAATATCTCGGATGAAAGTGAGGGTTTCCTGAAGGAGAGGTCTTGGAAACGGCGTAAACGCGGCGGGAGACGTTGCAGACACCGCATTCACTCCGCTTCCACCGCCCATCCCCGGTGAAATGGCGGACGCGCCATGCGCTGAAGGCAAAATGGCGGCAGCAGGTGCGTGAGAAGTACTATAAGGGGGCGGCTTGAATGGCGGAAGAACCGCCGCTACTAGTGGTGGCCAGTCAGGATTCTTGTAACGAGTGGCTTCGTCCTCTAATTCTGCCTGTTCAGAGGGGTCTAACTGGTCGCCGGGGTCGTGGGAATTGGGGGGTGGAGCAGAGGAATAGAACTCCTGAAGGGGAGGGTACAGAGAAGGGACTTGAGGGTCTGTATCTATCTGGATGGAGACAGAAGGGCAATTTGAAGGCGCTCGTGAGGGGGGTCGCAAAAGTGAGTCAGCATGAGCGTCGGGGAGGCCGTGAACTGAGGGGGCTTTTGAGGGGGCCGGGGAGTGACTGCGGAGAATTTCTTGCCCTTCTTTACAAAGGCGCTGTATGTCAGGGGAGTTATTGTGGTTTTTAAGGATGTCTGTTATGAGGTTATAATAGTTAAAGGCAGTTACAGGGATGGTCTCGGGACCAAAGACTTTATAATAGTCGTTGAGACAGTCGCCCACACGGTGCCAGACGCGGGAGTCAATGCTACCCTCCTGAGGAAACCATGGGCAGATTTTAAAAACGAAAGTGAAAAAGGAATTTAAATCTTTTTTACGAACCCTTATCTTGCGCACCTTGAGAGACTCTTTTAACTGACTAACGAATAAATCACGTTGTGAACATGCCTGTCCCATGGTTGGGTCTTACCCTTGAAATGCCGCTGTCGGGGAACGGGGGTCGTCAGGGAATGCCGGCGCGCGGTCGGGCAGTCGCGGTGAGCCGGGCGAACGCTGTGAGCCGAGCGAACGCTGCGATCGAGGGGGACAGCGGTCCGCACAGGCGGTCAGCGGGGCCCCACGTTGGGCGCCACTTGCCTCGGCCCGCGAGGCAGTCAACGGGGTCCGCCGATATACCTGCAACGGATGAAAAGGGATGGGACAGGAGGCGCGAAAGAACGACAGCAAGTCAAAGGATTCTGATCAAGCTGCCAGTTTTATTTTAAAATGGAGGGAGTTACATAGAGGAGGGTAGAGGAAGGCAGATAGGGGAAGTAGCTCTGGTTGGTAGCTTTGGGGCGTGCTCTTAACTGGGATAGGTTAGGGGGCGCATGATAGGCGCGTGATCAAGGCATGCTCTTAACTGGGATAGGCTAGGGGACGCATGATAGGCGCGTGATCAAGGCACTGATTGGTGTGCCACCCGTGTGCTCAGGCTAGGCACCTGCAATGCTTCTGACTGCAGATATCCTGTTGTGCAGGAAACTTCTGACCACAGATGTCCTGTTATGTACGCGCAATTTCCATCTCTGGCTGCATCAGCCTGCTTTAGGCTTATCCCTGCCCCCAACAAACTGTCATGCTCCTCTGCACCTTACTATGCATCATGGTTACAAACTGGCACAAATTTTGTTTTATTACTACTTACTCTGTGTAAGAAGCTGGGTAAAAAGCCATTTAAAGGCTAGAAAACAGTTCCTTTTAGAGTTAAAAGTTGCCTTAGTTTGGGAAAATATGCTTATAGCACCTTCAGGAAGGAAGGAGGAGGTGAGACAGCTGGATAATTGGACATAGCTAAATTTAGACATAGCTAAATTGTCTCATATGAGAACAATAAAGGAATTTGTGGAGTTCAGGTGAACAACCAGAAATGAGAGAAGACTTTTAAGAACAGCATCAACAAAGTGTCATGTTGTATACTTTATTTTTTCCCTTTTTATTAAATTCACTGGGGTGACACTGGTTACAAAGTTAAACGCAGGTCTCAGGCGCACAGTTCTGCAGCCCATCATCTGCACACCGCATCGTGTGCTGACACCCCAAGTCAAGCCTTCGTCTGTTGTACACTGCAAATATCTTACAACTTTATTTGTTAGTTAGACCTCATTAAAACAAAAAGAAAGAGTTAAGAACAATATCAGGCACTAGAGAGTTTGCAGATAAAAGTGACTGGTGAAAAATGTTCAGTGACAGGGTGACTAACATACTTCAAGAACAGTACTATTTAAAGTTTAATATTGCCATTTATGTTGCTAAACTGTAAACCCTCTTCATCTTCCTAAACCTTTTTGGGAAGTCTATTATACAGACAATGTAAGCCCCAGGAATTCACAGAAATCTGGTATTTTAAGAGGAGCAGAGGGGAGGAGAGGGGAGGGGAGGGAAGGGAGAAAGGAGAGGTTCATAGTTCTCCTCCTGCTCTAATTTGTAAGAGGCTACTTTGGGAGTAACCAGGTCAGGGATGACCAGGTGGCCAGTGGATTATGACCCCACTGGAATTCAGACCAAAGGTCAAAGCATGGAGCAGCTTTCCAGCTTTCCAGCACACCCTCCCCTCCAAAGGTGCTGTTGTCACCTTCTGACCTGTGGAGAGTGCCTCCTAATTCTGCTGTAAGTGATAAGTGAGTGCTTCTTCATCAGTGATCTCAGGTCCGTTCCTGCACTGGCTCCTCTGGTGTTTTCATCTCTGTTGCTCTGTTACATATACCTATTCTATGTTAGGTTGAACGTCCCTGAAAAATCAGGCATCAGATCAGTCCGTGATCCCTTTGGTGTCAGTTACAGTAGTGAAGTAGGTCGTAATGATGGCTTTGCTTATGCAACAACACACATTTAAGAATGTCTCAGTATGGATTTGAGAAATCCCCTTGTTTTGTAACATCACAATGAGTAATTTAACAAAAGTGAGCCATGACTGGTGTGGCTCAGTGGATTGAGTGCTGGCCTGTAAACCAAAGGGTCACTGGTTTGATTCCCAGTCAGGCACACGCCCAGGTTGCAGGTCAGGTCCCCACTGAGGGGTATGTGACAGGCAACCATTCATTGATGTTTCTCTCCCTCTCTTTCTTTCTCTCTTCCCTTCTCTCTAAAATTAAGTACATAAAATCTTTTTTAAAAATGAACAAGTTGTTTCAAAGTTATCTGGTTCTTTTTGCCAACAACTTTAATTTCCAATATGCCATAGGTTATGAATTCACAAGGTACCAAAGGGTACATTCAGTGAAAAGCCTCCTACTCCTGTCTCCGTTCTTCTGGAGCCATTGTTACCGCTTTCTTGTTACCTTGTTCCTTGTAATCTTGTCGTACACATATGTCCATCTATTCCCTCTCTATTTTTTTAACCAATGGTAGCATATTATAAACTCTGTTCTGCTTTTTGCTTTTTCACCTAATACGCAGGTGGCAAACACAAGGCTTGCAGGCCCAATCCGGCCCTCCACCTTGTTTATCCGGCCGGCACCTTGTTTCTACCCAGAGGCAGTGCCAAGCTCCTTGCTCCTAGTCGAAGAGGAGTGACATCTATACGGTCCTAAAATTACATTCTCTCCTTTGAAGGCAACCTTGAGGCTGATACGGCCCCTGGTGAAAATGAGTTTGACACCCCTGATATGTCTCAAAGATTCTTCTGTATCAGCATGCTTAAAGAGTACTATTTTTCCCAGTTGTATGGAAATCATTTTATGGCTATAGAATTGATCGGCATTTGGAAGGTTTTCAGACTTTTGCTGTTACACACAATGGTGCAACAACGACCTTGTGAACACATGGAAGTGGAATGTTCAGGTCAAGGAGGACGTGCGTGGCTCAGTCAGATGTCACCACGCCTCTCCCTCAAGCCTGTAGCAATCAGCTCTCCCACTGGCAGTGCATCACTGTTTCTTCACACTCTTGTCAATGGCCTGTGTGATAGTCTTTTTGACCTTCGCTAACCTGGTAAGTGATTTTAAATTACATCCTTCTTATTCGGAGTTAGGTTGAAGAGCCACTTATATTTCTTTTTCTGTAAGCAGTTATTTCAACTTACAGAAAATTGGGTTGTTTATTCTTTTTCTTAGTGATTTGTAACAGTTCTTTATATACTAAATAAACTCTTGTCCACTATACGTATTGTGAATATTCTTCTACCCCATTGCAGTTTCTCTCTCATTTTGCCTTGTGTTTTTTTATGAAGATTTTATTTTTTTTTAATTTCTGGGTTTTCTATCTTATTAAAAAGGTCTTACTGTTACAGGGTGCAGCCAAGAGGGGGGACCCCAAATGGGCATTTGAAATGGGGTCCAGAACTTAAGGTGTCCAGGAGATTTTAAGATGTCTCCATCCCCCCCCCCACCCAGGGTGTGGGTTGGGGGAAGGGACAAATGGAGCAAGGCCATTGAGAGCTGTTTTGCATAGCAACAGCCTTGCAGCTACCCTCTGGCATGGTCATTTAACATATCTATAGCCTTTGGCTGGTTGCTTAGATATGTTAAATAGCTGTGATCATCTCTGAGCCAGGGGAATGGAAGTAACTTCCCCACCAAGACGTGACTGGGGGCAGATCCCCCAAGCTACAGTGCCTGTGTGGGAGCTCAGAGAAGATTGGCTCCAGGACATGGGGCCACACCTGCCCAGACTCATGATGGCAGCCCAGTAAAGCTGGAAGGATACGAGTTCTGGCACGTGAAGCCGAGTGTGGGAGGAGTTGGAAATGAGGCTGCAGAGGAAGATTGGCCGCGGGGATTTAAAACTCAGACTTGGCGGCCATTTAGGAAGGAGAGAACCCTGCGGAGCCCTGAGGGGGTGAACCATGCACAGCCTTGAGAGAGAGAACCACGCGGCTTTGACGGAGTGGAGACTCCTGCATCCCAGAGAGAACCATGCTGCTTTGAGAAGGAGAGCCATGCGCAGCCCTGAGAAGGAGAACCGTGCTGCTTTAGGAGAGAGAACCACGTGGCTTTAGCAGAGTGGAGACTCCCGCATCCCAGAGAGGGAGAGCCACACGGCCTTGACAGAGTGGAGACTCCCATGGCCCTGGGAGAGAGGACCATGTGCCTGTGCCAGAGTGGGGACCCCCGCAGCTTTAGAACAGGGAACCACCACCTGGTTTTAGCAGAGATCCCGGCGACTCAGCCGAGGGTGCTGGGAACCCAGGGAGGTCTCCCAGTCGAGATGGAGGACTAACTAAGAACCAGAGGACTGTCTGAGCCATGGACTTTGTTTTCCTTTCCTGAGATACGGTACTCTGGACTGGGCAAAGGGGGAAGGAAGGAAGGACTGTGACTGTGTTTGTGGGTGTTTTAAGGGACTTTGGGATTTTTGATAAAGACATTAGGTCACTACTTGAAGTTTGTATAGCATTAAATAAGCATTTCCTTTCCTTTTCACGAATCTCTGGCATTGAGAGACGTCTTTCCTCTGGCGGCGGACATAACGGACCCGGGGCCTTCTTTCAATAATAGTATATTGTCTCAGGCCCCCCTTGTTGTGTTCTGTAACATTACCACTTTAAAACTTTTATAATTTGTCCAATAGGTCTTCTTAATTAAGTGGTTTTTTTTTCATATTTATATCTTTGCTCTTTTTGAAATTTTGGTGTAAAGAGTAAGGTAAGAATCAAATGCACTTTCCCTCAACTGAATAGCAAGGTATTATTGGCGGGGGGGGGGCGGGGGGGGGCTCCCCCAGCCACCACAGATGAGAATAAGTCTACTAAGACATGATCTGCTTTGGGAAGAAAAGTGGCCAATCTCTCAAAAGAGAAAGGCCAAGAGCCTTTTCCTCAATGGGCTTTTATTGGGTTTGTTTGCACAAGAATACAGGTAAAGTTCATTAATCATTGTCAGGCAGTAAGGATCAAACAATAGATAACAAAGAACTCTGAGGGCCTATTCTGAGTCAGGGTCTGTTAGCTAAAGAGCAATAAAACTTTTGAGGAGCAAACTCACTTCTTGCTTGGACCCTTATCATTTAATTGAGACCATTCTAAACAAAGCAGTTTTCACAGGACTTTACATATTCTTTGTTAGGCTGATTGCCCGGGGAACCTGCCCTTTCAAGCACTGGGCTGCACCATCCTCTGTCATTGTTTCAGGCTTAAGTCAGGCAGGGGAAGTAAGGCAGCCAAGCGATTAGGAGACTTCTTGCAGACAGGATGAGGACTCAGGTTATGTCAAAGCTGAGGGGTGAGGATCCATCACCCCCTTTTGCTGTAGCTCCCCAAGTCCTTCCTTGGGGGCCTCCCACGTGATCGTGCCTGTCTTAGATCATTCCCCTCTTTGGGGAATCTTATCTGTCATTGGCTAACCGACCAAGCATTGGGTCCAGTTATGGATGAAGTAAAAGGAGCAGAAGCAGCGCTCCTGCCAGGGAGAAAAGATTTGTCTCCTTACTGGCTTATGGTCCAAGTGTTACAGGGTGCAGCCAAGAGGGGGGACCCCAAATGGGCATTTGAAATGGGGTCCAGAACTTAAGGTGTCCAGGAGATTTTAAGATGTCTCACCTCCCCCCCAGGGTGTGGGTTGGGGGAATGGACAAATGGAGCAGGGCCATTGAGAGCTGTTTTGCATAGCAACAGCCTTGTAGCTACCCTCTGGCGTGGTCATTTAACTTATCTATAGCCTTTGGCTGGTTGCTTAGATATGTTAAATAGCTGTGGCCATGCCCTGAGCCAGGGGAATGGAAGTAACTTCCCCACCAAGGTGTAACTGGGGAGGCAGGTCCCCCGAGTTACAGCGCCTGCGTGGGAGCTTGGAGATGATTGACTCCAGGACATGGGGCCACGCCTGCCCAGATTCATGATGGCAGCCCAGTAAAGCTGGAAGGATACGAGTTCTGGCATGTGAAGCCAAGTGTGGGAGGAGTCAGAAATGGGGCTGCAGAGGAAGGTTGGCCTCGGGGATTTAAATCCCAGACTTGGTGGCCATTTAGGAGAGAGAACTATGCTGCTTTAGGAAGGAGAACCATGTGCAGCCCTGAGAAGGTGAACCATGCGCAGCCCTGAGAGGGAGAGAACCATGTGGCTGTGGAGGTGCAGAGAGGATCACGGCCATTGGAGAGAGAGCCACACAGCTTTAGCAGAGTGAAGACTCCCGCATCTCTGAGAGGGAGAACCACGCGGCCTTGACAGAGTGGGGACTCCCGTGGCCCTGGGAGAGAGAACCACGTGCCTGTGCCAGAGTGGGGACCCCCACAGCTTTAGAAGGGGGAACCACCACCTGGTTTTAGCAGACATCCCGGCGACTCAGCCGAGGGTGCTGGGAACCCAGGGAGGTCTCCCAGTCGAGATGGAGTATTAACTGGGAAGAACCAGAGGACTGCCTGAGCCATAGACTTCTATTTCCTTTCCTGAGATACGGTACTCTGGACTGGGCAAAGGGGGAAGGAAGGAAGGACTGTGTCTGTTTGTGGGTGTTTTAAGGGACTTTGGGATTTTGATGAAGACATTAGGTCACTACTTGAAGTTTGTATAGCATTAAATAAACATTTCCTTTCCTTTTCACGAATCTCTGGCATTGAGAGATGTCTTTCCTCTGGCGGCGGACATAATGGACCCCGGGGCCTTCTTTCAATAATAGTATATCGTCCCAAGGCCCCCCTTGTCTGTTCTGTAACACAAGGTCACTCCCTCAGCCTTAGCCTGGGTGGCGGGGGGGGGGGGCGGTTACAACTTCTGAAACCAGGCAGGGCGGTTCCCAACATATTATAATACTTTATTAAATAATTCATCCTTCTCCAGCACTGATTTGAAACAGCATTTTTTATTACATCTATATCTCCATATGCATTGCGATTTATTTCTTGGTTTTCCATTCTGTTCTATTGATTTGTCTGACTGTTTGCCTGCCCATACCACACCTTTAAGTTATTATAGCTTTGTAATATAATTTAATATTTGGTAAGACTAATCAATCACCTGATGGTTGTTTTTTCAACAAACTATTTGTGTATTTCCATAATTCTAGATGTCTTATATGCCTTTTATTATCTTCTCTACTATGTTGCTCTACCCTTCTCTACCCTGCATCCTGTTTGTTAGGGTTCTTTGCCTTGCAGACAAACTCAAGACAAATTAAGCATCATCTCCACAAATGCAGGGTATCTTGGGGAGCCCAGAAGACATTAGTACAAACGTACCCTTATTTGAGGTTATTAGATGTACTGTCACTTGCATGGTATAGCACTGTGCCAGTCCCAGTGGTTGACTGCAGCCCTGATTACATAGGGTAGGGAGGACTCTAAGCATAAAGCACCAGCAAATCTTGTCCTTACACATAATCTATAAGGTGTGGCAGGGTCAGTGTCACCAGGTTGTAGGTGGAAAAGGATTCTGTCCAATCAGCAGGACTGTGTTGACCCAGTGGACATCAGCTGCTAGGAGGCTTCAGCCACAAGATGTCAGCAGCTTCTGGGACTTTGAGGTCTCTGCAACTGACATTGTAGGTCTCTGCAGGGGACGGGAACCAGAGTAAGAGAAGGGGGAAAAGACAGGAGAGGTCCTGGGAATCAAGAGAGATTCTGTCTGTAAATTACTGATTGTTCCTTGTTCTATTTATCAGCTCCATGGGATTCCAAGGGAGCAGGAATAGTGTATTTGAAGTACTTGGCACAATGCCTGGCACCAAGAAGTACGCAGTGAGTATAGATTAAATGGATGGATGGATTGATGAGACAGAGTGAGTACTTGCATGCCACAGGAGTCATACGTGTCTTCCTGGAACTTCTGCTAGCTTCACAGGAAGGGGCAGAACTGGGGCATGATCACTGGGGTCCTGTCTCAATTCCTTGCCTGTTGTCCTGTCTAGGAGAGGAACGCCAAGTGACCAAGCACTGTGAACACTACTTTCCACCTCCAGAGGGTTTGTGAGACTTCCTGCTAGCTTTTCCCCTTGTGTTTCCTCTCTTCTTTGATAGCATTCAATTGAAACATCGCCTTCATTCATTGTCTCCCCCTTTTCTACACCAAACCCTTGGGCAAAGCAAGTGGGATAGCAAGGGAGACAGGATTCAATGCAGCTAATTATGACAGCCAATCCTTACAAGTGTTTTCTGTGTGCTAGTCTCTGTCTCAAATTATCTACCTATTTCATTACCTGTTTAATACTTAAAACAAGTAGGTATATATTTTTTTGTCATGCTCTTTATATAAGTGAGGAGACTGAGTTAACGCCGAGTCTTAGTAATTTGCCCAAGGTCATGGAGCTTGTTAAGTAGATCAGTTGGGATTTGAACCAGGGAGTCCATGCACTGAAACACTGTACCTTTTCCTTGGCATTTACACGGGTGTGTTAACTTCATTGAAGTATCACATAAAACATAGAAAAGTGCACAAATCAAGTGTATGACTCAGCACTCACCAGAGTTCCCAGCGTGTATCTTCCTGATCTCTACCCCTTCCCCACCAAGGGAAAAAACCACTGCCCTGGCTTCTCTCACCATTTTTCGGGGGGTTTCTTCCTTGTCTTTCCATTTTGATCACATTTGTATTTCAAGTATCATGGGGTCTGTTGTTAAAGCTAAAAATGTTCTATCTTGCAGGAGTAGAGGTGGGGGGTGGTTGGAGAGAACGCATTCCCTAAACAAAGGAAATAATCAAGGATGGGAAAGTTAGGGGGCAATTGCTCCATTTTCCCTCATTCTCTTTGTTGGTCAGTGTGAGGTTCTACTGCTTCCTCTGTTGTCCTCCCCCAGGACTACATCTCCCAGCAGGCTGTGCTCTGACAGCTCTCGGATTTAAATAGGATTCTGGGCTACACTGAGAGCCAGGATGTTGCTGAGAGCTCAAGAGGAGCTAGAAGTGGGAGAAGCCACAAGAAGCAGCCAAGAGTTGGAGCCAGACCAGGAGCCGGAGCCAGAGTTAGAGCTGAAGCTGTTTTTGCTAAAGGAGCATCAACTAAAGAAGTCGAAACCATGATGGTTATCTTGGGACTGCTCACCTCCTTCCTTTTTTTCCTGTATGTGATGGCTCCATCCCTCAGGTTTGTGTTCATTCAGTAACTTCAGTAATTTTACAAAGTCCTAAATTGGAAGCCATGGAACTTTTAAGTAGATGAATTCTCGGCTGCTGAAAGAAGAGAAAGGGATAGAGGTCAAGGGAGAGAGAGTCGGGGCAGAAAAAGCAGAAAGGAAGGAGGTAATCATGGATATCACGAAGGAAAACAAGAAGGAAGCACCTGGGGCCTGGAGTGGGGGGGCTGATTTGCATTCTGGTGCTCCTGAAAGGCTGTGCGGATGCCTATTAAGTAGCTTGACAGAAACCTTAGGTGGAAGTCCTTGCTCTTTCACTCTGTTCCCTTAGGTTCCTCGGAAGGTCTTCCTTTCTTCATTGTTTCTAGTTAAGGTGTCCCTGCTGGGTTACCATGGGTGGTCATTGCTGAGGGACTCATTGTTAAGTACCAGGCATTTGGAGAAGGAAATAAACTCTCTTCCCTCTACTAATGAAGGTTTTGGGATGGCTCTTTTGATGTGGGGTTTCTGGAGGTGTCAAAGAAATGTGTGTTCTGAGTAGAGAATTTTTAAATTGCTGATGATAACAAAGGCTACACGGACCTATCAGGGACAGGGTGTTGCTCTAGGTCCTGGCATAGAAACCTGGGCTCACATTTGAATTTTGCTACCATTAACAAGTGATCTGAACTTCTCTGAGCCTCAGTTTTCTCCACTGTAATGTAGGGATAATAAGAGAGAAGCTGAGAGGATTTAAATAAATTGCTTATGGAAAGTGCCTAGCCTAGTGCCTGGCAGTTGAGTAATGCTCAGAAAATCATGTGTCCCCCTCCTGTCCTCTTTTGGGGACCTCTCAAGTAAACTCTCTGTAAACAGACACTCTCCACATAGAGGTCTGAAAAAGGAGGTTTCCTCTCTGTGCTGATGGTTAGAATGGAGGCTCTAGTAGGATGGCAAAAAACCTCTGAAGAGGCTGGCTTTCTAAAACTGGAGAGGGAGCTCCGGAGCCACATCTGTCTGTGGGACCCCTCCATCCATCAGTTATTGACTGTTGCTGCTTTTTGAAAACCTAGTGCTCAGGACCACTGATTCCACTGACGCTCTTTGCATATTTTTTTTTAATGCAGGTTAGAGGAGGAAGCTGACCTCTGGGAACCTCTAGAGAGAAGAGCTTTGTTATCTTTGTTATCTAATAAGGAAGGTCTCCCTTAGCCCCGGCTCAAGAGCACTTACTCTGTTTGCCCGGATGACCATTCCCGGATGACCATTCGTAGCTCTTGGACGTATGACCTTTCAACCTTAGCTGAAGAGCAGGAGACCCCTTGCCCACTGGAAAGGTGTCCCCTGAAGGTCACCTTCTTTAGGTCTCCTGGTGACAATGGAAAGAGATTCTTCTCTGAAGCTGGATGGATTTTATGTTTCTCAGTCTCGGAGTGGGGAGGATGGCGCATGAATGCTTTTGTTTCCCTTGCCTGTAGGAAGTTCTTTGCTGGTGGGGTTTGTAAAACCAACGTGCAGCTTCCTGGGAAGGTGGTGGTGATCACCGGTGCCAACACGGGCATCGGCAAGGAGACGGCCAGAGAGCTCGCTCGCAGAGGCAAGTCCTTCCACTTCCGTGCCCACGGGGTAGGCCCCCCCCACCCCCCCCCCACCCCCCCGCCCCGGGCTCTGCTCTGCCCGCATTTCCTTGTCTTTTTTCCTGGGCTTGGAGGCTCTGGCCAGGAATTCAAGGAGCCTGGGATTCAAGCCCATCTGTGACACCAACTCACTGTGAAGCCTAAACCTTCCTTCCTCCCTGCCCACTTCTTATTATATAAAGTAAGAGAAGCAGTGATGTCCGTGTATAGTATTGGTCAAGTCCGTTACTCTAAAAGGAGATACCAAGCAACATTAAATATCTGAGGGTAAAAACCAGGGCTCCCAGCCTGGAGTTGAGCTGACAGCCAGAAGCATGAGCAGTACTACAGTGAGGATCCCGAAGTGGCAATATAGCCACCCTCTGCTTTAGGGATGGCTAGAGGATGCTCTGTCTGCCAGTCCCAAGCTCTCTTACTACACTCTTTTTTAGCCTAGGGCATGAACACGTTGCTCTTTTTTTTTTCTTTTTGTGGCCCCAGGAGCCCGAGTATACATTGCCTGCCGAGACGTACTGAAGGGGGAGTCTGCCGCCAGTGAAATCCGAGCTGACACAAAGAACTCCCAGGTGCTGGTGCGGAAACTGGACCTATCGGATACCAAATCCATCCGAGCCTTTGCTGAGGGCTTTCTGGCAGGTAAAGCCCTAGTGGGTAGCTAGAAAAGCAATCAGCCAGGTGTGGGAAGAGTTGTTCTGCCCTAAAGCATCTCTGACCCTTATGTCAGAACTCTCATGGGTTCCACCGGACAGGTTCTGCCACATGAACCAGCCAGGCAGGAAAGTGGCAAAGGGATGGCAGGTGGACAAGTTGGGCAGGATCCTTATCATCTCTGTTCCTCTGCAGCGGGAATGTTGGAGGGACCGACTCCCTGTCTGGGCTTGTACTTGGCATCAAGGCGTGGCCCCAATGCCACTCTCTTCTTTATCCTGAGAAGCAACCTTCTGTGGCCACAGGCACCAAATGAGGTTGTGTTGCTGCCAAAATTTTTCTGTATCTTGGAAAATAACCAGCTTTTACCAATGACTATGAAATCCATGAGCAACAGGAGCAGTGTCTGTCTCGTTTTACATTGTATGCCCAGTGCCCAGCAGAGTGGGCCTGGCCCAGAGTCAGTATTCAGGACTTATTTGCTGAAAGAAAGGATGAATGAATGAACGGTGTCCAGGAAGATAGTGCTAACTAAAGCTAGGTCCAAAGTCAAGATGTAAATATTCAGGTCTGTGAGCATCAGTTAGCAGACTCCTTGCAAACTACAGGGTCTCCCTGGTTGTGTTACAGAGGAAAAGCAGCTCCATATTCTGATCAACAACGCAGGAGTGATGATGTATCCATATTCTAAGACAGAGGATGGCTTTGAAACCCACCTGGGAGTCAACCACCTGGGTAAGTATCTGAGTGGCTGAGCAGGGAGGCTGACCCCACCTTGCTCTCTGTAGGTATAGATGATGGTCTTACACCAGTGCTGAGGATCTCCAGTGGTCTTATTAGAGGCCAGGGTTTCAGACTGGACAATTGGGGTTTTTTTGTTTGCTATCCCTCTCCTGAGCTGTCCAAAAAAGTGAGATCCTTCTATTCATATCATTAAGAAATTACCAGAGGGAAAAGGGAGTGGGGGGCAGTACAAGAGGGTTTAAGGGGGATAAATGGTGATGGAAGCAGACTTGACTTGGGGTGGTGAATATACAACACAGTGTACAGATGATGTATCATAGAATTTTAACCTGAATCCTATAAAATTTTATCAACCAATGTCACCCCAATAAATTCAATAAAAGAGTAAAAGAAAAAATAGAAATCCCAAACTTTAGAGACACCGGGAAGAAAAATGCCATTCTTGAATGGAGCTGTGGTAGCACGAGGCTTGCCAAGCAGGGCCAGGCATGGGGGCTACAGGAATCTGTGTTTCGCCGCAAGGGGTGGGGGTGGGGGGGTCACATCTATAACCAAGAGCTAAGAAAACCAAGAGTTGGTGGATGGAGGAGGCAAACCTTGAGGACTTGAGGTATGAGACAGGCTGGGTTCAAAGTTCAAGGTGATGGCTCTAAGGGAGGAGGAGATCATGGAACATATCCTCTGATCCTAGACAAATGTTATTTTCCCTGATTATGCCACTCTTCCCTCTGTGCACGGGTAAGCCTGGACCCACAGTTGTGTGATCATGGCCATAGCGGGGTTGGAAGCCAGCAAGTAGCATCTTTTTTCCGACTGGGGCAAGGGCAGAGGTTCAAACAAGGACAGGTTAAGTCTATATGGCTTTACTGCTGGTCTAGCTATGGCCCTTGCCTTAAGGAATCTACTAGCTCAGACTGCTTGACCATTAGCACTGAGTTACATACAAATTTGTTCATGCCCAGAAGATAGTGAGCTAATGCCTGTCCTGTCGTTAGCACCCACTGCCTGTCCTGTCGTTAGCACCCACTCCCTGCCTGAGCCCGGGCAGCCACTCCACTCTTCGGTCTTCCCCGCTGGCTCTCCCGGCAGGCCACTTCCTTCTCACCCACTTGCTCCTGGAGCGGCTGAAGAAGTCTGCTCCTGCACGGGTGGTGAACCTGTCGTCGGTGGCCCACATCGCTGGCAAGATTCGCTTCCACGACCTCCAGGGTGAGAAGCGCTACAGCCGGGGTTTTGCTTACTGCCACAGCAAGCTGGCCAATGTGCTTTTCACTCGTGAGCTGGCCAAGAGGCTCCAAGGTAAGTCTGGAGAAAGGGCCAGGGTTTGGATAGCAAAAGCAGGGCCTTCAGTCCAGATTAGTGGTTCACAGAAATTTCTGGAGTCAGGATGTCAAGCACGCACATTATGGTGGTAGCTCTATGCACCAAGGAGAATGAGGTTTCAAGGGAACAAAAACAGAATTCTTGCCCTTGGGAAGCTTAAAATTGAATAAAGTTTAGGAACCTATAAAGTTACCTTACATGTATATCAACTCATATATTTATTATCTCATTTTACTTTTCACAACCAGTTGCAACAGGCAGAGCAGCTATTATTATTATATGGGTTCAAACTGAGGTCCAAAGAAGTGGCCAGTCCAAATCTATATGGCAAGTGAAGGAGGCAGGGCTGGAGTGTGGGCACTCTGCTTTAAACCCAGGGTGCTTACTTCTGATGCCATTTGCTGAGGCTCACACGGGGAACTGAGCAACAGAGGTGCCACTGCCGGGAGCCAGGGAGCCAGGGCTGAATGTCAGGCCCCTGGGTCTGAGTTCTTGCTCTACCACATACTAGCCATGTGTGTATATGGAATATGTGTGTGTGTGTGTGTGTGTGACCCCTTTAACCTTCCCTGGCCTCACCTTCTCAACTCTAAAATGAAGTGACGCCTCTCTAAGTCCTATGATTCTGTGATTTCCTGGAGTTTTCCTTGAGCTGCTGCCTTTGATGTCTGCAAATCACGGGGACTGTTTGCTACGCTGAATAAGGCAGAGTTCGGGAACAATGGTATTTACTATGAGAACACAGAAGGTAGAAGACTGGGGTAATCATTAAATGAAGTAATAATGATGACAATAATAATTGAGAGTTTTGTGTTTGCCCTGTACTATACATGGCTTAACTCATTTAAGACAAGATTCCTATGAGGCAGGTGCTATTGTTTTTCCCTCTGGACTACGAAGAGAGGGAGAGATATTAAGAAACTTGACCAAGCAAGTGTCCTAGCTGAGCCAGGATTCAAATCCAGACAGTCTAGCTCTGGAGTCCATGCTATTTACATCAGAGTTCAGACCTTGACCCTGAAACCTGCCAGGCAATGGCCTTGGGCAATTTGCTTAACCTGTCTGTGATAAGCCTCAGTTTATTCAGCTATGCATGGGCATCTTAATGTAACCTACCTCACAAGCCTCTTTGAGAATCAAACGAGATAAGGCAGGTAAAGCATATAGTAGGCCCTTTATATAATAAGTACTAAAAATAGTAGAGGTACTAGGGGTGTCCTGGGCAGTGTTAATCCTTATCATCTCCATCAACACCCCTCAGTCTACACCTCATAAAGTGTGCTTGCCCAGCAAATGCAGCTCCAAACACTAGCTTTCCTCCTTCCAGCTAGGTTGCTGCCCTTGAGCCCTTCCTATAGAAATTCCCAAGATGCCACTGTCAATAATTGGTGCTACTGCTACTAGTAATAGTAATAGTACTGCAACTAGTACATGTTGTTGTTTCTATTACCAATATTTAAGCCACAGAGAATGGTGACATTGACATAGAAGGACCTTCAACCAAGCATTCCTTTTAGAGCACAGAAGGCTGAGAAAGCTATAGGTCTTTCTGGAAGAGATTAATTAATTACTAGTCAGATTGTACCTGGCTAGGAATGGGGTTCTGTTCCCTGAGTCCCTTCTTTGCACGTGTGAATTTTGCAGCAAGAGGTGAGCTGTTTCTGGGGGCTCAGAGTGTGTCCCTGGGCTAACTGTGCTCTCTTGGCCGTAGGCACGGGGGTCACCACCTACTCAGTGCACCCAGGCATTGTCCGTTCTGAGCTGGTCCGGCACTCCTTCCTGTTGTGCCTGCTCTGGCGGCTCTTCTCACCCTTTGTCAAGTCGGCGCGGGAGGGCGCGCAGACCAGCCTGCACTGTGCCCTGGCTGAGGGCCTGGAGCCCCTGAGCGGCAAGTACTTCAGGTGCGTGGGGTCAGGACAGGTTCTCTCCACAGCCTGTGTGCGGAGTGAGACCCAGGGCTCCCTGGGCTTTGCGCCCCAGGCGACCAAGTTTGTACCTCATAGCAGAATCCAGGTTCGAGCTGGGTCTGCAAACCAAAGGCTGTTACTTTTCCCAGGGAAGTTACATTAGATACTTGGCAAGAGTTGCTTTGGTGGCAATATTGTGTACCTGTGTGCCAAGTTTCCAGGAAAGATTTATAGCTTTCTGAGAGCTGTTAGAGAAGACTGTCTCTATTGACTGTGCCTTGGAAAGGACATCAGCAGACTCTCCGGGTCCTTTTCCTCCTTGTTGGAGCTTTTGGCTGACTTTTGTCATGTGCTCTTTAATACTACTTAGCACAAAGCACCAGGGCAAGGCCGCTGTCCCTGTGCTGCAAAGATCGGCACTATCTGTTGGAATGCAGAAATAGACATTTCAGTGTTGAGTCTTACCACAGACTCAGTTTGGGAATGAAGGGAAGCCTGGGATTAAAACTCCTTCCTTTTCCGTGACTTGATCCAGCCCAGTCTGCTTTCTCGTCTCACTTCGTTCAAGGCTGCTCTGCGGTGCACCATTCGTAAGTGAAGCACAGGAAATAACCTCAGTGTCCAACACTGGGGGTGGATAAATAATAGCTAATGTCGTCTGAGCTCTTACAAAGTGGTGGACACTCTTCTAAGTGTCTTACATGTATTCTTATAATCGTCACAGCTCTATGAGGTAGATAATATCATTACCCCTGTTTTATAGGTGAAGAAACTGAGGCACAGAATAATTAACTTGTTCAAGGTCATATAGCTTGTAAGTGGTAGACCCTGGTTTTAGACCGAGGTAATCTGGCTCTAGAGCTGCGCTCTTCCGCATGGTTGCCACTCGCTGCACGTGGCTACTGAGCATGTGAGACATGGCTCGTCCAGACTGAGATGTGCATGGCTCGTCTATGTGTAAAATGGGCACCAGATGATGAGAATATAAATGTAAAATATTTAATTAATAATTTTTATGGTGATTACATGCCGAAATGATTTGGCTACATTGGGTTAAATAAAACATATTACTAAAATTAATTCTACCTATTTATTTTTTACTTTTTAAAATACACTTAAAAAAGATTTTATTTATTTATTTTTAGAGAGGGGAAGAAAGGGAGAAAGAGAGGGATAGAAACATCAACGTGTAGTTGCCTCTCACATGCTCCCTACTGGGGACCTGGCCAGCAACCCAGGCATGTGCCCTGACTGGGAATCGAACCAGTGACCCTTTGGTTCACAGGACAGCACTCAATTTCCTAAGCCACATCAGCCAGGGCTACTTTTTAAAATATACTTAAAAATTTTTTACTAGAAAATTCTAAATTTAAAATCTGTGGCTCACATGTGTGGTTCACATCACATTTCTATTAGACAATGCTACTCTAGAGCTAAATTTGATGTCACTGCCCTACATACGTGATAAAATATTGTTCATTGTTCTCACTAAATGAAATATTTCCAAATAACTCTTAGTGAGAAAATGTTGGTGCTATAATATCATGAGAAAACTGCAATACAGAACTGTATCATTATCATCGTAAATACAGTCACCCAGTCTGGCAGGAAACGCAGCAAACCACAGTCGTGGTTACTCCGAAGGAGTCTGAGGGGGAGTCCGAGGCAGTGTGAGGGAGGGGTGTCACTTTTTACTCCAGGTATTCCCTTATTATTTAAAAAAATTATAAAGATCATATATTTATTTATTACATGTACAATTAAAATATGTTTTTTTTTAACCAGAGAAAGATATCCCTCCCAAAATAGATCCAGTACAATCCCAGCTTTGTATTCAGGAGTGAACAACTACAGCTCCATAGCTATATGTTCATATACTCATACAAACAAAGCAGACAAGAGTGTAAGGAAAGTAATGAACTCGCAGGCTTTTCTTCTTCATCGTGAATGTAGGCAATGGGCTGCAGGATTAGTAGAATTACCTGTGACTATGTCACCAATAAAAGTAATATTTTCACATCGCATTGCAGTTACTGCAGATTTCTTAAAATGTCATTTCTGCTTGCCACTACTTCGAAATCCAGCGTTTATTAGGCCCAGGGCTGGCTCTTGTTAATAACGGAGCCCATGTATTACTGTGTCATGGATTCTTTACAATATCTAAAAAGTATATTTCAATACATTTAGTTTCTTTTCATCCGATATGTTTTATACATCTGGAAACATATTCTGAGAAAGGCCACACACTTTTCCGGACGGTCCGTTTCCACTCCTGGATGTTTATACTCTCTCTCTGTCCTCCAGTGACTGCAAGAGGGCCTGGGTGTCTCCAAGGGCCCGAAACAACAAGACGGCTGAGCGCCTGTGGGACATCAGCTGTGAGCTCCTAGGAATCCAGTGGAAGTAGAGCTGGCGGAAGAGCCACAGCTGTATCAGGTCTTGTCTGCACCACAGTGAAAGGGGACCAAGGAGAAGGCCAACCCTGAGGGCTTGTCCTCCCAGCTGGTTGCTGTTGCGAATCCTGTCCTCCTCCGATTCTCCTGACCCTCCTGGAAACCTTTGCACACCACCCTCTCATGGGGCTTGATCATGGCCTGAGATGTCCACACCCACAGAGCATTTTCTCCCAAGACTCACAGAGCCGGCCAGCCGAGGTCTCGGGGCAGGAGGAATGGGCAGATGTCAGGCTGAGCAGGGGGACGGAGAGAAGAGCCTGGCTCTTTTTGGGTCGGTTTCCTCACCAGCACCAGAAACGCCAGCCAGCGTGCGCAGCAGAGGCGACAGGAGCATCAGCATTACGTATTTCTAGGGACTATAGGCTCAAATTCCTGATTGATCTGTTTCTTCTTTGAAATACTAGTCACATGTCTGGAGCCTGGACCGACTCAGCAAAATCTTAGCTTAACCGTGGCCAGCTTTGGTTCCTTTCTCTGAGCACCTCGGGGCCACTCAGTGAAGCTGGACATTCCCAGTTTATTTTTTCACTTTTTTTAAACATTGAAAATGTTTTCTAGCTTTATTGAGATATCATTGACATATACCAGTGCGTAAGTATGGACCTTCCCACTTTCAACCATGCAGACTTCCCTAAAGCATTCCCTTTGCCTCGGGGTGCAGAGGAAACAGACAGCCTGCACGCCTCATCGGCTCTCTTACTTTCTCAGGGTAGCAGGAGAGAGATGGGACAGAGTGAGGAAGCCAGCCGTCTCGTTCAGTGAGGAGCATCTCACCCTACGCACCACCCACAACCTTTTTATAATATCGCATCTTATGATGCATTATTGAGATGGTGTAAAATAAGATGTTTTGGTTGGGTATTTTCTCAAGTTTCCTCCAGCTCTCACATTTTATTATCTAAGAAGTGACTTCAATCACACAAAGGCTTAGCTTCACTGTAGATCAAGGCCAGAGGGAATAGGGGACATCACTTAATTGGATACATGGATGCAGAAACACCAAGCCCTGATAAACTCTCCACCTGAAATCTTCTCTTTTCTGGCCTCCCTGCTCTCCTGTGCTGTGGCTCGGGTGACCTGCTCCTTGCCTCAGGTGTGGAAGGTCACTGAGAAGAGGCAAGGAGATGTGCCTAATCTGTCAGCCAATTAACCAAAGAGGTCATGTTACTGGTTCCTGTTCTAAAGCATCCAAAGGGCATCTGGTGACAAAATGTCCTTTTCTTCCTTAGCAAGTCTACTTTTTTAAACAACCGTTTTATTATGGGAATTTTCAAATAGACAAAAGTAGAGCAAATAGTATCGCAAATCTCCCTGTAGTCCAGCTTCAACACTGACATCCTGTCAACCTTGTTTCATCTGTATTTCCCCCATGAAATTTTTTGGGGGGGTGTAGTGGGATATCCAGATACCATGCATTCACCAGTAAATACTTTAATGTGCGTCTAAATAAGAACACAACAAGCTCAGTGATCAGAAGTAACCACACAGGGTGGCCTGATCAGAGAGTCCTACCTGGGCGGGTCACAGCAGGTAGTTGCCTCCCAGGTCTACAGCTTCCTTAGCAAGGGCCAATCTTTACCTTACGTGAGCTCTGCCCATTGTTCTTGTGCATCCAGGATAACGTATCTTTGAAGTGTCAGAATAATTTTCTGTTCTAGACTCCCCGTGGCCACAACCACCAGCACCAGAGCACAAGACCACAGAATCCCTTTGTTATCTTGTTCACTGCATCCTGTTTCTATGTGCTGTGAATGTTAATTATTAACTATCTACCCACCAATGTGTTTCTCCGAGTTGCCTTTTATCCATGTTTTCTCCCGCCTCCGTAATCCACCACCAGTGGATTTCATGTAACCCCTTATGTCTCCTCCTTTGATTCAAATGTATAAAATAAGCCACAAAATTGCCATTTTCCAGAGCATTTTTCAACCTGTTGAGATTTTGTTTCCCATAATATTTTGTCAGTTTGGCTGAAATAAACTCATAAAAATTCTCTATAGGTTCGGATACTTCTTACGTTGACACGTAGCTGCTAAGCAACATTAGAATTCCTGAGTGTCATTTAATACTTGGAGTTCAAGTTTCCCTGGCTATCTCACAAAAGTCTTTCTACTGCTGGTTTGCTCAAGTCAGGGAAAGAGAAGTGGTTCTCCTGAAAAAAGTAGAGGTACAAACCTCCTCGTGCCCCATTGGCCTGAATAAATACTGATTCCCTCGTAAACAACTCACTATGGCCAAGGACAGGCTATATTAATCGGTTTAAACCAATCACTTCCCACACCTGAAGCTGGGGTCCGTCCCACCTACCCCACCCAGTGGGGAATCTAAAGCACTTGGGTTAATTAGGATTAGCTGTCCCCACAGAAACCACCTGGGGTAGGTACTGTTGTTATCCTCATTTTACTGACCGGCCTAGTTCACAATACAGCGGCCCAGGTAGTCGGACTCTGGCACCCGCCTGCTTAACAGGCATGATCTACGGCAGGGGTGTCAAACTCATTTCCACCAAGGGCCACATCAGCCTTGGGGTTGCCTTCAAAGGGCCAAAATAATTTTAGGACTCTATAAATGTAACTACTCCTTAACTGTTAAGGAGTTGAAATTACATTTGGCCCTTTGAAGGCAACCCCAAGGCTGATGTGGCCCCTGGTGAAAATGAGTGTGACACCCTGCTGTATGGCTTCCCACGGTGGGAGAAGCAACTAATTCCCACACGGAAAATTGCGGCCACATGAATGAGCAAAGGGGTAGGGGGTGAGGGGGAATACTGGGAAAGCAATCAATATATGTTCACTCCTGAGACCTTTTGCCTCACTGGTTGTTGGGCCCATTGCAACACCTGGTGACAGAGGGAAGAAGAGGAAGGGTGGGGGGGGTAGGAGAAGGTGGTGCAAGGGTGGGAGACAGGGCTGGTGGAGAGCGGGCACTGCACTGATGACCCCATGTCTCCTCTGGGCTGGAGGAATAAGCAGACACCAATGCCCAGGACCGTGAGGGCTGCTGTCTGTGTGGCAAGGACAGCAAGCCGACCACGAGTACGGGAGCAAAGGTTCTGTAAACACTGAGGCACGAGGTGTGGGCTTGGGTGGGGGCGTTATGCTTGTCGGAGAGGCTGGTTGTAGGTGGAAGAAACAAAGCCACACGTGAGCTTCAAGTAGTTGGCTCCAGCGGCCACATTGAGGCAATAGGCTGGCATTGGTATTCTAGCAAAGGTGAAGCATGGAAGAATCCAGCTCTCTGACTCCTACATGCCCAGACTGGTGCTGGAGGAAATCACACCCCCGGCAGACCCGAGCCACCATCCATCACTGGCCATCAACGCCAGCTGGGCTTTCAGGCCCGCCTCATTGCCTGTTCGCCCATGGCTCAGGATGGATCCAGGAAGCGTATATAATTTGTGGGACTATCTTTCAGAAGAGAATACAAAATTACAGATACAAAATTAGGTGCAAGAGTGGATGTGATATCTAGAAAGAGAAAAAAAAACAAAACAAAACATGAGTAACTGGAGTGGAAATTTAAGGTCTTCTGAGGTCTCTAGGAATTTTACCAGCAGTGCTCACAGAAAATGGCTTTCTGAGGGCAACTTGGCTTCCCCTCCACAACTGGAATATAATTCCCAGCAACGCACGGGAGTCCAGGTAAGCGTTAAAAGCTTCACAGTGAAACCGCCTCTCCATGGTTCATGTCCTCTCCGTATTCTCACACCACTGAGTCCACCATCTCCTCAAACAACCAACAGATGAGTCTTCCTCTGACTTCGTATATAACCTGAAAGCCATCAGCCATAAGCTCCCTCAACTTTCTGCTACCAAACCAGCAAACTTGCCTGTATCCCACCCACAGTCTCTTCCTTTCCACCTTCTACATCAGAAGAAGTGTCACTCGATCCATTTTTAATCTTTGTATTGTGCATTTCCCTTACAGTTGTCTCTTAGTTTAATCAGAGAGTTTGTTTCTGTTTGTCTCCTTCTTTGTTTCCTGTTCCTGCCCTTACTACAAGGACACATGGCAGAAGTGCCCATCTTAGTCTGGGGGAGGGGGAAGGGATCAGAGAAGACCTCCTGAACCAAGTGTCCTACGTGTAAGGAAGACCCGAAGGATGCGTCACCAGGCAGCAGGCTCAAAGGGGCAAAGAGTGTGTCTCCTCGGGGAAACTGAAAGAAGGAGATGGGATGGAAAGTAAGAAATGAGTCATTTGACCTTGAGAAGCTTACAGTTTAGAAAAAAGACTCAGACAGATAACTTGAAAATACTTACTTTCTCAACTATTACTAATTCAGGTTATACTATAGTCCATAGTTTAATTAAACAAATCTTTATATACTGGAAAATAACACACAAATAATTTGTATGTAACACGAAGGTGAGCAAGAGACGATCCTTGTCCTCAAGGAGCTTACGGTCTATCAGGTAATCAAATAACAAGCACAAACTGATTGTCAAGTGGGCAGAACAGGAGAGCTTTAAGTGACACAGAAGGGTTGAAGGAGTAACTTTCATGTCATGTATATTTTAACCATAAAAAATGGAATGACCCAAGGATTCTGGGGTTTGTATCTGCTTAAGAAGACTTTTCATACCTCAGGATTATAGGGAAGTCTGTTTATTTTCCTAAACAGTATTATTATTATTAAGTATTATTAAGTACTATTTGTTTACATGGAGTAGTGGGAGGTACACTTTTTGGACAGAGGCTTGAGGTGCACAGAGGCTTCTGTGGCAGTCAGGGGAGGAGGTGACAAGGACCTGAAGTGAGGTGATCAGGATGAAGGACCAGGCTCTTCTGACTGGGAAGGTAGGAAGATAGGACATGGCTTTCAACTGGATATGAGCTTGATGCGTGGTAGGTCCTGGAATGTTTCTTGAAAAAGGAGGAGGAAGAAATAGTCAATACAGAGAAGCCCTGAGGTTTGTAACTTGGGCAGCATGCTCAATAGTGATGACGACATTAATGAGTACTGATGGCCACTGAGGAGGAAGATCAAGTTTATGGGTGTGTTACACTCGGATGTGCTACACTTTGGATGTGTTAATATTTTTAGGTGTGAGTCAGCCATGTGGGTGAGAGTTCCAAAAAGCTTTCAAAAGGCAAGTCTGATGTGGAGAAGAATTTAGGCAGAAACACCTGGTTTAGAACTCAAGATGACTGCTGAAACTATGCAGTTGTCTGGGAGAGTGTAAGAGTGTCAGAAGAGAATAGAGAGAGCCTTGAAGAATATCAGCCTTCAAGTAGAATGCAGAGAAAGTATAGCCAGAGAAGCAAGTAATTAGTGGAGATGGCACTTGCAGTGGGCTTGAACAGGGGTTCTGACAACAGAAGACTGGAGGGTGGGCAGAGTGGTGGCGAGGGAGGGGTTCCAAGCAGAAATAACATGAGGAGACGGGGCAGGGCATTGCTCCACCAGCAATGCCACTCAGCACCCAGATGTTGGCTGAATTTGTTGGGGAAGGTTGGAACTTTCCAGGACGGGTTAGTCAACATCGCGACCGTGGAAGAGAGGATGATGGCCAAGAAAAGGCCATTTCCCTCAGGATTACTGTGACTGTTGCTATTCGGTTGCTCGGGTATGAAGAGTCTAATAGCACTTGATCTGCTTTACTTAGGTTCTAGCCAAAGATATCTGGTAACTTTGGGGTGTCTCAGGTTTCTAACCCTCGTCAGTGGTCCTCTGTCCTAGATTTGGTGTGGTGTTCCCATGTTCTTCTGTGGTGACCTGTCCTTGTGCCACATCTGCACCAGGCGGTTTTCAGGTGTGCTTCTATCATGACCGCATGTGTGTGTGTGACGAGGAACTGGATGAGGTCTTGTTTATGGGGAAAGGAGGCAACGGCAGCAACGCCACTCTCCACGGCCTGAGTGCCACACCGCGAATGCTCGCTCTGAGAACGTGGTGAGAAGATACTTTGAGTCCTGCTTCCCTCAAGACCCGACATTTGCTTTCAAAGATTCACGATGTGGTTGATGTTAAAGATACAGAATTTAAAAGATGACAAACAGCACTAAACCCATTTTTCATTCATCACACCGGCAAGGAGCTACAAAGTTTGGTAGCTGTGGAGGGAAGGGCGTGGGAAAGCAGGCACTGTCCTACACAGCTGGGGGGACATGTGTGTGCTGTGACCTCTGGAAGGCAGCTGGCAACACTCACCAATGCACGTCTCCTCTCACCCAGGTTATTCTGGACAAGGTAATTCACTGCAGTGTAACTCTCTAGTGGCAAAAGATGACAGTGACCTAAGATGTCCATTGATAGAGGCTGGCTAAATAATGATGGCATATCTTCACCACAGAATACTACTTCATTATCACTGCTGTTTATGCAGAAAATAGGTCTGGAACTCTCTACAAGAAAGTGTTGACACTGGTGGCCTCCAGGAGGGGACTGGGCTGAGGGGACAGGGGCAGGAGGGATTTTTCACTTAATAAATGTGTAAGTGATTTCCACCCGCTACTCCAGCAGAAGCAAAAAAAATAAAATAAAAAGTCTTCCGGTAGTAGGGAGTACACCAATAGTTTTTAACACACAGGAAACTTGAGACAAAGTCATTAGTTGTAATGGGAATCATTTAGAGACGTTCAAGAATGGAAAGCCACCTGACGTTTCCCACCCACTTTTTGTCTCCACACAGAACGTGGAGCAGAAAGAAAGGGAAGGGTAAGAGCAACATCACCAAGAAGTCACAGAGCCAAGCACTGGTAAGACAGAGACTTTATTGTGGCTGCTTGTGGTGAAACATTCAGCCCTTCAACATGTGCATTAGGTTTTTGCTTGTTTCTTTCTCTTCTTGCTGGAGACCACAGCGTGATGCTCAAAGGCCTTTATCCTCATCTTCTGTCAGTCTGGTCAGTGGTTATTATTTTGTTCCAGGGAAAAGTCAGGGAAATCTGGTTTAACATCCCAGCATAAAGGCTGCAACATCTGCAAACCATTCATATAAAGTGCTTATGTTCAGTGCAAAAGGGCAGACTCAGAAGGGCAAGCAGATCCCAGGGGACGGCCTGTCCTGGGAGACAGGAGCATTCTATGACTCAAAGAAGGAAAAGCCACTTGTCAAACTTCCCCCAAAAGGGATCTAGTATTTTGTTTGCACTTTTTCTGCTAATAGGAAAAAAACTTTGAACTTGACAGATGCCCAAAATAGTTGTTTATTTTACTATCAAAACACCTGGCTTGGAGGGAAACCCACAGGGCTCTGAGCACCAGAGATACTGGCTTTGCTGCTGGCTCCCGTTGGTTGCAGCAGCAAACGTGAGATCAACAGCCTGAGCTCCGGATGGTGGGAGGCTCGGAGCTTTTCTCAGGCCTCCCACCTGCAAATCCAAGTCACTGAGTATGACAGACTGTTTCTAAAATACCGTCTCATCTCAGGAGGGAAGACAAACCCATATTAAAGGAGCACATCATCTGGTTTCACCAAGCAGATGGGGCCTATTCATGGCCCTCCCGTCTGACTCCTGCCTGCAGGCCCACCTCCAAAGCAAACCCTTGACTCCCTCTGTTAAGACAAAGAAGTTCACTGCCTTCTCAGTGACCCAAGGTCCCTGCCTGCCTGTCCTGGGGTCCCGAAGAGACTGAAGGGAAGCAGGCGAGAAGAGGAAGTGATTTCCTAACCAATTTAAGGGGTTCTAATAGGACTATAGCTCAGATAGAAAGGTCCATCCATTCACTTTAGGATCCTGGCTACCACTCCTCTCCCCAGCCTCTCCCCGAGGGAGCCACGTCCTCTCACTCTGCAGCAGGGATATTCACACAAGCTAGCTCTGCGCCGCTGCTTGTAAGCAACCCCCCTGCATTCCCGTTTGCAGAGGCTCCCCTTTCTCTCCCTGTGGGATGAGCGCAGCAGTGCCCTCCTGCCCGTGCCTGGGGCTCCAGACCCGGTCACTTGTTCGTGCAGCCACAGCTTCCAGATGCCAGCACCTGAGGGAGGGAGGAGCCTTCTGCTCAGACCACCATCCAAAGACTATGTAACTCCTTGTGCTTTTGAGAGGAGACACTCGGAGCAGTTTTACTCCACAGGAAGCACTTGCTCCAAAGCCACCTCTGAATGTCGGGAAGGTAAAGCAGGGAAAAGAGGCAACCCTTTTGGCGCTGCTCTGTGATCCTCGATAAAACCCTTGCAGTCACGAGAAGCTACTGGAATGTCTCCACACAGAGGGGACTGTGTACAAAGAGGATGACCCGGGTTAAGAACCAAAACGCAGGGAAGGTTTTCAGACCAGCAGTAGTCTAAAATAAAAGTGCCTCTTCAGTAGGGGAAGAGTTGCGTTTGTTCAGAAATGCTCGGGCGTAAACACGAGTGCACAGGGGTGTGCACACACACTCACTCACTCTGAGGTAGGAAGAACTGGCCTTCTCCAGACACACACACAGATTCCGCAGTTTTAGAAACGTGGCACTTGCGTGAAAGGGCCTGTCCTTGCCCAGGCCGGCAAGTAGCGTCCGACCCAGCTCTTTCCGACCTGGGCAGAGCCAGGAAGCCTCACTGCACAGGAGGAAAGAGGTGGGAGCATCTCCATCAGCCCTGCCCCACGGTTCTCAGGGCCCGCCGCCGGCAGTCACTTCCGGGAGCCTGAGCCAAGGGTGCCTCGGGCGTGGCTTGTCAGAAGCCACTGGGCGCAGATGTCCTGCACTACGGCGTCCCCGCTGCTCGTGGCGGCCTGCTGCACCTGCTGGACGAGGAGTGTGGCCCGCGAGTGTTCTTGCTTCACGGCAATCAGATAGGCGGAACGCAATTTGCAGCATGTCAGGTAGGCCCGAACCTGGTGACGGGCACAGGGGACAGGGGAGAGGAGACATCAGTGACCAGTCACCAAGAAACACGGCGCTGCCCTGGAGCTCAGGCACACCAGCCATCGCGTCTGGCCCGCCACATCAGTCACTGGGTTCTTACCTTTTACTACAGTGTAGCGACTCTTTAAATATCCTGGGCACTAGGCTATTACACTGTGTTATGTTATAGTATAAAAAGTTATGATGAAAAAGAATTTCAAAGAGGAGGAGGCAAGCAGGAAGGCAGAGCCTGGCTATTCTTCCCCTCTGAGGCCTTTCTCCCCACCATCCCGGGCTCTCTGCTTCCTCCTGGCTTCGCTGCCCACAAGTTGTGACTTTAGTTACTTGGGTGATTATTTGATTGATGTCTGTCTCCTTGACTAGACTTTAGGATCCATGACTACGGGAATAGTGCCTGCTCTTTCTACCCTTGCATTCCGGGTGCCTAGCACAGAGCCTGGCATGTAGTGGGGGTTCAGTGAGTGCGCACCAAATGAGTAACGAGTGACCGAATGAACAGTTACCCTGTCCCCCAGGATGGGCACGCAGGTCCCACTCCTTGATTTTTCTTTTCTTTTTAAAAAAATTCTATTTACTTATTTTTAGAGAGAGGGGAAGGGAAAGAGGGAGAGAAACATCAGTATGTGTTTGCCTCTCACACGCCCCTCACCGGGGACTCGGCCCACAACCCAGGCCTGTGCCCTGACTAGGAATCGAAACTGTGACCCTTTCGTTCCCAGGTTGGTGCCAAACCACTGAGCCACACCAGCCAGGGCTGATTTTTCTGTTTTTAACCTGCTCAATTTAAAATCTTTTAACAGAAATTTGGGGAATAAAATCTGTAAACATAATTAGAAAAGGTCTAACTCTTGTTGTCTGGATCAGAGGAAGCTCAGTTTTGGGCACGAGGGGTGTCTCTCCTATGCTCCGGACACCCTCAGGCTCAGGATCCCCAGCCTGGGGAAGATGGGATCCCCTTCGCCTATGTCCCAGTCTCACCGTCACCTCCCCGGCTGGCCGGGGTGCCAGGCCGGCCAACAGCGAGGCCCTCGCAAGCGGCCTCAGAGCTTCCTCCAGAAACTGCCTTTCAGCTGTGACAGTCCCTCCTGGTGGCTGGAGGGGACACGTCCCTCTGCGTGTTTCGGTGCTCCGTGTTCTTTTTCGTCCACAGTCCTTCTTTCCTAAGCCCAGTCATCACGTCCTGCTCACTCTCTCCCAGAGCCAGCGAGGTCTGGGGTGCTCTGAGCTCACTCACGTGATCATGAGGTCCTGCCCTTTGGGCGTCTGCCTGCTGCCCCACGACGGCAGTGCTCACCCAGGCCTGCGGCCCTGCTTGGCACCTTTGTGCACGTTAAGTCCGTAACGCAGGTTGATGGGCGAAATCCCTACCCAGAGAAGACGGGCACTTTGCCAGAAAGGCTGGAATAGGAACCAAACAAAGCTATTTTTTGGTAAAATTTTGTGGCCTGAGATTACTTAAGTATGTAAAACAGCTGCTGAAAAAAGAAACAACCTTTAAAAGTAATGCCTGTCCAGATTTGAGTACGTGTCCTTCCCAGGGACAAAGCCCTCATCCTGTTGAGTGGGAGACTCCTGAAGGCATGGGAAAGGACCGCAGTCTGGGGCTCAGGGAACCTGCGTGTCTGGCCTGGCTGGCAGGTTCTCGTTTGGATTCTAGCAAAGTGAGCCTCCATGTTTCAGAATGTCAGAATTCAATCCTTGCCTTAGGAACTCATCAGGTGTTGCAGAAATAAAGAAACATTAAGAACATATTTGCCTTAACCCCTTAAATGAAAAGTGCCCTGAAAATGCACTCCAGGAACTGGCAGTACTGCCCCTGGAGTCAGTCTGTGGTTGCGTAAGAAGCTGTTTGCCTGTCACCAGTATCCTTCCCACTCGGCTGCAGGGTCATCCCACTGCTAGCGGCCATGCCGTCTGGCTGTTTTCCCATCCCTCTCCCGGCCTGTGGGCCTTTCTCTAGTGGCAGGTGGATCAGGCCTGCCGTCAGGAGCAGCTGGGAATACTTTCATTTTGGTGGCACTCCTTACAAAGGCAATGTGCCGCGGGGGTTCACAGATTTCCTGCTGGACAGGGAATAGCTCACGGGGGGCGGAAAAAGGCCTGTTCCAGAGAATGAGACCCCAGTGGGTATGGGTTGGTTAAGGGTGAGGTGGGGTCTTTATCCTACTGTAGATGGTACCCTCTTCCCTTCAGAATAAAGAAATTTCTGCCCAGCCCAGGCCAGGTAGCTCAGTTGGTTAGAGTATTGTTCTGATGTACCAAGGCTGTGGGTTCAATCCCTGGTCAGGGCACATATAAGAGGCAACCAATGAATGCATAAATAAGTAGAACAACGTTTCTCTCTCTCTCTAAAAGAAATTTAAAAAATCAATACATAAAAATTTTAAAAAAGAAATGCCCGCCCACTCGAAGAACCTCATTTGATTAGTCACCTGACGGTGGAGGTGAGGGATTTCCGAGGACTGTCTGAGGGAAGACGTCCACAGACAATGGAGACTCAAGGGCAGCTGAGGACGTTTGTCTTGGGGATAAAGAAATGCGAAGGCAAAGGCTCACGCGCTCAGTGTTCAGCATTCCCCATCTACTCCCTCTCGCCACCCCTGACCCGGGTCCCAGCTCCGGCTCTGGAGAACGAAGAAGCTGAGATGCCAGGCTGGATGGAACTGTCATGCGGAGCAAGGAGTAAAGATGACAAGGCAAGTGTTCGGCGGTGTTCGCGAGCACCACCAGGGTGTGGAGACAGCTCTGCTCACCTTGTTGTCATCGTTGTGTATCGCCTGGATCAGGCCCTCCAGCTCCTGTGCAGGACAGAACACAGCAGTCGTGAGAGGGGGAAGGGCCCGGTGAGGGAGCTGGGGCCCAGTCCAGCATCAGCCCAGCCGTTCCAACGCCAGGATGCGGATGCCGGCCGTACTCTATTGTTTAAACTCAACTCCTGCTGTAAGAGCAGCAATGAAAATCTAATGCTAACACTAGCCTAGGAATTTGAGGAGAAGGAACAGCTCTCAAGAGGCCTGTCTTTGGCCTTCACAAATGATGTGGCTCTGTCACAGGGGGGCAATTTCACGGGCCACATGCTTCCAAGGCCACGTGCAGACCCGCCTTGACCTCCTCCACAGTGACAGGGAGGAGCTTCACGCCAGCCATCCATGGACACTTCCAGGTGTGAGCAACATGAAAATGGATGCTGAGGGCTGCCTTCTGGGTACAGCAGTTATTACCATGAACTTTCTTTCCAGAGAAAGGTTGATTAGAGTGAGGCCATTATTACGGAAGGGTTAGAAAGATTAAGGAGCCTTGTGGAGCTTCAGGGACACTGTGGGGAACAGAAATACGAAGGGGGGATGTAGACACTGAAACAGAGGGAGGAGCCAAGAGGTCTAGGCGTGAGTGCACCTGCGGTGGAATTCTCTTGAACGCTTCCAAGCAGTTGAGGAGGATGGTGTCCCCGTCACTCTTGGCTGCCATGCCTGACTCGCTGACACACTTGAGCAGCTGTCGGATCTCACTGTATTTGCCCTGCTCCACCAGCTGCCGGGCAGCTCTGCAGTAGGTTGCGGCAGCATCCAGCTGGAAGTCCTAGAACGGAAGATGGGATGCTGGGCTTAGTGTGGAGGGGACATCGGCAGCGGGAAAGAAGGCAGCACTTAAAAAACTCCCACTATGTGCGGTGCAGGTAAGCTGTATTGACTGTAGTCACAATAGGGAAGACACATATAACAAACAAAAAAACAAGCAAAAGTTTCCTTTTTTGGAGTTAAGCAGACATTTAGGAAGTAACCATAAAGATTTAACCTTAATATCAAAACTCATACGTCTCACTTGCTGTTGTGTCACTTTGTGAAAAGAGTCTAATAAGTTCATAATAGCAGTTCATTCTCTCCAAGTCACCTTTTCTTGGGAAACAGATGCTGGTGCAGGTATGTGCTGCCCTGGGTGCTGTTAAGAGGCGCCTTAGTGTTTGGAAACAGACCAATTCACCAAAAGCCTGATTTGCTGGAAGCTACCAGATATGCACTTGAACTTTAAGCCTGGTCTAGGACCACCCTTGCCACAGGGTCTGGGAAGAGCTGCCACTCCGCCTGATCGCCAGGGGTATCTGTGTGTGGGGAGCTTTGTCCAGCACGGAAAGGGGTGGGAAGAAAGAAATCTGTCCGTTGTTCGTGAAACCACTGATCCATGAGACAGGCCTAATGCTTAAGTTTAAGACCCTGCCAGCCCAGAGTGGTGGCCCCCTGGGTGCCTGCATGCGGCTGTGCGGCAGGGGCTGGTCTGGAGAAACCACTCTGCTCCATGTGTCCAGTGCCCTGCTCTGGCTGCTGCTCCAGTGACACAGCTGTACCCGGGGCCTCTAATCACAGGCAATAGAAACTGTACGGTATTTTGCTGTGTGTAATGTGTACTTTTTTTGCCCACATTTTTGAGGGAAAAAATAAGGATGCACATTATACATGGGCAGTACTAATTCCATATCTATACAAATGTTTTTTAAAAGATTTTATTTATTTATTTATTTTCAGAGAGAGGGGAAGAAAGGGAGAAAGAGAGGGAGAGAAACATCATTGTGTGGTTGCTTCCCCCACATGTACCCACACTGGCCCACAATCCAGACATGTGCCCTGACTGGGAATCGAACCAGCGATCCTCTGGTTCCCAGGCTGGTGCTCGATCCACTGAGCCACACCAGCCAGGGCTATATAAATGTTTTTAATTCTTTCTTTTATTTATGCTCACTGCATCAAAAGTGTAACTCTAAAAAAGCAATAATGATATCTGTATACAAAATAATAATACCCTGGAATAAGATAATTGGTTTTGTTTCTGAATATAAGCAAATAAAAAATTGAATTAAAAAATTAAAACAAAAGATTTTTTTTTCTGAAAGTTTGGGCCAAAAATGTGGGTGCACATTATACATGGCAGCGTGTTACACATGGCAAACTATGGTTCTCATCAAGCCAGCTCCTGGGCAGTTGGAGGGTGGAGGGGCAGCCCTGGCTGCCAGTGGCCCCCCCCCGGGCTGAGCAGGACCCATGGGTGGCCACCTCCTGTAGCCACACTCCCCTGAGGGGGTGAGCAGAGGCTCTGCAGGTAAACAGTTATGGGGAAGTGTCCTCGACTTGTATTGGGTGTTTATTTGCCAGCTTTTGATGAACGTGTCACTGGTTACTTGGCTTTTGGCAAAGTGGCCTAGAGTCTTGAATTTGACCCAGTTCTCTAACAGCCACTTCCTTAACTTCACCCTTGATGTGCATGTAAATCTGCTTTTCTGGAGGATAAAAATTTTTGAAAAATAACCTCTCATGGAACTGGTCAGGTGCGGATCGCCCTCAGCATAATCTCGAACAATCCAGTCATACCTGCAGAACACGGAATGCAATTCCAAAACCGTCTTCTACATTTTTCCCTCCTAGCATGACCTGAAAAGGAGAAGGCAATGTGATTACAGGGGCAGTGATCCTGGGAGTAGCGATCCTGGAAGTAGCCCCTCAAACAAGAGCAAGGGCCCCACTTATTCATTTATTCAACAAATACTTATTGGGACTCTACTAAGAGCCAGGCACTGGGAATGCAGGAGTAATTGAAGTGGACTTGCTCTCCAGGCTTGTGGTTCGTACTCCAGCCAGGTGGCAGCCATCGAACAACAGAAATCATATCAGACGATCACAACTATGAAAAACGCTCGGAAGAGAGCAGTCTGCTGGAGGCCTGAAACATCAGGCGTACCTTGCAGGCGACATCCATTTTCATGTGGTTGTTTCCAAACAGGGTCGGCAGAGGCAGGGTGCTGGTCTGAGAGGTCCCAGCACTTTCACACCGATGCAGAAACCTGGTCACCTCCATCTGCAGCTGAAGGGTGTTCATGTGCCTGCGGTGACAGGAGACCCACCATCTAGCCTCCTGAGAGGCTTCAGGAGTGACGTGACTAGGGCTGGGTGACTGGGAAATCATAATGACAGAGCAATGGAAAAAGCAAAAGAAATGATGTAGAGGGAGAAGAGAGCAATATACCCTCTGAGTGGCCACGAGAAGGCAAACTGGGTAGCCTGGTGCCCTGCACAGACTCACAACAGCGAAGGTGCTTTGTGGAACTGGACAAGGCCCAGTGCTTGCATCAGTAAGTACTTCCGGAGCACCTGGGTGCTGCTAACCGCAGAAGCCAAGAGAGACACGGACCCTGACCTCACCAGTTACATCGGCTGAGAGGAGGTGAAGGGTGAGCAAACACGTAACAGATCTAGCAACTGGGTCTGTGAGGCAATAAGTCATGGTGGTGGCGCGTTTACTTTAGATGTGGTGTCCTAAGCAGCAGGATCAGCAGGCAGAGAGGCTGCGAGGGCAGAAGGACTGGGTGTGCTGGGGAGACCCCGGGAGGCCGGCGTGACTGACGCTCAGCTGGAAGAAGACAGCGGCTGCGAGAGGAGGTGGAGACGCAGGCAGTGGCCAGATCGTGCAGGGCCCCTTTTGCCTACTGGGAGGGGTTTGGAGTTTCGTGTGCTTGTAACGTGTGATCCCAGCTGTCCCCCGCTCTCTCCTCTGTAGGCTCTCCACGCTTCTGCTAGACACGGCTTCGAGAAACCCTTCCTTTTAGATGAGTATAGTTCCCCCACAAGGGGTCAGGCATGGGCAAGAGCAGCTGGTTCCCCACAGACGCTCAGTTCCACCCTTTCCGCCCCACCAGACTTGTCCCCTGAGCCCGGAGCTACCTTGACACATCGGCTGTAGTCATCTTCTTTCGGAAGAAGGGGGTTTTCTTCTTTTTAGAGCTGCGGGACGTTTCCTGGAGGTAGATCTTCAGGTGGTCCCTGGCCTTAAGCAGCCAGGAGAGCTTCTCTCCCAGTTCCATGTATGTCTTTGCTTTGTGACTGAAGAACCGAATACAGGTCATGGCTGCCCGGACTTGGTCCTAGGAGGGGAAACAGGAGTTCCGGTCAACGGAGGTCAGGGATACTGGAGGATGGGGGCGTGAGGAGAATTCTGATCTGATTCCCACCCATGATGCTGGCTTGCTAGCACCCCTTTCCACTGGCAGCTGCAGTGCTGTTTTGTATCAGTCACCCCTAGGCCCAAGAGCTCCCACAGTGAAGTGGCCGGCAGAGCCCTTGGGTAGGACAGTATGCTACCACGGAAGAGATCTTTAGGAGGACACTGTTGATTCACCATTCAACTTAGCGTCACTCTCACTGTGGCACTGAATAACTCAGTTTCCCTGTGATCCAGTACTGGCAACCCTCAGACAGACTGGGAGAAACTTGTTTCCTCTCCCCTCATGCATCTTCTCTAAAAACACTTACTCCTTCATTCCTATGAATTTTGGATTCAAGCCTCATGTTTACCCTGAAACTACCACCTACCTCTTTTTTTTACCTTTACATTACTTGGATTCTGAAGAATGCCACTACTGACAAGATTAAAGTTTATCTCTTTTGGATGGGGAGAGCAATCCTATTACTTAACAATGCTAGAGGGCAACCTGGATTTGCTCGAGCATCAGTCAAACAGCAAGGCTGGGACAGAATGAGTCTTGTTCCCCTGGCCGTGTACAGTCTCCCCGGGCACGTGGCAGGGCATCACCGACAGAGACAGAAGGCAGGCTGGGGTCCACTCTTACCTTCATAAACTGCTGCAGCTCGTACAGAATGTGGTAGTAGTTCTTCTTCTGTAAATGTTGGCAGGCAGCGAGCAAGTACTCTCCCCAGCTCTCCAAGGTTGCATCAATGGATTCTAGCAAGTTTTCCAAAACGTGTAGCTTTCCACTTTTATAGCTTGGCTGGAAAATGCCTTCTATGAAGACTTCTGGAGGACTCTCCTGCAGCAGGACAAAGCAGAAAGTCACAAGTCTTGAGCCTGGGTCTGGCGCTGTCTGGCACTCATTCTGAATTTCCTTCTGCATCCTCCTAGTCCACAAGTGGCAAACACAAGACCTGTGGGCTGAACCCGGCCCTCCACCTTGTTTTATCCAGCCTGGCATCTTGTTTCTACCTGGTGGCAACATCGAGCTCTCGCCTAACTGTTAAGGAGCAGTTACATTTATAGTCCTACAATTACGTTCGGCCCTTTGAAGGCAACTGCGAGGCTGATGTGGCCCCCGGTGAAAATGAGTTTGACACCCCTGGCCTAGACCTTTTGGGTGTCACAGATGCCTTTGTGAATCCCAAGCTCACAACCGTTCCATTGCCTCCTGCCCTTCATTGAAAGATCCCTGACAGAGTCACCTGTGTTCACTGTCTCCTGTTGTCTTCTGGGATTTTTCTCTTGAACCCACTCTTACCTAGTTTTGTACCCACGGCTCCATCGAAATTGTCCCTGGGGTCACCAGTGACCTCCATAGTATTAGATCTAAAAGTTAATGCTTGGTCCTTGTTTTCTGTCTGATCTATTGACAACTTTTGATACAGCTGATGCCTTCTTCCTCCTTGAAAATTTTTCTTTATTTTTGCTTCCCGGATACCACCCTGTCCAGGTTTTATCTCTACTTTTGTGGCTACTTATTCTCAATCTCCTTTGCTGATTCTCCTTGTCTGCCCGGGGCTTAGGAGAAATCTGTTCATTTTTCTACCTATCGTCATTCTCTTGGTGACTTCATACAGCCTTGGTGCTTTAAATACTGTCTACCTGCCAACTACGCCCAAACCCATTTCCGGCCTGTCTATTCCTCCTGAACTCCGGCACCATATACCCAGCTGACATCCAATTGCCTGTTCAACACGTCCTCTCAGGCACCTAGTAAACCGACTACATCTAAAACTGTGCCGGGGATTGCCTCTTCCAAATCTGTTCTTTCTTCAGTCTTCTCTTTCTCAGGTGGAGATTTTGTTCTTCTAGTTGTTCAGGTCAAAATCCTCAGTCATCCCCCACCCCCATGCAAAATTCATCAGCAAATTCTATTGGCTCTGCTATCAAAGGACATGCAGAGTGCAGAGGGATCTGAGCACTTCTCGCCACCTCTACTGTCCACCCTGGCCCAAGCCATCATCACCACGTGCTTGGTCTCCCATCTTCCACTTCTGCCTTTCTTTTGTCCAAAGCCACTAATCCAACCTGAGTTATTCTGTAAAATGTAAGTCAGATCACGTTATTCTTCTGGTCAAAATGCTCCCATGCTTTTCTGTCACTCATTGCAAAGCCCAAGTCTTCACATGTCTAACCAGACCTTATGTGAGCTGGCTCCTGCTGCCTTTCTGACCTTATCTGTTCCCACCCGTCCTCAGCTCAACCTGCTCTAGCCACCCTGACCTTTGCTGGTCCCTCCGCCTGGACTGTGCTTCCTCCATAGTCCACATGGCTCACTCCCACCCACTTTAGGCCTTTCCTCAGATGTCATCTTCCCTTGGCACCCTAGCTAAAATTGCACAACCCACCTCTTTCCCTGCTCCTATTTTTCTTGTTATTACTCATGACCTACGCAACATATTTTATTTATCTGGCTTATTGTCTCTCTCTCCCCTATTATGAAGTTTTATGAGGACGGGTATTTGTGTCTGTTTTTTTTCACTCCTGTATCTTTAGTGTCCAGCATAGTTTTGGCTTTAACAAATACTTCTTGAATGAATGAATGAAGGATAAACATTATGTAACTCTTCAGGAAAGTATACAATATACTAACCTCCTTACTTCTGAAGCTCAGCTGTGGTTCAGAGACCTTGAGCCATAAATCCCTATTACACAGTCATAGAAAAGAAAATCATTTTGGCATTTAGATTTTAGATCAGGAGGAACTAATGGAGAGTAAAAGATGGCCAATGGAGAGTACAATTTGGCTTATGCTCATGGTAGTAAAACCATGGTGGCCCAGTGGCACTGGGCATGAGCTGCTTAGAAGCAGATAAGACCCGGACTTTGAGAACATGCACAGACGGTGATTCTTTCCTATTTCTGGCTGTTCTACCTGAGAAGCCCAGACCTAACCTACACATTGTGGGACAGACTTTAAGAAGCAGAAGTGTCATCTCCATAGGAAAGATGTAATTCCTCAGAGGAGCAACACATCATTTCAATGAAGGACTTTCATTTCATTAATTCATCTATCTACTCATTCATTCATTGAAGTGGCACTAGGCCAGGTGTCTGAAGATACAGATGAGTAAAACACAGGCCTTCTCGGTCCAGATTGGTAGACCCAATGGTAAACAAACAGGCGCCGTCCAGTGGGAAAAATGCAATAACAGAGTTGTGACCTAGGGATAAGGGTGGTGAAAGAAAGGGATTATTAACATTATTCGCCTGTTCTGTGAACATGCAACAGAGAGAGTCTGAGAAGACAGACGAAAAAACGCTCAGAGGAAACAAGGAGGGGCCAGTGCATTGTAGGTAGAGGGAAGAGCACATTCAGACTCGTGGAGATGAGAAAGTGGTACATGGTGCAATCAGGAAAATTCAAGTGATTTGGTAAGTCTGCAATGTAGGGTATAGGTAGGATCTGTGGTGAAATACGCTGGAGAAATAAGGGCCCTAATCCTGGTGGGTCCTGCGCGCCTACCAAGGCATTTGGACATCGTCCTATGGCCATGGGGAAGGCCTAGTAGGGAGAACAGTGTGAATAACGAGTAACGTAAATAACATGTATTCGTGTTTCAGAAAGCTCATTCTGGGGCAGTGTGGTAGGTGAAGGGTAAAAAAGGCATAACACCTTCTGTGCCCTAGGCACTTACTCACGGTTGTCACTGTGTGTTTTTCTCTGCTGTTCTCAGCCTGCCTGAGAATGGAGGCAAGGTATTTCAGTTCAAGGGTAATTGTGATTACAGGAGATGGGAAGGAAGCTTCCATCCTGGCTCTGACGAATGCAAAGTAGGGGAACGCTGTGGTCAGCTCACAGCAAGATAAGTAAGTAAGCAGCTTAACCCTCTGGACTAGTCATTAGCTAGTAAGAAACGGAACTGGGTGATTTCCATTCTCTGTGCTTGAGAAAAGCAGATTTACCTCCAAACTCATTTGGAAACAAGGGAAAGGAAAAAGTTAGCAAACTCCAAATAACATAGCTTTGGCATTCTTCTAGAGACCAGGTTCGTAGCTAAGGCCCAGGTGGCAGCTAAAGGCAGCGCAGCGAAGCATTTCCCTCTCGTCGCCCTGTAGGGAGGGGGCACAGAGACTGAGGCCCTGGGAGCCCCTGACCTCACCTGGAGCAACCCTCCAAGGCAGGTCTGCCTGTATTTGCACACTGCCACTAGCTGCCGTTTTGAATTAGGGTGGCAGATTGAAATCGAAGTATACCTTGAGGTCCTCTAATTTTATATGAAATTTGGTATGAATCAGCCAATTCCTCATGAAGTTTTCATGGAACATTCTAATAAAAGAGGGAGTGCCACAGGGTCATGGTGAGACAGAGGCCAGACTTGGCTTAACTTTGCTTAACAGAGGCTCCGAAGATGAAAAGCCCTCAGGGTGCCTCGGCCTGCTCGGGGGCGGGGGGGAGGCCAGCAATGCCAGGTGGGGGTGGGTGGGTGGGGGGAAGGAGAGCACAGCTGCCTCCCATTGGATTCCGGGGCTCAAATATAGGGTTTGCGCTGTGGGGGATTCCTGGCCCCTGTGGTAACAGCTCTGAGTGAACGAGCAGCTGGGTCAGCAGCAGGACATGGTCGTGTGTGGAAACAGAGAGGTTAAGCAATTTGCCCAAACATCTTATTCCAGAGACCAGGCTCTGAACTGATACTCGATTCTGCTGTATGCTTTGGGAGAAGAACTGAAATTCGTCACTGCCAGTCAGAAAGGCAATCTGGGATCCCCGTTAGGACTGGCTGCGCACCCATCACATTGTGACTTGTATAGACAGAGTTTTCCATTTTGACCTGACTCTGCCAGAGGTGATCCCATAGCTCAACAATGGGTTTAGTTTAAAGGAGCTATCAGTCCCCCCACCGTCCCCCAGAAGCCGAGTGGCCAACTGGGAAGGCACAGCTGCCGCTTCCACACTGGGAGCTGCGCCTGCGTCCCACCTTGTCGAGCAGGTGCAGCAGGGCTTCCCGCAGGCAGCCGTGCCTCACGTAGAAGCTGATGACGGCCAGGCTGGTGCTGTAGTTGTGCAGGTAGAAGAGGCATTCCTGGTAGTAGGTGTTGCTCGTGACCTTCCCTTCAGGAACCACCTCCAGAGAAAGGCTCTGGGTCCGAAGGGTAGCTTCCAGTTCTTTCAAGGTGGCCAAGTAATCATCGTCTTGCTGACAGGAGAGAGTGGGAGGGAAAAATTTCAGCAGCCCCTGAAAATTACTACTTTCAAACAATATTTAACAACATGGAAAAATGCTCGTGATACAGTTGTAAGGGCAGAAAAACAGGCAGGATACAAAATTCTATGTATTAGAATGCTGTGTAACAACAATTGTCATTCAAAAACATAACAGAAAGTTCACCAAAATCTAAATACTACTTAAGTCTGGGTATGAGATCATATGTGATTTTTATCACTTAAAAACGTTTTTTTGTAGTTTGCTTTTAAAAAAAATTGACCCTGTATTACTTATTTCGCCATATACAGCTATTTATCCAAATACATACAATAGAAAGAACAAAATCCAAGCCTGGCAGCTCTGAGCCAGGATCACCCCATCAGCTGAGTGGAAGTGGATCCTTTCCCCAGGTCATTACTGCTCCTAGGCCTCCCTCCCCAAGCGGGCCCTCCGCCTGCCGTGCTCTCACCAAGGACAGGAGTGGCCTCACTGTGGACTCCAGGTACTCAACCACGTCCAGGACCAGTCTTGAGCCATGGCTCAGCTGATTGATATCGAAGGGGGGCTTCAGGCAGCGACTGAACTTCTCCCGAGCCGCGGTGAGGTTCCCAGCCTTGAGGCAGGCCATCCCCCAAGCGTGCCACGCCCCACAGGTGTCAAGCCCAGTCTTTGTGGAGACCTGGAGGAAAAACTGCTCCCTTTAGAGGTACCTCTGTCAAGGCCTGAGAGTCCCCAGGACCTATCAAATCCCCTGTTGCCATCATCTCTCCCCACCTCCAACCTTCGCAAACTGGTCATGCCCTAGATACTTCCCACGGCCAAGAACCAGTGAGAGATGGCAATCCCTGTTTGCAAGGCTAGGCAGAGGCAATTCACTACAGTGAGGTAGGGGTAAGCTTTGTCTTTGCCTCACCTCAACGCCCAGTTGGTAGTACTCAGCTTCCAAAAGCTGGTTCCTTAGCCTGGTCACTGCAGCCGGCTGCAAGAGCTGATCCAGAGACGGCACGTGGCGATAGGCAGCAGCAACTAAAATATTCAGGACGTCCACCTTGCTGATGTAGCTATGGGAGGCAAAGGACAAGGCAGTGAGGCTCCACAGAGTCTTACTAAGAACAGTTGCTGCTTAAAGGTTTTCTGTTTCCTTCCCCACGTGACATGGGATAACGAGAATCGGGATGTACACAGACACCAGGAGCGAAGGCTCCGGAGTCAGACTCTGCATCTCAACTAGCAGCTCTATGATCTTAGGCAAGTTAGTTAACTGTTCTCTGTTCTAGTTTACTCATCTGTAAAATGAGTATGAAAATGAAATCACCCAGGTAAGAGGCTTAGGGTAGTGTCTGGAACACTTTGCAGGCACTCATTACATCTTAGATATTAATTAATACGTGGGGTAGGGACACTCAGGTCTTCTGTTTACGGCACGGCCTCTACACTGAATGTTGGAGGCTCACAAGAGACCCGCTTGCTTTTTGGTGCTTGTGAACCCTGCCTGCTTGGGAGAGAGCACAGAGACTGCATCAATGGACTGCGCTCCTGGTTGGTGCAGAGGTCACATCACTGCTGCTCCCTGGAGGCGCTGCTGGGCAGGGGCTTCCTGGTCCTTCCCTTGGGTTCTCATCTCCTGGACTTGGCTTCCTCTCCCTGGGCTAAGGATGAGCTCTCGCAACAGCCTATTAGGACAGCCACCTTTGATGTGCTCCTGGCACCTGGTGATTGCAAAAACCTTATGATGACAGAAAGCCCAGAGGGGTGGATTATTCTGTCTAATGCTGCCTGAACTCAGGGTTCTCAACTCTTGTATCACACTCCTGGCAAGAAACCCTACGGATCCTGACTTGTCCGCCGACTTCAGTGCCTGAGTGACACTCAACCTAGTATGAACGGAGTAGGGAAGTATCGTGTGTAAAAGCAAATTTGGTGTCACTGTGTATTATTCATTTGTAATATGTGGTGTGAGTTTTGTATGAGTTAAAAACAACAGAAAAATACTCTGCAAACCCGGAGTTCTAAACACATATGGGAGATGTATCCACACCCCTCAGCAAAACAGCACAGAGACGGCAGAGGGGGTGTTTCTGAACCCAGGGTAGGGGAGAAAGAACGTGCAATGTGAAGCCACTGCCGAAGCCCAAGGCGCGTGGGGTGGGTGAGAGCCCCACTGCAGCAGGACCCCCTTGACCTCTGCTGCCCTCGGCCTGAAGCGGGTGTTTCCTCCCTCTATAGTTTAGATTTTGAAGGAGGTGTAGGAATTCGCGTTAATTTTGCCCCCCACCCAATCTATCTTTTTCTTTTAATAAAACTTCACTCTGTTTACATTACTGATATTCAAGATATATTTAGATATATTTTTATTTTTGCCTTAAGTTTTATTTTTTTTGCTATAGGGAGGGGTTTCTGTTCTCCCCCCCCTTCTCCATTTCTGATTCTTTTCATGGTTATTTTAAAAACTTTACTTAACATGTTATGCATATGGATTCATTTATCAACTTGAAAAATGATGTAGCATCTAATGCCTCTTGAGATAAAACAGTGAAATTAACTCCTTAATACTTCCTTCCACTTTCTGTCCCACCTCCTTCTGTCTGTCTCAGCTTTTTGCTTTTCGTTAACAAAAATAATAAAGCTAACATTTTTGGAATAGTAGGCTCAGTTCTTAGCCCTTTACACGGATATTCTCACTCTATCCTTGTAACAGCCCTATGAGATCAATATTACCATCATCCCCATTTTATAGAGGAGGACACTGAGGCCCAGAGTGGTTAACCGACTTGTTTAAGGTCACAGAGCTCAGAAGCAGTGAAGCTGAGCTTCACTGCACTCTCTGCTGGCTGGTGAGTCTGCAGGTGAGTGCTCTGAGCAAGCGCCCAAAGGTACTTAGGAAGAAAAGTAGGCCCTCTGCTCCCCAGTCTGGCTAGGACCGAGTGCTGGGAACGCACAGCATGAGTCACACATCTGGGTGGATAAGCCGGGAACTGGGAGTTTTCATTGTTGAGTTAATGCACGGAGGCAGAGCAGGTTGTGCAGGGACCTGAGGCTTAATTACACCTTTCCCAAAGAGATTTCTACCTTGTGACTCAGATTCCTACCCGTGACACAGGGATACATGGGTCCCCAGTGTGCTTTATAGCTCAGTTACTCAGAACCCCAAGGCCACAGTCTGAATTTGGTCAAAGGTGGGGCAGACTTTGTTCAAGGGCAAGCACTGGACATTCCGGGAGGACACATCTTTAAAAGCCAGAAAGTTCCACAGAGATTAAAAGTGCTCCACTGAACTGATTTAATCACCCATCAACTAGAGTCTTCAATGCTCCTCTAAACTGATATTACTTACAAGCCAGCTGGAGGCTTTCACTTCTTTCTGACTGGGTACAGCTAGAGAATACTCTGCTCTGAGGATCCACTCAGGACAGAGAGGAAAGGACAGAGACGGCTAAGGCAGGGTGAAGACCACTTGTGATCCGGTGACAGTATTACATTAACACCAAACCGAGATGCAAACATTTCAGTACGTCTTGTCAGAAAGGATGGTGAGGTGAAAACTCACAGCAGGGTCAGGAAAAGAAGCTGGATAGAAATGACTGCCATGCCAAGAGAACAGAGGTGTATCCCCACCCACCTGTCACAAAGAGCCAGGTCCTGGCTGCGGCCGGCCTTGACAAACATCATCTTGGCGCTGAAGAGCAGCTGCTTCATGATGTCTATGAGCAGCCCCGCGTCCACCTCCGGGTTGGCGAGGCCCTGGGACAGCCCGCAGCAGTGCTCAATCAGCTGGTGGCCACAGGCAGTGCTGTCCCGGTGCAGACTCAGGATGGCGATGCACAGGGAGGCGCTGGGGGCCTGGCCGGTGGGGAGGAGGGAGAGACACAGCGTGAGCCGGGGGACTGTAGCGTTCTTCAGAGGCAGATAGTGGGAATTACTCTTCCTGCTGCACAAAGCTCGAAAAACACTGGCCAAGGAGCCAAAATGCCACAGCGAAGCAGAAGCAAACAAAACAAGTTTCAGATGTCCTAAGTAACCCCACCAAGGCTCTGGCTGCTAGGTTTTGTCACCTTTCTGGGAAGAAAGAGGCAGTGTTCCTGTGTTACCTGCTTCCCTGGAATGTCCACAGGTCCCTCCTTTCTCCAGTCGGCTGTCCTACTAACACGGGTCTTCCTTAGTACTGGCCCAGACTATGACACCCACCTTGCTTGTCTGACCACCTGGAGAAGCCTCTGCTTCAAGTCACTGGACACGCTGATGCTAAATTACTGCTCCAAAAGCATATTCCAAACACTTTTCCTGGTCCCTGACGCTTACTAAGTATATATTCCTTACTGCATAATTCAAGTTCCTAAACATCAATAGCCCATTTCAATCCTACCTTTTCTACCTCTCTACTAGCACTCTATACCTCAAAATAGAACCATTTCCAATTCCCCATCATGCCTTGCAATTTCTGACACTGTGCTCAGATGTTTTAGTTTTACACTCTTTGTCCTTCCCCTATCCTCACTTCCCTCACAACCCCCACATTTCTGTTTGTCAAACTCCTACTGCTCTCCCAGGGCTCATCTTCAATGCTACCTCTTGCATGAAGCCATTCTGGATCTCCTCTTTTGCATTTCCCAAGATGCTCTTCATTTTCTACCTTACCTGGGCTACTTGTTTTAACTCCCATATTGTTACACTAAGGAAGTAAAGGTCAGGCTGTGTTTACCTATCTATGCATTCCCTACCATACTAATATACATCATAAAGAAACTCTAATGTCCACCACTTTTTATTGCTATTACCTGCTCATAGTAAAATTCGTTCCGCACCAGCTCATTTTCCTCCTCATTCAGGTCCAAAATCCATTCCACCTCAGGTGCTTTGGGGACTCTCACCACTGCTGAGTATGGAGGGCTTTCATTCTTGAAGCTGTCAGGCGCTGAGACGAGAAGTGCCATCCATGTCAGTCACTGGCCAGTGGGCCAGCCTCGCCCAGCCCAGTGAGCCAGCGGGAGATGCAGGCAGACTCTTGCCTGCTGTCGGAGTGCCCTTTCTCTTTCCTTGGTCCTTTTCATTTCCTTTAGGAGGTGCCTTCATTAAGGCACCTCAAACTCTCTACCCAAGGGTGACCTGGGATGAGTGTTACCGGGTTTGTCGTACAACCCTGAAAGGTACATGGAGGGCTGAGCCACTGGCTGCTCAAAAACTACCCTTCTGTGGATGGATATAAGCCAAACTATTAATAGTAATTGACTAGAGGGAAGGAGGGTATCTCCTTTGGGAGGTAGGATGATGGTGAATGGAAATCTAGGAGTTAAAAAAAAAGAAATAAGCTACTAACAGTTAAGGACCAAATTCTTTGGTTATTTGCCTTCTCAATGCGGGAAGCTAATCGGTGAGGATGACAGGTGAATATGATGACAAACTTTAGAGGGAATCACTTGATTCCAATGCTAAGAATGTTCTTTGGCCAACTCGTTGGACTGTATGGCCATTAAGAATATCAGCTGTAGCTGAGACTGAAGGAAAAGCTAATGTGAGCATATAAACAGTCACGGGGAATGTGATTCACCCTTACCTTCTGGCTGTCCTGGATTCTCCTCTGGTACACTGGAAACAGAGGGAAAAAAAATTAAATGTCTGAATCTTTCCTCCTCTTTGTTTTGAACCTGTTGTATAGCATTGACATTTACTCTGTTACCTGAGTGAGGTATCAGGAATTTACCCAAACTCTTCTCTCCCTCACTTGTCACAGCCACTCACTCATCATTTCCTGCTCACTCCAGCTTCTAACCATCTCTTTAAATGTCCCCGTCTTTCTTCTCATCCTCGCCTCAGAGAGTGTCCTCATCAGTTATTGGTACAGCCTTTTCAATAGATTCCCAACTGGTCTCCTTGACTTTGTCAACCCATTCTTTACTCTGCAGCTATAGTAAGTTTTCAAAAATGCAAATCTGGTCAAATTATGCTTCAGCTTAAAATTCTTCAATAGCTCCTCAGGATAAAACTACTCCACATTTGCAGTTTCGCAGACAAAGCCCCCTTGTGACCTGACCTGGTGACCCCTAGAGACCATCTCTTGCCACCCATGACCTATGCTCAGCCCATAAAAGTCCTCCCCATTCTGCACTCACCATTCAGATGGCACCACCATGCACGGAGTCCCGATGCCAGAAACCAGAGCCCAAGTCCTGACCTGGGCTATAAATCGTGACCTGCATTAGAAGCCTGCTGGTCAACCCCAACCCATGCTGCTGAAGGGCAAGCTACCAGCCTGTGTGCCATTCCCAAATCCTTCTGGCTCAGCTGCCAGCCTCCAAGTCCAAGGTATGCTGGTGAGAGCCTTAGCCTATCACCTACTTATCTGCACTTTCCCAACAACCACCCATAGTTTCTCCTACCCTTACTCTTACATGTGCAGTTGTTCCTCCCACTTCTGGGCGTGCTTTGTTTTGGCTTCTTTTCCTAGTAACTTCTCATCCTCTGAGGCTCAGATCAGGTCCCGTACCTCTCAGAAACCCTCGTGACCACTATACTTATCCAATGACTTTGTGGTCTGTTTGTGGGTCATCCTCCCGCTAAAATGGGGGCTCCTTGAGAGCAAAGTGATTGTTGCAGAGTGATCATTGAGTGGAAGAATCCCCATGCACACTACTGCTCATCTCGAATCGCAGCAGTATGGCAGATAGGTAACTCCTCCATGCCCACCCAGAGGGAGGCAGTGGTGAGCCAGGGTCACCGAAACTGCAGTATAAGCATGGGCACATCTTCCTTCCTATAAGATTGGTAATCATTGTGGCAAAAAAAATGCCAAAAAATGCTCATTTAAAAAAAACCCACAAAAACGCTGTTACACTATTGAGCAGAATGTAAAATCTATTTAAGTCTGTAAGTAAAACATGCAGAATTCAAAGTAATTTTGCTTTTGGGTAGTTGCTTTGGCTCATGTACTCTAGGAGTCTTAGTTCCACCTCCTTTGCTGCTAGGAAGTAATGGGAAAAATTGAGCCACACTGGGCCAGGCAACACAGCCCTGATCTGTCTTGTCAGAAGTATGAGCAGTTTCTGGAATCTGTCATCAAGTGAACTGTGTGTAGGAAAGTACAGGATTAGTGGGAAGGCTCTTCTAATTATGGATAACAAGCCAGGATGACTAACTAGCTAGGGTAGAGCTGATGAAAGGGACATCCAAACATTCAGCAGGTATGAGCGTGTCTCTTTGAGTCCAGCCGAGACCAAATGGAGCAAATGTGGTTCTAAAACAGGCGAGGGGCTTGATGAACTAAGATCAGTGACTGAACTCAAGGGATGGGCTGTAGGACTGAATGTCCTGATCTCAGAGCGAACATCATTTAAGAGCCTTGACCTTGGCTTCCTCTCACCCCTATTTCCTTCCTTACAAGTTCCTCTGACCAACATCAAGCATTTCACTGTAGAGTTAATAGCATTTCAGTGTGAGTGTTAAGTTAAAACTTTTTGTAATTGTTCCAGATTTGAGACACTCTCCACAGTGAGTCTGCTGGGAGTGTAAGGACTTGCTAGAGGGTGCAGGGGTCAGTAAACAGTGGCAGCCCCACTGGGGAACACTCACTCTTTGTTGAAGTAACTATAGCACTGGTCACACACGCGAGTCGGGTTCTCTCTGCAGCCTTCCACAACCATTTTCTTAGTGGAGCAGGAGCTGCACACTAGCCGGCCACAGCGGCGACAATGGTGACGTCTGTTAAACTGAGGAGTGTCAGTGGGAAGAGGAGAAAGTGGGGAGGAGGAGAAGGTGAGATTTTGGGAACTGAGTATAACTGTTAACTCATTTATCATTGGTATCAGTCCTTGTGACTTATTAAGAACACCAGATGATGCCCTGGATGGTGTGGCTCAGTGGATTGAGTGCCGATCTATGAACCAGAGTCACTAGTTCAATTCCCAGTCAGGGTTGAAGGCCAGGTCCCCAGTAGGAGGCATGCAAGAGGCAACCACACATTGATGTTTCTTTCCCTCTCTTTCTCTTTCCCTCCCGCTCTAAGAATAAATAAATAAAATATATATTAAAAAAATACTAGGTGCTTGAAGCCCTGTTGATAAAGAACACACTAGTGCTTGCCTTTAAGAAGCTGAGATTTAAAGTATCTCTCAGCTGATAAGCAAAGGTGTCCAAGTCATGGACAGTTTTGTAATGGTTCTTGGTAAGTTCTCCTTGTCTGTGGAAGCAACATGTAAAGATACAGCAACAAATAGTGGGGAAGGGTGACTTTCTCAGCCAAGGCAGATCAGATTTCTACATAGTATTAATGATGATGAAAAAGTATTCTTTTTCAAAATATTTTACAAGTATGCCTCATTTCATTACATGAAGTTATCTCTTTTATAAACAAGGAGGGGACAGACACTGAGAAATTACACTGCCATCGTTTTCATCAGCACTGAGTAATACACTGGCCAGGCACTACGTTAAGTGTGCTAACATTTGTTACTGTTATCAGTCCTTTCAGTGACATGACTCAAGTAATGTGTCATCCTGAGTTTACAAGTGAGTATCTGCGACGGAAATAGTTAACAGTCACGCTGCTAATAAGAGGCAGAGCTGGGATTAGAAAGCAGGGCGTCGGCCTCCAGAGGCAGCACAGGAGGTAACACTATCAGGTCACCTGTCTGACTGTGAAGGACGGAGGAGCCGGGAACAAGGCCTGACGTCTGGCGACTCCTCCAGCTATACTGGTCTGCCTCATTTTTGTTTTTTTTTTCATGAGAATGGCAAAGATTTGACAATTTAAGGCTATTTGTGGGCATCTGCTACCTGTTTGAATCCAGAAAATACATTCTGGTCAGGTCAAAAATAAATCCAAAGTCTTGATTTGGTAGTTCTTCTGGAAATACCAATATCTTCTTGGGGCCATGAGGTGACTGTCAACTCAGGCCCATGAACTAGAGTTTTCCTTTAGTTTCTCCTTCAGAAAAAGCTGGAGACTGACGCCGCTTACCATGGTGAAGTGCTCCCTGCGGCAGACCATGCAGACGCTCTGGCTCTCGTCCGGCACCCACTGGTGCCTGGCTGGGGGTGTCGCTGGGGGCACAAACTGCAGCAGGGGCTGACTCTGTGCATCGGTCCTCTCCCTCGGACTGGGGGAGTGTACAGTGGAGACACCTGGGAGTCAGAGCCAGAAGTCAGAGTAAAAGACGATTAATAGTTCAGCTCATAAATGAAGAAGAAATGAGAGAATTAGAATTTCACCATTTTACTAATCCCTACTGGAATAACAGATCCAGCTAATGCTCATTAATGGCTCATTGCATCACAAGAAGAGAGGCAACTGTACGCTGTGTATCTCCTGATGGGGAGCACACACCCATCCACCAAATATACATAGCCCAAAATATTAAGCCTGAATCAAATCAAGTTTCTAGATATTGCTGCCAGTATACCAGAAATATAGTGAGTGGATAAAGACCCATGCTGCCCCAGGGCAGCAATCAGCAAAATCCAGCATGTGGGACACTCTTTAGGACAAACGACCTAGTTTCCTCCACAAATAAAAAAGAGGCAGTGGGGAAAAAGAGGTAGAGAACCTAATGATTAAAAGAGATATTTTATAATCATTAAAAGAGGTAATGATTAAGAGATATTTTAGCCAAATGATATTTGGCCAGATATTTTAGCCAGATCTAAGTAATGCCATATGTGAACATTACTTAGATGTTGATTCTAGAAAAATCAATTCTAAAAAATCTTTATAAGACAACTGGAGAAACCTGAATATTGACTGGATAGTTGATAATAATAAGGAATTGTTAATTTTTTTAGGTGTGAAATAATGTTATGGTTTTTTTTGATAAATGTCCTTACTTAGAGAGATATATAAGGTCTATCCAGAAAGAGTCCAACCATTGTTAATGTAATGAGAATGGTTTGCATGACATCGATGTAACCTGGCAGCCAAGGAGAGTGGACTGGAACGTGCATGTGTGAACAATGACGACTTCACTGTACTAGTCAGTGGGGGTGGTAGATGCTGTTGAGTGAGCATGTGTACCGTGTGGCCGCTGCATTCAAAATGACTGAGCGAGTAGAATTTGCATCAAATTTTGCATTAAGCTTCAACATTCCTCCATGGAAACTATTCAGATGATTTAGAAGGGCACAGCTATGGGCAACTGGTAACTGGCAGCTTCATCACAACAACACACCAGCTTATGCATCACATAGTGTGCAGAGATTTCTGGCAAAATGTCAAATCACTCAGATAATTCAGTCCCTCTACAGCTCAGATTTGGCACCCGGCTATGTCTGGCTTTTCCCAAAACTAAAATCACCTTTGAAAGTGAAGAGATTTCAGACTATCAGTGAGATTCAGGAGAATATGAAGGGGCAGCTGATGGTGACAGGGAAAACTGTATGAATTCCCAAGTGCCTAGTTTGAAGGGGACTGAGGTGTCATTATCTTGTGTACAATGTTTCTTGTATCTCATATCTTCTTCAATAAATGTCTCTATTTTTCATATGATATACTTTCTGGACAGACCTCATATATTGATATACTTATAAATGAAATTATAGCTAGAATTTGCTTCAAAATAATCCAGTAGAAGGATGGGGCATAGATGAAACAAGAATGGCCACCATGAGATGATGAATTATTATTATTTTTTAAGATTTTATTTATTTATTTTAGAGAGGGAAAGGGAGGGAGAAAGAGAAGGAAAGAAACATCAGTATGTGGTTGCCTATCATGTGCCCCTTGTTGGGGACCTGGCCTGCAACCCAGGCATGTGCCCTGACTGGGAATTGAACCAGCGACCCTTTGGTTCACAGGCCAGTTCTCAATCCACAGAGCCACACCAGCCAGGGTGAGATGATAATTATTATAGCTGGACAACAGGTATGTGAGATTTCATTGCGCTATTCTCTCTACTTTTGTGTTTTGGAAATTTTCCACAATAAAAAGCTAAAAACTCCCTAAAAACATAAACCAAAGCTGCTCAGGCTGCCTTGTATAGATATGTGAAGCTGCTCACACGCCTGTAAGTCTAAGCCCTCCCCTCAGGTCCGATGGGATTCATGAGCCATGACTAATTCTCAAAGAATGGCCATGAAATGCCACAGTCTTTGCTCTATGGTATCTAAGGAGATTTCTGGTCACCTTGCAGGGGAATGTTGACTGGTCACAGAAAAAGAAAACTGAAAAACACAGCGACTTTAAGCAGTACACAAAAGAGAGAGACTTTAGCTCTCTCCCCAGTACCCTGCTCTGACTGCTGTCAGAACAAACACTTGCTGAGCTTCTTTGAGCTGAGGCCATTGTGCAAAGGGCCAGAGACGGAGGGAAAGGAGGGACGGCAAAAAGGGGCAACTGGCGCAGAGCTGAGGCCTTCAAGGAGCTTGTGCCCCATACGGGTGACAGACGTAAGCAATTAAGTGCAGTTTAGGAGCAGAATAAACATGAGGACTAAATACAGTCTATCCTTCTTGTTAACAGATTCCTTATCTGCAAATTTGCCTGCTCACTAAAATTTATTTGTGAGCTCAAAATCAATATTTACACTGCTTTCACAGACATGCAGAGCGGTGAGTAATTTAAGTCTCCCAACTGTAGGTTCTCAGCAAAGGTTGGAAAGGTGCAGTCTGCTCTCCCGTTTTAGTGCTCATGCAGAGACAACGGGAGGATGCAGATGGTAAGGGACAGTGTAGTGCAGCGCGAGAAGCTCCTGCTCTGGGGCAGGTTAAACAGGGTTTGCATTCCCGCTCTGGCACCAACAGTGGGCGGCCTCAGGCAAGTCACTTAATATGGCTGAGCCTCTTTCTCTCTTTTGTAACACAGAATCTACTGGTTCGAACTCTTTTCAATTTCAGATTATAATCTATGTAATATATCTATCTAATCCATATATATGATATATATCTAAACCACATATAAATATATGTAACACAAATCTGCAGTATACAGCTATAGACACACGTGCATATTTTCCCTAGCAGCAGAGGTTCAGTAGTCATTAATTCAGTGTTTGCAGAAGCTAAAGATATACTACCACGGAAAATGAGAATCAACTGTGTGATGAATTTTCTGGGGCGTACAATGTTGACAAATGAAGAAAAACAGTAAGGATGTTGTAACTGGAAATAAAAAAGGGGTAGAAGAAGCAGAAAGTCAGAATGCGGCAAGATTGAGCTAAAGTTTGGGTAACTCTCAGAACCTGTTCTTACCAGGCGCAGCAGCAGGAGAGAACTCTATTGACGGGGACCTAGTCAAGGTCTCGAGGTCTGGAGCCTGACTGACGACTTCCTGGAGTTGGAGCACAGAATCTGGAGAGGGAAAGTGCTGTCAGAATATCATTCCACCATAAGCACCTTTACTCACCGTGCTGGGCATCTAGTTCAAGGCCCTGTTGGTTTCACTGGTTATCATCCCACGATTCTACCAGGTATAAAAGGAACGGTCGAGGTACTTCTAAGCCAGTAGCATGGGTGATTGTTAAAGTCCTCAACAAGGTAAGTTTATAAAGGCACATGAGAAAAATAAAGTAGATATAAGAATTTTACAAAATAAATTGCAAAGTGCCCAGAGGGGAGTGGAAGAAGATGCCTTTGGAGGGTAGGGGGTAGGAAAAAGGGAGCTGGCTGGGAACATCAGCCTGTATTCACTCCTGTTCTTCATTCTTGAAGAGGCTGAGCAGCTCACATACCAGGGACGGCTGGTGAGATGCAGGGAACAGAGCACACCCTCAGTACGAACAATGGCACTTAAGAGCCCGCTGCACCATGGCCATGCAGGGACCGCTGCCAGTGTGTTCGTTTCCCAAACCTTTATGTTATCAAGCACATGGTGGTCATCTGCCATTTTACAATTCTGTTTAGTTTGCTACTTCCTCCAAGACCAAGATCTCTCCTATTCTCTTTCAATCTCCCCCAATTCAAAATAATAGAGGAGGAGAAATTAAAACGAAGGATGTAGCACAGAACTTCTTCCCCCGTGTGAAACCCCCATCTAGGGTGCTGGTGATTACCTGACCGTTTCTCCCTCAGAGAGTACGGGAAGTCCAGGGCTTTTCCTGCGTATCTGGAAAGCAGTGAGTCGACCTCGTCCATGGTAAAGCCGATCTCCTGCCCGGCCAGCAGCTGCTGCAGCGTCTGCACGGCCACAGTGGCCCAATCCACTTTCATGTTCATGAGCAGCTGCTCCAGCATGAGCAGGGGGCTGGAGGACAAGTGGGAATAGCTGGCCCGGTGCTGCTCAGGCAAGGTCAGCAGGACCTGTTTGTGAGGTGCATCACAGAGTAAAGAAAACAGTGCACAAACCCAAGAAGGAAGCTGAGATTCTTACTGGGAGGGGCAGGGTGCTGGGCACCAACGGTACAAGGCTAACTACTGAAACTGGCTAGTAGTCTTCTAGGAAGCAAGGATGGCCTCCTATGTAAACACCCCCAGTGGCAATCAACAAGTGCATTCCAAATACCTTCACCTAGAGGAAGGGTTAGCAAACTTTTACTGTAAGTAAATATTTTAGGCTTTTTGGGCCATAAAGTCTCTGTTGCAACTACTCAACTATGCCAATGTAGTGGAAAAACAGCCATAGATAATATGTAAATGAATGCAAGTACTTCTGTCTAATAAATCTTGATTTGGAAAGCAGGCTGAGGAGTGGATTTGGCCCTTGGGTGGTAGGCTGACCTCTGACCTCTGGCCAGGCCCTCCAGGAGTGGTTGAGCTCTGCCTGAACTCAAACCCACCATTGGGTCTATTTGGGCTTTACTGGAAGGAGCAATATAAGGTGATATCAGTGGACTGCGTAACCTGGAACCACCAGCCTCCTACGGGTAAATAGGACTCTAAACTTCTCCTAGAGGTTGTTATTCCTAGGTGCGAAATGTTTTCATCGGCTCTGCTGACTGCCAGTTTTCAGGGGTCCCCCATTTAGGTATAGTGCATCAAAGAGGTTTAAAAAAAGATGTATCGTCTTTAGAAACATTTTTATGTAGTTGAATGCTTAGCAAGTGGGCCAGCAGTCATATTCCTGGCTTCCCAACACTCGTTCTGTTGTGGGCGGCATGTCTGACTGCCAACCAGAGTTATCAGAAGAGGGTCAGAGGGCCCCATCTCTCTCCAAACACTCCTTGGCTGGATTACTTCTTTTGGGATTGACATTATTTTTCTATTAGTGTCTCCAAGGTTACATATCAAAGGTAAAGGCCTATTACCTCATCTTATTACCTACACAATTAATCCTTTAACAAGCAATAGTTTAAATCCTCACTCCAGACTCTCTCTGGAAGAGAGCCAGGCCCTGAGCAAGAGACTCAGTTTTTATTGATTTCAGGTAAAGACGTCCATTTCCGGTATTTTTGAAAGGTCCAAGTGATTCCAATTCCAATACATGACCAGAACTGAGATAGCAGACACCAGGGGAAACATAAAGAGAGGGTCAGGTCAAATTCACTTTGGAGGCAGGGCAGTGAGAAGCACAAGTCCTGAGGGACTCAGCTAGGCTGTGGTGCGCTGCTGAGGGAAAGAGTTTACACAGGAGCCCAGAAGAAGAGCCATTGACAGGGGAAATTCTGAGTGGGAGCTGGGTCAGCAGACTCTGCCTCAAGTGTGCTTTCCCAGCACCTGCTTTTCCTCCTTACCTTGGACCCCATGTACAGAGCCTGGATTTCACGGTGTCGAACGGCGGTCAGTTTTCCATAGAAGTGGGTGGTGAGGTAGTTGGCCAAGAAGTGAGAAGTGGCCAAGCTAGGGTGCTGGTCCAGGGATTGCTCTGTGACCTCAAGGCACATGGAGGGGTCAGGAATTCTTCGCAGAAGCTGTTGCAAGACAAGGGTAGAGAAGAAAGGTGAAGCCCATAGAAGAACACTTAGGCCAGCCCTGTTTTGTTTGAGAACAAAACATTTATTTGTTTTGGACAAACAACTTCCCTGCACTCATTTTTTTCGCCACCCCTATGGCTTCATAAATGATGGCTTTGACAGGACCAGAGCGCAGCAGAATCCTGAACCCTGCTGCCCCTCTGGCACCTAAAGCGGGCCTAGGCACTTTTTGCTCAAGATTCAGACCATAACCAGCCCCCGAAGGACAAGAAGGGGCAGATCTGAGATTGGGAATATTTGCATAGGATTTAGCAGGAACAAAGCCATGTGATGGGACTAAGAGAGGGTCAGGTCAAATGCTCAGGGCCTGGCTCTCTTCCAGAGAGAGTCTGGAGTGAGGATTTAAACTATTGCTTGTTAAAGGATTAATTGTGTAGGTAATAAGATGAGGTAATAGGCCTTTACCTTTGATATGTAACCTTGGAGACACTAATAGAAAAATAATGTCAAACCCAAAAGAAGTAATCCAGCCAAGGAGTGTTTGGAGAGAGATGGGGCCGTCTGACTCTCTTCTGATAACTCTGGTTGGCAGTCAGACATGCCGCCCACAATAGAACGACCCTCAGGTCAGGTCAATTCTTGTCCCTCGCCACCCCCCAAAATGGGAAAAGTTGGAGGCTTACTTTCACAGCCTTTTCGTGATCTCCTCTTTCTAGAAGGTAAAGAAGATGCTTTTGATGCAGGCTTATTAAATCTTCTCTTGGAATGGGGTATAGGCGGCCCCACTCCTCACATAGCTGGTACTCCTGGAAGGAAACACACACACACCTTCGATCCCTTCCAATGACTGGCCTTGGCACAAATACAGCTTTTGCCTGATTTTTCTCAGCAATCGAGTCTGCTAATTCCCCAGAAAGTTTGGGTAAGTGCTGATGGAAACTTCGCTACAGGATTAAAGTGGGGTCATGAACTCAAAGGTCTAAGTGGCAAGTTAAGTTATGAAAATGATGAAAGCAGGCTGATTGTTAATGATATGACTGTCAGGTCAGCTGTATCGTAAAAGAGAAAAGCAGATGGCATACAGTGACTGACACGTGGGGTCAGCCTGGGAGATGCAATGGAGGTAGGGAAGACAGAGAAGGCTGTCCAAAGGAGACAATGCCTACTCAGCTTTGATCGTGGCCATATGAATGTGCAGGTCCAGTGTTATTAGACTTTAAAAAATTTAAACCATTTTAAATGAAAAAAGTCCCTATTTTACAATGTTGGCAATGAAATCAATATAAAAATAAAAACTCTCTGTAGACCACTACTGCATGCATCAAACAAACACGTCTGGGGTTGGATCCCACCCCTGTCCTCCTGGGCTACCCTCCCACCCGATTTCTGAGCTCTGGGTTAAATTTCAGAGAATAGAATTTCCAGGGCTTTGTCCAAGTATTCTGATGTGGTGGCACCTGAAACGCCCTCCTTATACCTCCGCCTGGTGCTGCCTTCTTCAGGATCCTTCCTTGTTTCTCAGGCTATGCTAGGTGCCCTGCTGGTGCTCCTGCTACAGTCTGGGCTTACTTCTGACACTTGATACATAGTGATTACCCAGGACTACACCTCTCATGGCCCCGCTTCCCAAAATGTGAGCTGCTCAAGGGCAAGGACGGAGCTTAATCATCTTTGTTTCAACACCACCTAGCAAATAATAGGTATTCAATGAATGCTTCTTGGATGAATGAACATCTGAATGAGCATATCTACATTTTGAACTACGGTACATCAGCTCCTTAGAAGGTAGATGAAATTCTCCACATCACTCAAGTGTTCAATAAAGACATGAAAAGATACTTAGGTCATTACTAATCATGAAAATTAAAACGATGAGATACTGTTCTATTGGCAAAAAGTGAAAAGTTAGATGATGGCCAAAGCGAGTGAGGGTATGGAGTGAGGAAACTATGAGTGGGAGTACAACCAAGGCAGCTGGTCTGAGGAGCAGTTGGTAACCTCTCAGTGAAGGTGGGATGCTCATGCCCGATGACACAGCAATTCCACGGCTATACACACATCCTGCATCCTGCGTATAGTGTAGGAAGTCGCACGTAGGAGTGCAAGGTGATAGTGCAAAAGCATCAGCTGGTATTAGTTCTACACTTCTCTCTACCTCAGTAAATTTGTACACACATGCACAGGAAAGAAAAGAGAATGTGATATAGTTATAAAAACTGTGGACGGTGATATGGGGGGAGGGGTGTACACAACTAGTTAAAGAGCTGTAACTCTGGAAAGAGGAGGATGGGGAATACCGCCCAGGAAAATGGTACCTTTGCTTCTAGAATCATGTCCATGACAGCTGATGGGTCCTCAACACAACAGGTCCTCAGCGTCTGCCAGTCACACCACACTGGGGTAGCCTGCAAACCTAAAATCTAAGGAAAGACAGGAAAAGCTATCAAACCACAATGCAGCCTCTTCCTCCATGATAAGTTACCAGAGTGTGCAGGGATGAGCCACCCCTAGGTCTCTGTCCCAAAGTCAGGCTGTTGTATCTTGCCAGGGGAGACGGGGAAATGGAGCAAATGGGGCAAAGACTGTTGAGAGGACAGTGAACCTACTGGGGAAGCACAACCAGGGAGCAAAAACTAAGTGGGGAGGGCAGCACTGGAGCCTTTCACTTGTGAGGACAATTCTCAGAAGTTTCTGTAACTTTCCAGCTTGTTCACCCTTCTAGGGCCTTCTGTCCCATCCTCCTCCATCTCAAAACTCTACTTAAGATAGTCTGCTGGCTTGAATGTGGGACCACTTTCATGCAGCATTTGGCTCTGTGCGAAAACTTCTGAGCACGACTGGAAAGAAAATCTGCACCTGCCAATTTCACCCGCCTTTCCCTGATGGGGCTCTGGACTCAGTTCAGTTCCAAGTACACATGGAAAAATCGGCGTAAGTTGTATACTTGTTATCACCTGAATCTGCCCCCCGAGCCTCTTGATGTTGAATGTAACACATATCCTACAAGAATCTTTCATTTTTGAAATTGTCACATTCACACATCCTTTCAAACAGCTCTTGAAATTTAGCTGTGATTGAAACAATCTTTAAAAAAGACATATTATGAGATAAGCTTCATAAAAGCTACCGAAGAACAACAAGAAATGCAGTGGACATAAAACATATACAAAGCTCAAATACACAGGGTGGGACAAAAGTAGGCTTACAGTTGTTTGCATGGAAAATGATACAATAACTAATAAATAATACAAGAATAAACTCTGTGTTTTGCATACTCACAACTGTAAACCTACTTTTGCCCCATCTCCTGTATATGTGAAAAAGCTCCGTGGACTATAAAGCATCATCCAATGTGAATTTTTTTATCTTTGTTTGAGGCGTATGTATTTAAAATAATAGGAGTAAATGAAACAGGAACCAGATAGAGGCCTCCTCGCTGCTCACCTTAGAACAGAAGCCAGATGCAAAGCAAAAGCCAGGCCTAGCTTTCTGTTTCTTAAAACCCACCGTCATACGGGAACAGACTAGACAGATTCAGTAACAGGGCGTGGAGTCCATTTCCTCTCTCTTGACACCAGGGTCCATACCTTCTGATACACCTGCAGCTCTGCCAGCTTTCTCTGTAGTTCACACTTTAGTTCATCTTGGACAGCTGTGTCTGAGATGCAGTAGGCCAGGATCTCCAGACATGACTCCAGGGGCCACCTGTCCACAAACTTTAGAGTTAGCCGGCTTCTCAGCGATGCATCCTTCACAGGAAACAGGTACTGCCAACCTTCTTTGTCTACAAGACAAAAAGATGCCCAGAGGCAGCAAGCCTGGCACCAAAAGAGCCCCAGAGTCCAGGCTACTTCTTAAGAGGAGAGCTTTGTTCAGTATCGTGAAACTGGAGTTTGGAGGATCCTTAAGTTCCATCTGATCTTAACTAGATTTTACATTCGGAACCATTACTGTATGGCAAGGAAAAGTGTAACACCCTGTGCTTCTCTTTGTGCAAACTCAGTCAGGGTCGTGAGACTTTTTGGAGAGAGAGGAAGAGACGGAGAAAGAGAGGAAGAAACAGGAAGGGAGGAAGGGAGAAGAAGGACAAGAAGACAACAGACGACGCTCTCTCCATGTTCCGGCATGCTGCACATACAGCAACGTTTCAGACGCAATGAGTCAGTGGAACTTTTAGTGTTACTTGCAATTTTCACTCTGCTACATATATAATTACTTGAAAGTTATTTCAGGCAAACCAGTTTCACTCCCTCAATATCCTATCATTATTACTTAGAAGATCTCTCTCTCTCCCCGCCTGCACCATCTCAGAGCTGAAAAACAGACTCCAAGCAGATACGACTGCATAACCAGTGGGCTTCCCCAGGGTGCTTTCTCTCCCTCCCACAGGGAAGCCAGGCCCTGGGCCTAGGAGCCGTGTACCACAGCCCGCCCGACTCTTGCTCCCCCTGGTGGAGTGTTGTAGGTCATGGGCTCTCAACTCTGGGCACACACCATTTCCTGGGGGCTTTTAAAGTAGGGTTGTCACACAGTGTGACGATTGTTGGGCGGGGATATAAGGGGACTAAATGGAAATGGAAAAAATACATTTAAAAAAATAAAGTAGGGGTTGTCAAACAGGTTCAGGGTCTGTTTTTATAAATAGTTTTATGAAAATACAGCCATGCTCATTTGTTTATATATCTATGGCTGCTTTCATGCTACAATGAACAGCTGAGTAGTTTCAATGGACACTTGATGGCCTTTGATGCCCTTCAAAGAAAACATCTGCACGCCTGTTTTAAAGTAAACATTTGCCTAACTTCCATCCCAGGCTTTTGGGGAGGGAGCCTAGATAGTTGTGGTTCACAGAATTGTCCAATGATTCTGGTATGCAGGGCTGAGAATACTGGTTATGAACACGTGTCCGAAAGTTAGACAGACTTGGGTTTCAAGTGCTGCTCCATCACTTACTACCCTGGGCAAGACTCCTACACTGACGGTGGCAGCTTTCTCTAGAGTTATGCTGAGGGTCAAATGTGTGGATGCGCTCAGTGGGCGCTCACTATCACTGGCACTGGTGGAGGGGACAGAGCTTTCTGCTCACCACAGGCCGCAGCGCAGCTCAGGACTGCGTCCCGTGTGCCGCTCAGGTCCTCCGCATCTCGCCCGTACGCTTCGGTGAGCTGCAGGGCCCGGGGCCAGTCCCTGGCCACCAGGGCTTCCTCGAAGGCCTCGGTGAGCACATCCAGGGCAACAGGAGAATGCAGGCCAAGGAGGACAGTAGAGAGACTAGCCTGGCCACAGAGGCTCGCTGCCTGGCTCTGCTCTTGCTTGGAGGATCCTCGCAGGGGTTCCCAGGCAGCCAGGAGGGCGGCCTCAAGCATAGGGAACTGTTCCAGAAGGTGTTCACACTCCCGAGCTACCTGCTCTGCAGTCAGAGGTACCTCCCTGCGGCCACGAAGCTCCTTCCACGACAAGCCGGGCTTGGTGACCTTTGTTCCCCGGGAAGCCCCCAGACAGGCCACAGTAGCCAGCAGCTTTGAGCGGGACTTAAGGAAGGCCAAGGTGGAGGAGGTGAGGACAGAGGGTGATGAATCCCTTGGGGAGGAACGGGGCTTCTTCTCTGGTGTGAGGTTCTCAGCTGGCTTTGGGGAGCTCTGTGTAGAAAGTGGGACGTCTTCCAGGCAGTGGGAGGCGTGCAGCTGGGCCAGGGTGCCCAGGTGGGTCAGGACAGATGATGTCTGCTGGCTCTGCAGGGAAGGGCACAGGGCGAGGGGCTCGCAGCAGCAGCTGACGATAACCTGTGGCACACTCAGGCTGAGTCTCTCTTGGGCCAGAAGGGCTGCTAGCCTGGAGGGAGAGAAGCGGAGGGAATGCAGAGCCTGAGTGCACAGGCATCATCACCTAATCTCAGAATTTCTTCGTGTTTACACAAGCAAATGTAAATGCAGACTCTTCAATCATTCCCAGTTCTTTTTTTAAACACAAAAAGTAGATATTAGACATATTGCTCTGTCCTTTGCTTTTTTCCTTTATAGCATAACTGGGAGATCTGTCCATATTTCTCTATAGAGGCCCCTCATTTCTTTTTATAAATACATGGTATTCAATTATGGAGATGAACCATAATTTATCTGGTCTCCTGTTAGCACACAATGGCTTTTCTGATCTGTTGCTATTACATACAAGACTATAGTAAAATGATGTTATACATACATGCTTTTCCATATGCATAAGAAAGCCGCAGGATGAATTCCCCGGCGTAGACTGCTAGGTCGCAGAGTGCATGCACTTGTAGTTTTAGCAGATGGGACACACTGCCTTCCCAGAGGGGCTCGCACCAGTTTCTATCCCGCCAGCAATCTTGTGAGAATGCTTGTTTCTCCATAGCCTGGGCAACTACTGTGTTATCAAGTTTTCAGATTTTTGCCTATCCCTAAGCAAAGATTCTTCCCTTATTTTTATATTTGCAATGCAAATTTTAATGGTGGCAAGAGAGAGAGAGAAAGGGGGCACACGGAATTTGAATGTAGCTGTGTAAGAGTAAATGCAATGCAAGAGTAAATGCAAAGCCTAGAAGAACACCCACCCTGCATACTGAACCCACGCACAGCCCCACGGAGCCCTCGGTTCCCTTGATGAAAAAATTAGGAAGGCCCATGCTTGCCTCTCAAGAGGTAGCTCCTACCTGTCTGGTGGAACTTGTCGCTCAAGCAGGAGGTGTGACACCAGTTGGGAAGAACTCTGTTGCAGGAGAACAAAGGGATTTCCTACTTTGACCTCCACATGATCTGTAAATGTAAGGAAAATGACCTTTGTTTGCACCACTGACCACAACAGTTCAGAGCCCGATTTCCAGAATCAATAAAAAAGTAGTGTCAGAACGGGGACTATATTGCCAGCCCTTCTGTTGGTATTTTTTTAGGTAAAGGGTATTCTCAGGATGACCCCGACCACAAGTTTGTCCACGCCTTACTACTGCTGCAAAAGCTTCCCACCACAGACAAACTTCAGTGGGCAGGTTCAGGCACCAACAGCTCATCCTGCTCGTCCCGCACGACTGCCGTGCATGCAGCATTCGCTCTGCAGACTCCAGTGACACTCTGGCACGCAGAGCGGAGACTTGAACCCTCTGTGGGATCCTCAGTCCAAAGGGGACTGAAGGTCTGAGAGAGGTATTTTTGAGTCACATGCCATCAAAACTTATTGAGCGTTCCCCTGTGCTTGTACTAGTATTGGGGAGGCAAAGATAAATACAACACAGAAGAATAAGGGAAGACCTTACAAATTTAGTGTCCTTGGCTACTGCTGTGCCCAGAACCTCTTAAATGAGTGTCTTTCCTCTTCTTTCCTCTAAACACTTGTAGACCAGTCGTGACTGTTTCTTCTTTTTTTGCTACTTACCGGGCTCAGAGCGCAAACTCTGAAGAAGCACTGCAGCCAGGGTGCTGCAGTAACTGAAGAAGGTGCCCATGTAGTCAGGCTGCCCACTGCCTGCTGGGGCCTGTTTGCCCAGGATCTTCTGGAGGAGCTGAGTCTGCACGTACACAGGATGGGCCTCTGCCTCTGGAGCTTTCTGGGCCGCCTGCTCCACCAGGGAGGACAGCGGAGGACTCCTGGGCTCTGAGAGGAGTAACGGCAGAAAGGATGAAGGCTTTAGTCTGTGCATCCAGCTTTGGGTCCATTTCCGACACAGCTACGTGAACTGGGCCTCTGGACACTAGGTGGCTTCTCCTACAGCTTGGGTGCTCCACTTACAAGGCAGCTATAAAATCCTAAGTTGGTCGCATGTACAAGTGACTCCCAGCCAGGAAGAGCTTTGAGTCTGGAGAAATCGGGGTGTATGGTTCTGTCTCCACCCCAGTGTCTGTGGGGTTTAATGGCTTTATAAAGAGCACACAAATCTTTTGGTGAAAGGTTGATCAATATTTCCTGAGCAACTTTGGGGTATATTGCTCATTAGGAATAAGAAAGATGTATCAGCTAATGGAGTATTATCCATCCCTTCATTAGAGAGGGAGCGGAACAGGTAGAATTAGTTATGGGACATGAGCTGGCTAACTACAGGGCTAGGTGGGTCCACTGCTGACACCCTAAGCCTCTGCTCCTAAGCGTTGCTTCATTTGAAGATGTTTCCTCTCCCTAGTTCAGTCCTCATCTGCTCCCACACTTGGGCCAGTACCTGGCAGCTCTAGTGCCTCTCTCAGCGACTGAAGGACCTGGTCCAGCTGCTGGGAGAGGGTGGCCTGGCTGGCAGCACACTCCTCAGTGAGGCTGGGCCAGCACATCTGCAGCAGCTCGGCAATGCTGCACCGTGGAGGACCTCCTCCTTTTTCTTCTCCATTCTCTGGGGAATGCAAATCAGAAAGAAAAAGTGGAGTCTGATGCTGACCTTATGTTCTGGGTCCAGGAGGAAAAAAAAGGAAGAAAAGCAACTCACCTGATTTAGTCTGTCCGGCTGACATAAGTGAATAATTGAGAATCTTGCTGACTTGCTGGAGAACAGCTGGAAATCCTCGAATACCATCAGCATTGAGGAGGACATGGTCCAGCCGTCGACCTGGGCACAGGTAAGGGAAGAAGGAATGCAGAAAAAACAGGGGACTTTCAGAGACTGTTACTCAGTCCTGTATTCACTTGTACAATTTCATCTTCTCAAATATTAAGGAGGAAATGTATGCTGTGCCATTTTGGGTGGCAACCAGCATACCTGGATTTTCTACACCTAACAGTCCAGGGCTACCTCCTGCAGATGCCTTAGCTGTGAGCGGTAGCAGGCTGAGAATCTTTGGCACACCTACAGAATCGCTGTCCTAAGCCAATCAGGTACTTCTTGTGGATTTGCCTTGGTAACGCCCTCAGCTGAGGACCTGACCTGAGATCACGTTCCTCTTTAGCTGCTTTAAGTAGGATCTTGACTAGACTATAAACAATTTTATGAACAGAGATTACTCGTTAGACCTCTCCTGTACCCCCATATATTTCGTATAGTCTGGAATCCCAGGAGATACTAAATTAATTCCTAACTGACTGACCTTAGTACTGTTTCAGGTACTAAGAGTTTGAATAATACTGTATCTCCTTTCATTTTAGAATATAAGTGCTAGACGAAGGGGAGGGGAATTGTCCCCACCCTCCAAAAAGAATTCTGTGTGTCACAGTATACTTACTTAGCAGAACTGTATGAACATGAAAGGACATTTTAACTGACAGCTCAGAAGTGACCTGGGCAGGTGTGCAGAAGAGAGTTAACGCAGCAGACTTGAGGTGTCTATCCTTAGAAGGGCATGTTTGCAAGGCCTGCCCTTGGCTGGTTCCTGTGGACTTGACTGGTAAGCAGTTTCCTACACTGATATTAAACTTGCCCTAAATGACAAGAGTGGCTCCCTGTGCCTACACTCTCTGAACACCTGCTTTCCTTCTGAGAGCCTGGAATTCTGGTACACAATGGGCAGAGGGTGCCTTTGTCACCAGCCTCCAGTGAAACCCTTGGACACTGTGTTTCTAATGAGCTTCCCTATAGACAACACTTCATCCTTGTCACAGCCCCTTGCTGGAGGAATCAAGCCCATCCTATGTGACTTCACAGGGAGAGGACCCTTGGAAGCCTTTTGCCTGGTTTTCTGCAGACTATCCCGTGAACTTTTCCCTCTGCTGATTTTGCTTGTATCCTTTTGCTGAAATAAATCTTAGCCACGAGTATGACTATATGCTGACTCCTGTGAGTTCTCCAGTGAATCACTGAACCTGTTCGTATTATAACCTATTCACCCTTCCTCCCTCCATGTTACTGAGAGAGACATGCGCCCCTCTCCCTCACTGGTCAGTTCTTCCAATGTTTGGTGTGTGAACTTGGCCGAATTCTGTCTTCACATTCTTCTACCTTCATTCCTCCAAGAATTCCATGTACATATTTTGATATCATTTACCTCAAGGTACAATCCTCCCTCCAACTGAGATGCACCAAGTTTTCCCTTATACCTGGTTTACAAACTCAAGACCATCCCCAGGTTATAGGTAAGTGGGGTTCACCTGGGGGGGGATGCAATCTAAAGACACAAATTCCATTTATATCATTTTGAATGTATATTTATTCCTTGAATTTATCTGTAAATCAGAAAAGAATTTCCCCAAAGGACTGCACATTGCTGCGTCTAGTAAGAAGGCGAGGCTCTCAACAGACTCTCTTTCTGCCATCAGATCGGACACGAGGAAACGAACGAACACTCTGTTCTCCCGGTCCCTCCTTCCCCAGCAAGTACTTTCTTCTTGCACATTTTATCGACTGAAGCTAAGGCAGCACACTCACCCCGGCTCTCGAGGCTGCTGTTCAGACGTCGTTCGGCTGTTTCCAAGAGCTGCTTGCAGGTTTTCCAGAGCTGACACTGCGAGCAAGCGAGGTCAAACGCAGCCATGGCAGGGGGACTGAGGTCTTCCAGAACCTCTCTCAGGGGGTCGGTGGGCTCCACCAGGGTGCTGCTTATCCAGAAGTCCTCCTGCAGCGTGGGGACGGGGTCCCCAGATGGGCTGAGCAGCTTTTCCGTCACGTCAGAAATGGAGTAAAACACCATCCCTGGACACCCAGCAGTGGAGCAAAAAGTAAGAGGTTAAAGTGATTCTACGCACCACTTTCATTGTGAAAAGTAGTTACTTAAAATAAAAAGCGTCTGAGGTCCTTCCTTCCGCACAGGATATCTTCTATGCACATTAGTGCCATCACCGCAGCCCACCCCTATGGCATCAAAGCAATGGCAGGGACAGGAAGACCAAGAGAAACTCAAGACGGCTGAGATGAGTGAGGGCTTCTTCCAAATGGGACGTAAAAGGAGGCTGGGAAAGAATGAGGTGGATCTGTGTGCTAGTCAGAAAAGAAAATCCACTCCAAGAACAGCAAGGTAGAGAACACACTTGTGGTAAGAGCCCATTTATATTCCAAACTTAGTTAAATAGCTATGGAAATTTCTGGGAGAACAGAGAAGGACCCACGTGTGATGCTACTTGATACACAGAGCCTAGACCGGTAAGGTAATATGAAGACGTGGGATGAGATTCTGCCTCCGAGAAAATGCATCAGTTTGGATTCACAGGTCTCTCATAGTGCCCCACGCCAGAGCAAACTGTGGCCCTGGACCACTGCCTGTCCTCTGCCCATAGACTGCAGGCACTGAGGCAAGTTGCACAGTGGATTAAAAAAAAAAAAGAAAGAAAGAATGAATGAAAGGATGAGTTTTTGCAGGCAGCCAAGGCTGAGAACTGAGACCTATAAATTGCAGACCATTGGTATTATACACAACTTCTTCACTTTACAGAAATGTGAAAGAATATGTTTTATCCCTGAATAATTACAGGGGAAGGAAATAAACTCCTAATCATCCCCCAAAGTCTGAGATAGTGGCCAGAAAAACACATGGTAGAGACAGCATTCACACTCGTTAGTTTTGGTCATGCAGGACAAGCTTCAAGGAGCAGCTCGAGTGGCCGGTATGTGACCACCATGATCCGGGAGGCTGGGCACAGGGAGAAACTGACTCTCAATGTGTCTGGACTGCTATTCTTCAAGGCCAGTGTCCTGCTCTGGATTTCAGCTCATCTTCATGATGAGCCTAGCACTTTGTGGCTTTCCTTCTGAGACCTGCCTTCCCCAGCTGCCTCACTCCCTGTGGTGGTGATGGGGAAGACTGACCTGCCGCCGCAGCGCTTCCAATGGCCTGCAGGGTTGAGCGGCCACTGCCTGTTCTTCGAATGGTGCTGCTACCCCCGTCTGAGTTCTGGTTCTCAATCTTATGCTCTACCCGGGCCAGCTCCTGGATCACCTCCTGGTAGCGCTCCATGAACAGCAGTTCCCCTGCGCTGGGCGAGGACCTCAGGTTGAACATGAATACCACCTGGTGCAGGAAAGGGAGGAGTGTGGGTCATGGTCAGCCCGCTGAGTTGGGAAATACCTTGAGGTATGGGACCTTGCCCATCACTAGACTGTGACCCCCAAACATCTGCTTTATCGGGCGGGAAGAGCACAGCATATTAGAAGAGTAGATCAAACACAGAAATAACTTATTCAAGCCAGCAAGAAAGCCATTGAAACTCCATTAGAAAATTGGCAGAAGATATGGACAGTTTCAAAGAGAAAATACATGTGACTGATATACAGATGGAAAATGTTATCCCTTTCAGTAATCCAGGAAACTTAAGTCATATTAATACTGTTTTGCATTTTTCACAATGACAAAGTATACACGTAAATGCTCAGGGGTGGCGGTAAAATGAACTGTCACAACCTTTTTGGAAAAGCAATTTGGTAAGCCATAGAGCTTTAAAAACATTTATATTTTTTGACTCCAAAATGTTCATGAGAAACTTTTCTAAGGAAATAATTCAAAAGGCTGATAATAATCTAAATGTTGAATAACAAGAGAATGGTCAAACGCAGCTACTTGATCAGTAAGGTCATTAAATCAATTATAAGGTGGTGAATGTTAAAAATGCTTTATATAAAATTTTAAGTTAAAAATAATCTTGGCTATATAAAAGTTGCATATATCTTAGAAAAGTAAAGGTAAAAAATATACTTCCCCTTTGATATTGGTCCTGGACAATAGGGTTACAAGTAATATTATTTTCTTTTTACTACTTTTGGTATTTACTTATAATACACATGGCTTTTTTCTGTAGTGATGTTAAAAAACATAAAGTTTTTATTAAAAAGAAAGATCAAGGGCCTGGGAAAAGAAGAGAAAGTGAGGACATTTAAGGGTGGAGTGTCAGGGGTTCAGAGTTGACTTCCTCCACATTTAGGGGTAAAAAATGCTGGGGAGGGCCCTAGCCTCTAGAGAGGGTCAGAATTACCATTATTGCTAAAGTATGGGACCTAAAATGGCCAGAAGCTAAGCAAAGATTCTCTTATGGCCTAGATTTTTCTTTGATTTATTCAACAACTGAGCTCACATGAAAAAAAAAATTCTAATCTACATGTTAAGGGACGAGCATAGTGTGACAAATACATGTGTACCAGTGGAGTTTCAAAAATTAGAATGGTAGGTTTCTATGCTATTACATTTGCACAAGAGCAGAGGATTCTCATATTTCTCACAGCTTGTACAGAATCCTCTTAACAGGCCCATGAGGTAGGGCAAGCAGGTATTATATTTAACTCTAATTTTCTTTATTTTTTTTTAAAAAGGTTTTATTTATTTATTTTTAGAGAGAGGGGAATGGAGGGAGAAAAAGAGGGAGAGAAACATGGATTGGCTGTCTCTCACAGGCCCCCAACTAGGGACTGGGCCATAACCCAGGCATGTGCCCTGACCAGGAATTGAACCGGCGATCTTTTACTTTGTGGGACAACGTTCAATCAACTGAGCTACACTGGTCAGAACTTAACTCCAGTTTTCATATGAGGATACAGAAGCTCAGGGAGGGTAAGTCTTTCTGATTTCTTCTTGTGCTTTTTCCTATATAACATGAATGTTTTAGTTTGGTATCCCTTACACTTGTATATTGAATTGGCATTCTATTTATCATTAAACATTGTCTACATCATGATTTTTAACTATATAAAATCACATATTTGTTCAGAGAAGGTTTATAAGAAACAAAAATATTTTCATGTTTTAAAATGGTGAGATTGTAGCTGAATATTTTATCTTTTTAAAACACTATTTGAGAAAACAAGCCGAGGATTCAACAGCTTAAACCTCCTCCAGTTTGGGTCTTTAAACCTGCAAGGCTGAGGACCGGGCCTTGACCATGCAAACTCTCTCCTGTTTCTCCTGCTGGATGTGGCCCCTCAAACCCTCCTAACTGGCTCTGGCTGCATGAGTGTCCAGGTTTACCCGAGGCCCAGCAGGTTCCAGACAGCTAGGTGCTGACTTAACATTCTTTACTATGATAAGGTGAGGTCTAGGCTACTAACACCTGCTGCTCAGCCCCTTACCTGATGGGCTTCTGCAAAGTTCCCTCGGAGGATGCAAGATACCAGCAGTGACTCAGGTGGGGAGAACATCATGGGGATGAATGAACTTTGGGTTTGGGGCTGCAACCGACCATCCAACTCATTCCGTCCGGACACAGCGTTCAGACTTCCCTCTGTTGGGACACAAGAACGTGGGGGCCACAGGCACAACAGCCATTGAGGAAAAACTACTGCTGTAATCTCCCACCACATTCTGATATCTTCACATTTCTTTCTTTTTTAAAGATTCTTTGTTTATTTTTAGAGAGAAGGGAAAGGAGGGGGAAAAAAGAGGGAGAGAAACATCAATGTGTGGTTGCCTCTCTCATGCCCCCTACTGGGGACCTGGCCTGCAACCCAGGGCACATGCCCTGACTGGGAAGGGAACCGGCAGCCTTCTGGTCCGCAGGCTGGAGCTCAGTCCACGAAGCCACACCAGCCAGGGCTCAAGTTTCTTTTTAAAAAGGTGTGTAAATGGGTCTTGATTTTTCCTCAACTGAAGGGCAAATCTATGTATGCTATTGTCTTTGAATACAAGACTTAAGTACTGTTCTCAGGGATTCACCTCTGTCCTTTCTGCTGATAGGTAACTAAATTGATAGTGAAACAGCTCTTTCCCTACTGAAATCTGTTTGGCCATCTAAAGAACTAAACTTCTTTTTTTTAAAAAAATTAACATATAATTGACATGTAGTTTTAGGTATATAACATAGTGAGTTGATACACTGTGAAATAATCACCAAAGTTTAGCTAACATTCATCATCACACATGGCTGCATTTTTTTTTCTTTTGATGAGAACCTTTAAAATCTTCTTCTAGGAACTTTCAAATACAGAATACAGTATTATTAGCTATAGTCACCATACTGCATATTACGTCCCCAGAACTTCTTTATCTTGTAAGTGGAAGTTTGTAACTCCCTGAACACACCCTCCCTGAATTGCTCTGTCCAGGTTTTCACGGTGAATGGCATCTCCCTGCCAGGGCAAAGCTGCTTGGAGCTGGCAGCTGGTCGGGGCGCCCATACCTGAAGTGCTCGTGCTCAGCTCACTACTCGTACTTTCCAGGGAAGGATTGGAGCCTCTGTCCCGGCCATCTGGAGGTGTTGGGAAGAAGAGAGAAAATCAGCCAGCTAGTCCTTACAATGTAGAAAGTGAGAAGTTGGCCTGAAAACCGAGAGTTGGGTAGTTAGAGGGAGAGGATAATGGTTAACTATAATACCTACTGCTGGAATATATGCTGCTTCTTCTACAGCCAAACACAAGTTCCTACAGACCACAGGGGAAGGGCAGGCTCAGCGTGGCCTCCACATTCATTCGGGTAATAGCCTACACCAGTGGTCTCTAACCTGTGGGTCTCAGAGCCTCAGGGCCTCCAAGTTACTTCTAAGGGTCAGCAACCCCCATCTGCTCACTAAGCATTATCAATATTCTGAAGGAAAAAAGCACAACAACAATTATGAACAGAAAGTAGTAGGCTGCAAAGGAGGGCACAAAATTTGCTGACATAAAAAAAGTTGTTCTCATATTTGAGTAAGACCTGGTCTGCTAAAGACCACGTTATTTAAAGCCCTTGCAGGGGTGTCCAACCTTTTGGCGTCTCCGCCACATGGAGAAGAGTTGTCTTGGGCCACACATTAATACATTGCAACATGTAATCACAAACAAAATCTCATAATGTTTTAAGTAAGTTTATGATTTTGTGTTGGGCCACAGGTTGGACACCCCTAAGAGGGAACAGCTTCTTCTCAACACGTGCTTTGCCTAGTGAATGGGGCTCACTAGGTGTCCCTTAGTGTGGTCATTCGAGGGTAGTACCGGCCCTGCGTGAGGGAGTCTTCTCGGCTCACTGTCTGGAAAGGAACACGCGGCCGTAGGAAAGATGGCTTGCGCACTCTTGGGGTGGATGGGTCAGATGAATGCAAACTGTGCCTTCGACTCAAACCAACTAATTGAGCAGCTTAAAGGCTTTAGCACCTCGGCCTCGAAGTTTCCCAGGTTTCTCCCATAATATTCTCCACTCTACCCTCTATGCTCACTTTTCTCATTGACACTTAGCTGGAGCCTTTGCATTCTTCTGAGCTTGGTTCAAGAGTCAACTTCTCCATAAAATCTGGTTTTCTGACTTAAGAGATATTTTGTGTTTTCAGGCAGTGCCTCAGTGAAGTTTAAGGTTTTCATATAAACTATCTATGAAGGTAAATTAAAAATTCTTTAAAGGCAAAGTCCTGATGTATGCCTCATTCATTTCCCTCAAGATAACTAGACAATATTTAGTATTGTTTAGGACATAGAAAACTCCTATGAATTCCCTGTTAATTATTTAAAAACCAAAAAGAGCTTCTGTCATGAGTGGCACACATAGGGTGGCCTGATTGCTCTATAAGTGGAATCGACATCAAGAGATTTTGGAAGCATAATTTTTTGGTACCTGGGCAGCTAGTGATCATTGGTCCTTGTACCTGTGGGGTAGGGGGACCCCAAACCCCAGCACCAAAAACCAAGCAGAAATATGATTATCTAAAAATTTAACACTCCTGTATAAAATTTCTTAAGAAAAATTCAAAGTCAAAAGACAAAATGGAGAAAGACTGTTAGTATATAATGACAGGATATTATCCATGATACATAAGGAGCTTCTTACAATTCAGCAAGAAAGATGAGCCCAGTAGAAAATATGGACTTTAGACATGAATAGGCGGCTCACAGGAAAATATAAATAGCCAATAAATATATGAAAACATTCAATCTCTAACTAAAAACAAATATTAAAATGATATATATTGCTGTATTAATCATATTGGCAAAGATTTAAAAAAATCTGATACTACTCATTTTTAATGAATATATGTGCAAACAGGCATATTTGCCTCATAACATTTGGTGGCAATGGAAATTAGCCCATCTTTGTTTTTTTAGGCAACTTGGTAATATCGTAATTTTATATCCACATTTTATCTTAGACTTTGCTACTCTACTGCTAGAGTCTTATCCTACAGATACACTCACACAAGTGTGCAGAGGCCTATGTACAGCGTTGTTTACTGTGGCGTTGTTTATAATAGTAAAAAAACCCCAAAACAATTTAAATGACCACAAAAAGGTACATAGGATAATGAAATATTAAGCAGCATTCAAAATGAGTGAAAAAAATAAGTTCTCAATATATAGTATGATACATCTGTATACACAAAAGGACATACGTGAAAAAAGTTACAGTTCCCAATGATATATCTGCATATATAAAATTATATACTTGTACTGTATGGAGAAGGAAACCATTAGCATGGGTTACCTTGGCGGAATGGGACTAGGATAGTGTTGGATTGCTTCTGTTTGTTTGGCCCATGTGCTTTATCCTAAAGAATATCAGACGAGTGGCAATATACCACTTGCCTGGTGCACAGGAATGAGGCATGAGGAGAGCACATCAGGTTACCTGCCCGGCTCCTTCGTGTCCGACGGCCGCGGCGGAGACTTGGGTGCCGTGTGGCAATGGGCCGGTATCTTCGGGAAGGTTGCTCCTCTGAAACAGCAAACCCAAAGTGTCACGTGGCAAAGTGATCAATTTTGACTTGACCCACCTCCTGGGGTAATAGGTAGGGGAAGATTTGGACTGGGCTTTGAGACTGGTTCTGACACTAGTTGCTATGGTAACATGCTTTGAGTCATGGTATAACTTCCATGCACTCCTCGCTCTCTCCCACATTCCTGGGATGTTTCTCCCTCCTCACTTTCTGGACTATTGGTTCTGCTACCTCCTCTCACCTGAGCCCTGGTTACTTGTGACCACTTTGTATCTCCACTGGGCCTCAGAGAGAGCCTTGGAAAAGCGGTGCAGGCGGCTCTGCAGTCCATCTCTGCTCCCGGAACAGCTCTGGCCTTCTGGCAGCTTTGGCTCCTCAGGGGGGCTGTGGCTGCTGAGCTCATCCAGCTGCTCCTGGAGAAGCCTGAGGAAGGCCCCCATTGCAAATTCATCAGCCAGGAACCCACTGATACCACTAGTAAAGTGCTTTAGGTCCAAAAAGCCGTGCCCATGGTGTCCGGGGAAACTGTCTTTCGGCTCTGTCCTCAGACAACTTGGAAGTGCATAAGCAAGGTTCCTGGGGACTCCCAGGGAAGCCCGTTCTGACTTCCTTTCAGGTTGTGCCATGTGCTGAGGGCTCTCCGGGGGGGACTTCAAACCCAACAGGCCCTTCCCCTCAACGTCATCCTCTTCAGCATAGTCCTCGGGCAGGTGAGGCTCTGGGTGCAGGTCGGCAGAGGTGATGAGGAGCAGTGAGAAGATGTTTTCCAGAAGTTCCAGGCACAAAGAATCAGGAATACTGCGCAGATACTGCTGACACCTGGCCAGGTATTTTGAGAAGAGATGTGAAGCACCTAAAGAAACATATATAAGAGAAGTGGGCAGAGAAAGAGAAGAGAGAAAACACAGACATTAGAAACATTACTTGCCAGACCCAAATGTTCTCACAGCTTTAGCTCATCCATTTATGTTGCAACGACTAAGGGAAGTGCAGTCACAGTCAGGAGAATAAGACTCTTCAGTGATGCCTTTTCATTTTTTGCAGAAAGGTTTTGTTGCCTTAATTAAAAGTACAGCTCACTGAATACTTGTTATTTTGTTTCTGCTTTTCATATATTACATTATTCCTTGTCTCTGACAAGCACTCCAGCACACAGGCTCCTTACTCCTGAATTCTATTTTCACTTGTTGTTACACTAATGGGATCAAGGGCCACCTAGACCTCCTAAGAAATACGGGTCAGAAATGACCTAGCTCAGAGGTGAAGGTCTATTCCAAAGCTATAAGGGAGAGAGAACAGACCAGCAGTCACACATGGCAAGTTAAAGTTTTGCAAGTTATTAAGAAAAATGACAGAGGATAGGAAATAAGTTCTTTCACACTGTAGCCATGACTCCTAACATTGACTTAGAGGCTGCATTTTAAAAAAAATGAAATACAACAAGCAATCAAGAGCATACTCTGTTTGGAAGGGTGAGTATATTGTTTCTCAAAACTGATTTCAGTTTATATATCAGTTATATACATATATACAAAACACACAAATTATATAACTATGTGCAGACTGCAGTGTAATGTGAAATGCTATTTTTATTGTGGATTATAGTAAAAGAAAAAACATTTGGAAAACACTGCACTAGGTGATCACTCTATCAGAACTTAGGCAAGTCACTTGCTTTCTCCATGACTCTTTGATTAACAAAGGCTCATAAACAGATGAAATTATTCCTGGGCATAATAAAACCAAGGGCCACTTTCCCAATTCTGGTGGGAAGGGGTTCCCATCTAAAGAAATCTCCGGAACAGGTTGCCAGCTCATATCAGGGATGGGGGTGGTACTGCACCTGAGGAGGAGACAGACTCCTTCACTGGCTCTGTAGCCACGGCCAGGTCCTCGGAGGGGCTGTCTTTGCACTCCTGGCACGGGGTGTGCTGGTGGGAGTTCACGCAGAGCGCATAGATGGCATACTTCATGGCACAGAAGCTCTGGTAGAGTGTCAGGTTCTGGCACTGGCTCAGGTGCTCCGGCGCCAGGGCATCAGCTGAATCTGGATTGTGGAGAGACACAGGCAGAACTTCAGAGCTGGTGCTTTCAGGTATGGGCTGCAAGGACGGCTGAAGCGGAGAGATGCTGCATGTCTCTGTCCTTTCTGTCGGTTCAATCGGCGCCCTTCCAGCCTTTTCCTCCACTCATCACCGACTTTCAGGCCCCTCCATCTCCTTTCCCGCTAACCTCCCTTCTACATGTCTGTTCAACATAGCCCTCGTGGCTATTTAACGAGACTTTTCCCGAAATTTCTTAAAATCTTGGCTTCCCCTTTCCAAAAAATTAAAACTTAGCAAATGTGTGGTCTACCTAGTGACACATTATCTAAGAGGTAGGCTTAAAATGTGTTCAGACGGAGTAATGAGAGCAAAGGAAGCAGAAATTTCTTTGAAAAAATATTTCATATTTTAAGAAAACAATGAAGCCCTGGCTGGGTAGCTCCATTGTTGAGTGTGTCGTCCTGATACACCAAGGTTGCAAGATTGATCCCTGGTCAGGGCACATATAAGAATCAACAAATGAATGCATAAGCAAGTGGAATAAATTGATGTTTTGCTCTCTCCCCCTTTCTCTCTCTCTAAAATAAAAAAAAAGTAAAAAATAACTAAAAAAAAGAAAAAATAAAGAAAGCAATAAAGCACACATGGGGAAAAACATAAACTCTGAAATTCCTTGTACTTGTTTAATAATTTATAACTTCTCATTAAAAAAATACTGAGCTTGAGGAGAAAGGGAGGGCACCAAAATCTTTAAAGAATCTCTGAACATCTTAATTTGGCTTTAATCCTTTTCATATTAAAAGTACAACATTCTCAAAGAAAAAGCATTAAATGTAGTGAAGCAAAGGAGAAAAAAGAAAAATATCACCCACAGTCCTTCCAGCTAAACACAACCATTGTTAACAGTCTGTTTCATCCCCTTTGATAGTTTGGCATATACATATGTGTGTGTGTGTGTGTGTGTATGCTGAGTGTCATGACATTTGCTATGCTATTTAATTTTCCTACTTCTTAAAAATCCATTATAGTATAAGCATTTGATTATGCTTCTTCATAAACTAAATTTCTGACAGCTGCATCTAGTGCTACTGAGGTACATTCCTCTAGGGCCGGAGTTAGGGATGCTTTACTCTGTGATGCTGCAATAAACCCCTTTGTGTATAGGCTTCCTAGCGATGCCTTCTTCCTTTGCCAAAGTCAGGGTAAGAAATCGAACAAAATCAGTGTTGTTCTGTGTCCCTGGCCTCTACACTGCATTGCTGCCCAGGCCCAGGACTTGTAAGCCCTTGCACGACCCTGAGGGTGAGCAACTCCTTAAAATTTGCGCCCGAGGTGCTTCTCTTGCCTCACCATAGTCCCAGTCCTATTATTGTTCCTCTTGTACCTTTTCCTGGTGGGTCACCAGGGATCAGATTTAAAGGGCTTCTCTGGAAACCTTTTGTACTTGAATGTAGAAAACAGAGCTCCAGCTCCCTTAGGAAATCTGTGGAACAAGTTGCCTATCTTTCCAGAAAAAAATATAGAACATAATGACACTGGTTTCCCAATTAGTGGTAGGTCCTTTTTCAAAGTCAATCTAAGCAATACCTAGGCTGGGCAACATTGACGGCCATATGGGAAGGCTTGTTTCTCTCCAAGCTAAGTGTCCCCAGGCCTGTGTGGCAGGTTGTGACTACACTATGTTATCATTTTTGAGAGCAAAAGAACTTGTTAATTGGGACTTTAATTTTAAGCAAAGAACTTGGATTAAACAAGGCTTTGCTATTGTTTCAGGCAAGTCTTTCTTTTAAACTGCTTCATCTGTTCAATAGCATGTGATGGAGATATGGGGAAGAAAGACGGCAGGCAGAAAGCGTGCTTTGAGAAGGCTTATGAAGAGTGGAGAGACTTACCAAGCCCTGACAGAAATACTGACGGCCGAAGACAATGCTGTGAATTCCGAGGGCACTGCCTAATCCCGGGTCAGTGGAAGGAAGATGTGCTAGTGGGTCTTGAGATGGTTTCACGAGGACAAAGGTTCCTACGGGACTATTCTCATAGGGTTCCCCACACCTCATCAAGAAAGGGGAGGCATGTTCCTGCAGCCTGTCATCCCTTTGGGGCAAACAGCACTGATTTAGAGGGGACCTGCTAGACCACCCACCTTGACAGATTACACCTAGATAAATCTTGGGCTGCAAGAAACTTGGGCAAGATTGTCTTCAGAGGAAACCTTGCCCCAGTGACTCCATCGCCAACTTACCATGCTCTTGCTGGGGGTCCTTGGCTGGCACCTTCTGTAAGAGCTTGAGAACATCTTCCTCCCTGAGGGCTGGAAGGCTTGTGAGGTGATGGAGAGAGTAGAGCACTGAGTGGCTGTCTCCACCATGGAGATGACACAGGAGGTCTCTCTTTGGTATGGGGTTGCTGAGAGGGAAAGGCGGGAAAATGGAAGGAGAGGCAATTTATGTAACTGCTCTGAGACAGACCAATCTCGAGTCCCTCCTGCTCTTTCCCTCTGAACCACAACACTGCAGGTTTCGCTTCCCCAAAGACTAAATTTCAGTTGGTTTGGGATACAGCAGAGCAATTATTTACCCTCGGGGAACTACATCCATCAAGGCAGCTCTTCTTGTTTAGAAAGGGCCTTTTTGGTCAGTTAAGCCTGCGGATTAAGCTTTCCAGTTTCTCTACTCTTCTTAGCTAAGAAGTGACACAAGCTTCTCTGGTTTACTTTGAGTAAGGGCCTCGCACTGCTTCCCACTCCGCCCACCCTATTTCAGGAAGCGCTGCTGAAGTGGGCGAAGAACAAAACAGGAACCCGGACCTGGGGAGGACCTAAGGCTGAGTCCTCGGGGACACATGGCTCAATCACAGCTCAACAGGCAGTTACTGAACAAAAGTGTGACCCAGGATAACACATGGCTAAGAATGTGGGCCACATTTACTGTGTCACTGTGGGCATGTCACTCAACACCCCTGGGCTTCAGTTGCCCCACCTTTAAAATTAGGATAATATTGGTATCCACCTCATAGGATTATTGTGCAGCTTAGTGAAATCATCCACATAAGGAGCTTGGAGCTATGATTTGCATGAGGTGAGTGCTCAGGAAATTGTGAGCTGTTGTTCTTTTATGTCGTCCTTGAATTATCCTCTAGTTATAACCTCATGGCTATGGTGAAAGTAATTATTACTTATGTTTCTTTCCTGGTTTAATAGTTGGGGTAATTATTTGTTGCTGGTCAACAATGTCAACTCAAAACATTTACATGGAAGATGTCTTGAAATGGTCACATGCATAGTATACATGGGGTCAAGTGTGCCCAATGGCGGGAAGGGCGCTGGCGGCACTGGGCTGTACCTGCTCTGCTGTACACACCACTCCAGCACCTCCAGGTGAGCCCACAGCCCATCACAGGCATCCCTGAGGAGCTTGTCACAACTTTGGTCCTGTGTTGACACAGAAGAAAGAGACGGTGACGTAGGCATCTGGGGTCAGAAATTACAACGAGCTTCAGGACTTTGCATTCCGCCTTAACCCAAAGTCCCATGGCACTCACTTTTGAGAAGCTCAGGCTGCAGAGTGAGAGTTACCTGGGTCCTGTGGAGTGTCTGCAGCAACTTCTTGGCTGACTCGAGGCTCTGGCAGTGTGTCCAGCCCAGGAGCACAAGCAGTCGACTGAGAGGCCTGAATTCTCTATCTAGCAGGCAGCCAAGACTTGGGAAGTCTTCCTCTTTCAACAATGTTAGCGCTGTCACCTGTAAGTCAGAGGAGGCTGCTGTAGGCACTTGTGTGGACTTGCTGTTCATCGGGGTAAGGAGCTTTTGGGCATAGCAGGGAGACTTCTGACAATCACAGAAGTGGCTAGCTGAGTAAAAAAGGTCCACAAAAAACACTAGACTATAAGCTTGTTGAAGGCAGGGACTGACTTCTGCTGTAATCCCAGCTCCTAGCACAGTACAGGGCACATAGGATGAAGTTAATAAATATCTGTTGAATTAGTCTGAAGCTCAGTTGCAATCTGGAAGGAGAAGGTTAGAGTAATTAAGTCCCTGTGAGCTAGGCGACATACTGCTACCACTATCTTATTTATCTTGCACCCTCTGGAGAGCCTACAAGTATCCAACATTTTAGTTCTTGCCAAAGGACGAACATAAAATGGCTACAATTCTAATTCTAAGTGATACTGGTCCTGAAAGACTTCTGTCCCCTGGGACTAAAGGATGGACAGAACCAAATGCATCCCAGTAATTAGACTTCTCTGTGTTGGATGAGTGGGAGAGAAATGGGAAATGAAGAAGCCTGTAGAGAGTCCCTAGGTACTTCTAGGTGGAAAATAATTACGTTTGACCTACCAGGATCTGCTCAAGGAAATGCTTGCTGTTGCTCAGGCAGTAGAAATAGGCCAGTTTCCAAGCCTCAGCTGGGTCAGGGTGGGAGAACAAGACCAGCATTGCCCGCTCAGGATCTAGATGATCCGGTGAGACTGGAAATCAAACCACACAGGGTTACTGGGGAACTGGAGCCCTAAAGCACATTTGAGAAACCAATCAATAGAGTTCACTCTTTTAAGAACTTAAAGCAGGTTTCCTATACTTCTATATTAAAGACTCTTTCCTTCTCGCATTAGCCTCTGAAAAGCTCCATGCTGCTATTGCTATTACTTTCTATATATTTTTTCCATCACTCCATGTTAGACTACAAAATCAGTGCTTTTACAAAAGAAGATTTCACTGTTTTTTGCTTAGCCTTTCCCATAAGCCCTCCTGAGCAACATGAAAGGAACTCCAGAGAGGTTGGGCATAGTGGAATTACCAGCATACCAGGAGAAGCAGCAAAGGGAACACACCTTTTTCTGACAAGGTGGCCTTTGGTGGCTTTTCTGTGGCCTTCTCTGCATAGGTCTGGCAGTAGAGGGACAGCAGGCTCCGCCCAGCCTTGTGCAGCAGGCAGTTGAGCAGCCGGTGCTCCTGCAGGGGGCTCCCTTCTGTCCTGCAGGCCTCCAGTAGTTCCTCACACAGGACACGCAGCTCAACCCCGAATGGCTCCGCAGGGCAGTGCAGAGTCCGCAGGGCTCTGTAGATGGCATCTACTCCCCCAGGAGGCCCAGTGGCAGGGTCCTGCATAGCTCGCAGGGCCTTTCGAATGAAGTCCACCAGTGCCTTCTGCAGAGGCTGGCCACAGAGGCCGGTGCCATTGTCTTCCCTAAGCAGAAGCTCCAGCAGGGCCTGCGCTGGCTGGGAGGCCTGGCTCAGAAGATCCAAGAGCACAGAGACGGCTTCTGAACTGAGCCGAAGGGTCCAGCTCTCCTGACTCCGATTTCTGTCAAGCACAGTGTCCACAGAGTCGGGGTCTTGGGATAAAGCCTCATAAAGCTCCTGAACAGAGGAAGGAAGGGCGAATGGTGAGCACATCTAGGATGTCATCATCTGTGTGCCTTTCTGTTCTCCTATTTCAGTACATGTGTATGTATTTATTAGAAACAGTAGCAAACACTTTTGTAGTAGTTACTATGTGCTAGGCCCTTTACACAGGAAAAATCAAATCAATCCTTACAACCACCTTAAGAAGAGGACACTACTATTATCCCCATTTTATAAATGAGGAGATTGAGGCAAGGAGATTTACTCAGTTGCCCAAGGCTTCCATGCTCAAACGTGTCCCTCCTTACTGCCTCCAAAGTTATCAAGGACTGCAAACTCACAGACCAAGTGGTAACAATAGTCATGTGACCTTATGCCTAACGCAAGGCATTTAAATTCAATTTTTAAAAGCGCATTACACACCAGTTTTTAATCCTTGATCTAAATCCTAGCCATGCTTTAAGGTACAGCCCTTTCCTCATTCCTCTATAAAACCTTCTCTAATACCTCCAACCCATACAACTCCTCCTTTTCATTGGGCTTTCAGTGTACTCCAAATTAGTACCCTATGGTTCGTAATTGTCTCATGAGTCTATTAGTCCTTCCGCTCTGACTAGAATAAGCCCTTAGAGGCAAGAACCTCTTTGCCTGTAATTTGTTTGCAGGGTGGGGCAGAGGGAAGGGGGGTGCTTTAGCACCATGCCTATGGAAGGTGCTTAGGCATGCTTCTTCATTAACTGCCTCCAATATGGTCACAGAACTGTGACTCCTTGACTTAATATAAGTGAAAGTATGCACCTTAAATCCTACTGCTAATATGTCTTTATTAGCAGATGATAGGCTGATGAAGAAAATAAGTACTGAGCCTCAGAGCATACCTCAGGCTCTTAAGTACAGATCTAGTTAAGACTTAGTTTGAATTTGGCCCCTGAAGATTGCTGTGAGAATTAACTCTAACATACTCAATGTACCTGTTACAGAAGGAATATTCAATGAATACCAGTCCTTTCTCCCTTTACATTCCCTAACATACACTGGTGAGAAATTCAAACACCTAGTTTAAGCCCAAGTTATGTACTCCTTTTACATGAAATGAAAAAAATTTAATCCACAGCTATACTTAGTAGTTCTGGACAATTCACCTCTAAGAATTCTAAAATCAGGTAAGTTTATCCTAATTCTAACGTCCCCTTGCGGGACCTCTATCTAGCCTGGTCTTGCCAACCCCATGCGGACCCATCTCTGCGGGACCTCTGGCAACTGAAGTGGCAGAGGAACTGCGACCTGGGCCAGACGGCTCCAGAGCCTTCTCTCACCTTGAGGATATCCTCTGGAATGTTACCTTGGAGGTCTTCTGACAATAAAAGAAACTCCAGCTTTCTCCGGAAAACAGTTGGGAGTAACTTCTAGAAAAATCGTAAGAAGGAAATACAGTGATTAGCATGCTTTAGTTAACAAATTGTAAGTAAATATTCTCTCCAGTTACTTTATTTTGCTGCAAAAAATTTTATTTTATATAGCATCAGCCGTAAATTTTTGTTATTAGTTATTATATAAATGCTGCCACGTGCCATTATCCAAGTGGTATTATCCAAGTGGTATGGTCATTTTATGTCCACAACTCACTTTGTATTTACAGAATTTTTATGATTTACATAAGCACATCTACCAGTGAAGGTTTAACTCTGAGATGCACTCTACCCACCATATTGTCTGAGGTTTTGCACATAGCAATGTAGGAGAGATGTATTTTTTTTTAAGATTTTATTTATTTATTTTTTTTAGGGAGGGAAGGGATGGGGGGGAGAGAGAGAAAGAGAAAGAGAGAGAGAGAGAGAGAGAGAGAGAGAGAGAGAAACATCAATGTGCGGTTGCTGGGGGTTATGGCCTGCAACCCAGGATTGTACCCTGGCTGGGAATCGAACCTGGGACACTTTGGTTCCCAGCCCGTGCTCAATCCACTGAGCTACGCCACCCAGGGCTGAGAGATGTATTTTTAATCACCTTTTCATTTGAGTCACCTTACATAAAGAAATAAATGGATAACTTCAAGGTTCTAAGTCTCTAGAGGAGATTTTCCAATGTGCTCACAGAAATGGTTAACCAGTAAGGTTGTCAGAAACACTTCCATGTCCACATCCTCCTGGAGTTTCTGTGCTGTTTGTCTTCTTGCTGCTTTCTTTGCACGGAAAAGGGCCCAGATGAGATAAATGTTTTGATTGACTTCTTTGATGTCTTGAACTTTCTGTATTTGTTTTTCTTCAACCTGTTCATTATAAATTTAGCTTGACATTTCAGTTTGATCTCTTCAACTCTCTTCACTGCCTCAATTGTTTTATTTCACAGCTCTTGCTAGTATTTCATAGGTTCATTTCTATGTTTTTCAAATTCAAATGAATTATCTGCTGTAAACTCTTTATCAGCTACTTTAAAGATTTCTTTAGTCTACCTGACCTTGCAAGGATTGTGATTCTCTTTAAAATTTTTATGACCCTTGGATCTATAGAACCTGAACACCTTGCAATCGTTGGGGATGGAGAACAGATGCCATGGCCGAGGTACATGGGCCCGAAACAGAAATAACACTTCTCCACGTCTCCAGCTACTCTTATTTCTGCTGTTTCTCTAAGATAACCATTAAATTCCTAGGAAAGTTTTGAGATACTTTCCTTTAAAAACAAAAATAGTTACGCTTGGATGCAATACCTTTCTTAAATGCTAACAAATTCCACACTGATCAGCCTCAGACTTCAAGTTTTGCTAATTTCATGTCACTTTTTCTGTCACTTGAAATCTTTTTCCAAAAATCTCCCCCACAGTGATCAAAATATCCAGTTATGAGTAAGCCTGGGAGGGTGTGGACCACATCATCCTCTTTTGGTCCAAATCCTGGATTTTGGTATTTATTATAAGTTGGAAAACAAAAGTAAACAGGAAAGAGCTAATGTTTATCGAACACTTACTATGTGCCAGGTGCTATGTGTATATTTTTGCATATTTTTAAAAATATCATTTAATCTCTAAATCACAGAAACCTGTGGTTTAAGTAGATTATTTTTTAAAATAATCTCCCTGGCTAGCATAGCTCAGTGGATTGATTCCCAGTCAGGGGAATGCCTGGGTTGCAGGCCATGACCCCCAGCAACCACACATTGATGTTTCTCTCTCTCTCTCTCTCTCTCCCTTCCCTCTCTAAAAATAAGTAAGTAAAATCTTAAAAAAAGATTTTCTTTAAAAAAATAATCTTTACTAGAAATGAAATAGTTAGAAAGTACTTTCCAATTATTTCAATCATGAAAAGGAAAAGGTGATCCCAATGTTTGCTAATAAGACACACCTTGAGAGAAGATTAAGGTATAAAGGAGGAGAGAGCCTTTCTTTTGGTACCTCTTGTTTCACAACTACTTCCCATTACCTGGTCCTTAAAGTAAAGTTACAATCTGCCTTTCTCCAGACACAAAGAGATAATCTTGACAAACACAGCTTTAAATTGAAGACACCTGTAAATCATGCAGCTGGTTAAAGCCTCTAGAAGCTGGGTTTTATTGAAAGGTCCCTTAGCTCAAGGCAAGAAATACCTACAGAATTGTGTGTGTGTGTGTGAGGGGGAGTTTACAACACAAGACCCAATGTTCCTCTGTTGGAAGCAGCAGGGCAGTGAACGTTTCTGCAATTTAATCTTGGCACACATACTTACACATGTAGAGATAGTCGCTACAAGATAAAAAGGCAGAAGGCAAAAGTGGATGAAGGAAAGGGAAAATGGAATCACTGTTTCAACTAATAATTAAAAGGGAAGCTTCTGGCACAAGGTAGGAGACAAGGTGGGAAAAGGACAGGAAGCCAGCAAGTCTCAAGAAGATGAAAGCCACTCCAGGACAAGGACTGGCCTCGTAGAACTACTCCAAGAATTCACTTGAACTCTTAGTCCTTGTATAAAGTTTTTAAATTCTCTGAGGTCCTTGTTTAAAGTTTAAAACAGTCCCACAACTGTTTAAATAACTGAGGCATTGGGCCAAATGATCTTCAGTGCCAGCAAAAACAAGAACTTAGTCTGTGCTAAGGAATCAGGGAAGTAAAATCCACCTCCTGATGGGGTTGAGCAACTGTCCACAAAATAAGCAACCAGTCAGCCATTAAGTAATCAGATACCCTTTAGTGAGGGGAACATTCATCTGGTTTGATAAATTCCATGTTTGTCCTGGAAATATCCTGAGTCACTAGCAATAAAACATTTATGCTTTTTCTCTTTGAAGATACTATTAAATATTTTAGCTCAAGTTTTTCTCTTTTAAATCTGAAATTATAGCTAATTCTTGATCATCCTGGGATTTTTTCAATTTTGCTTCTCTTTCTTTCCTCCTAGTCTTTAAAGCTCGGATGAGAAATACATTTAGATTAGTAGTATCTGTTACTTGTTGACAGCTCTGTGGAGAAGGGCAGGTGTTAAGCACAATTGGAACTAAAGACAAAATGAATTCTGATGCCTGAGGGAAGTAAAGAAGAAAATCAGGCTCAAAAATAGAAATTTACACAATAGAATTTACAGTTTCTTTCTTTTAAGCCCATGAAGACGTAAAAGAAACTGATATTGAGGTGGAAAGGCAGAGGAACGGGAACTCAAAGTCAGATCTTGGTTCTAGCTCTAGTTTCGTTAGCTTTATGGTGTGATCTCAGGCCTGTCGTCTCCCTTGAGTCAGAGGCTCCTCACTTAAATTTTAAAGTCTGAGATTTAACACAAAACTGCCTCAGAGAAATGACTTTAAGGATATCAATTTCTGATAACTATCATATACTTCCAAACAAGGCTTTTCATGGCCATTTTTCTTTTGAGAAAAAGCACTTCCTTACAAGTTTGCTTCCAGTATTAATTTGCTTACCTTGTTTTTATATTTGGTACAATATCATTCAATTCATGTGAGCTACTAAATTATTAGAGGTTGAAATCTGTAAGATTTCATTGTACTGGACAAGTTAAAATATGATTTTTGGAAGAACAACCAAGTTTCAGCTCAGCCCACTCTCCATCACTTCAGTATCATAATACTGAAGGGCCACACTTCATTCCCCGACGTGTCACTTTCGTGGAGTCCCGCAGCGTTCTGCTCAGGCACAACTCTCATAACGGCACTTAACAAAACGGTATCACTTCACATGGTATTACATGCTAACGAATGATAGCGAAATTAATGAATGAATTTAGGTAAGAAGACAGCAATAACAATTTGTGCCATTCTCACTGTCAACATGGAGAGAGGATATGAAAACCTCATAATAAATGAAGTAACAGAAGGGAAATCTCATAACTACTTTCAAGTTGTTCTCAGTCTCGGCCTCAGGAGAAAATGTGAAACAGAAACCTCCTTACCTTTTCCTGGGCAAACCATTTTTCCAGTACAAGAAGCCAGACCCAGGCTAATCTTTGAGGGTTGATGTCCTGTCCACATCTGCAAAATGTAAAAAGAAAAGAATTTCTAGACAAAGAAGTTCCACTGACTTTTTCTCTTTTGTCGTCCAAGATTTTGATTTCACTGCTTAGTTTATTTTAAACCCCAACAGGCAAGACAATCAATAAAACTAGAACCAGAATACAGCTAGCAGCTTTCATAAAAAAAGTAAAGAAAAAGATAGTAGTCCTACCTCTACTTCCCTATCTACTTTTTATTATTTCTAAACAAAATTCTGTTACATAGAAAACCATAAAAGCAAAGCTATCTAAAGTGGATTCTTGAAAACAGAAACTGAATCAAATAGTCTTAAAGAAAAAAAGGAACTTGATAAAAATTTATTTTAACTCTATATGAAGAAAAGGGTTATAGGAATTCATAAGTCTTTCTTTGAAGTTAGTAATTTAGATTAGATAGTAACAGGCTAGAATCCAAAGTTAAGGGGAAAAAATAAAGGAAGAAAAGAGTCACCTAAGCTTGCACTCTATTAAGGGGGCAAAAGTAGGTTTACAGTTGCGAGGACACAAAAGAGCTTATTCTTGTATTATTAATTAATTATTTTATTACTTTCCACATGAAAAACTGTAAACCTACTTTTGCCCCACCCTGCATATGCTAATACAGTGCTTAAACAATATAACATAAAGTAAGGAACAGTGAGGGATAGGCTGAACAATACATTTAATTCCTATTCCACCAGTTATTAGCATGGCTGGAAGAATTTCATTAAAAATTTAGGTAGAGAACAGTGGTTGTCAAGGGACAAGGTGGGGTCAAAATACAAAGAGTGAGGAAATTCTTTTGTGGTGATGAAACAGTGTGTACCTTGATTACAGTGGTAGTTACATGAATCTATGCAGGAATAAAATTGCACAGAACTATGCATAAAAACGAATGCAGATTAAAAAATGCATTCTAGTTAACAATAATTACCAATGTTAATTTCTTGGTTTTGCTATTGTACTATAGCTATTATGAGATGTCACAACTGGGGGAAGCTGTCGAGAAGGTACTTTTTGTATTACTGTTGTATGTCTTGTGAGTCTTATAATTATTTCAAAATAAAAAGCTCTAAGTGAATTTACTTCCATTTCTTTGAAGTGAACTCACTTCAATTTCATAAGCAAGAACAGAGCAGGGTTTGCTTTTTTGGAGGCAAAGAAAATGCTTTTCAATGTAGCCCCACCTACTTTAATGACGATAAACAAGAAATGGTGGTTTCAGGCACAATTTGCTGGCCAGGCTTAAACACAGTTCCCAATGATAATTTAAAGCCAATACTGATTAAATAGTAGGCATGTATTATAGAGGTAAATTTTGAGCATGTAAAATATGCTCTTCCTCTGCTAATTCTTCAGAGGGTAGTTGAGTGAGGCACAGTGACCAGAGCCCAAATACTGAACCTTGTGTCTCCCCCACTGTGACTGCCTGGCAGTAAGAGAGATCTCTTACCTCAGCTGATTTGGACACACTACCAGCGCCTGGAGTATATCCTCCACCTTCTTTGGGATATCCCCTTGTGCCTCGTGTAGCTGGGGAACACATGCCTGTGCCAGCTCCCACTCTCCTCTTCGAAGGCACTCACGGAAAAATCCAAAAAGCTCCTTCTGGGAAGCAGTTTCCTCTTTTCCAAATGGATGATGCATTTTCCCAGCACAGAGTGCAGGGAGATAGAAAGAGATGAATTACGCAAAACACATTGTCAATTTTCTCATTCCTGGAGCATCTCCTATAAACAATACACACCAGAGTAAGAAGAAATAAAAGGAGCTGTGTTTAGGTAAATAGTAATTACTAGCCCGACTGGGAAAGGGGGAACTTACTTTCCTAGTTATTATTAGTTATCATCAGTAAGACTGATTTGACATGCTAATGTCTTTTTTGGAGAAGTTCCACCTTTGCCCAAGGGGCGGATCTCATCTTTCTACAAGCATCCAATATTCATTTAATATTAACGGTCATATTAGCCCGGAACACAGATCCATAATTCCACTTTCGTATTCCCTCCTAAACTTTAAACGCAGTCCCGCTCCAAATCCCCAGGTAGTCGCCTCCTTACGGACGAGAAATTCAGCAGGAACCACCCTAGTTTGAGCTCTCCCTTAAGGCAGAGGGTTGAGGATCCGTAGAGGAATCTGTCTCAGAACTGGAGGTCAGTGGGAGTTGGGGCACAGGGGCGCTCCCTAGAGGGGTCTTGAAGAGCCTTCTCTGGGGTGTCTTACACTCACCTGCTCCCGGTGCCCAGAGAAATAATGCTTCGAGCGCAGCCATGTTTGAGTCAAGTCAGGTGACAGATGCCCTTCTGGAGGTAGCGGGGCGGGGGGGCGGGCGGGAGGAGTTGACGGTGACAACGGTCATTCCTATTGGTCGATGGAGCAAAGATGCAAATAAGGTGCCATATTTGTTTGGGTCACGTGAGGCCACCTCAAGGGACTAGGGAGAGCTTGTTCGCTCCAAGAGAGTAAATCAGCTACCTTCTAAGAAACATCCTTCTCAGTTTTGACAGCTCCTCTTCTTGACACTTTCCGTTCTGCGTTCCGCGGAGCAGGTGGCAGTAATAACCATGTTCCTTGATTTTGTTTTTCCGCTCTCTTTTCTCTCTAGAGTTTGAAGTCAGCGTTTACTGAGTTCCAGCCAGTGTTAGTGCTTTGCCAGGCCTTGGGTAGGATACTCAGAGCGAGATCTGAATCCACTTCCGTAGTTATTCAATATACTTGGGCTCTTTTTTAATCTCAGAACCCTGCGTTCTGAATTCGCATTTTCTTCTATTTAACTCGATTTATTCATTTACTCATTTATCCGACAACTGTTAGTTGAGTGGTGTGCTAGCCTTTAGAACCTGAATAAGTTGTGGTCCCTGTCCTCAAGGATCTCAGATTCTAGTGAGGGGTGCCAATCAATACTTAGAATAAAATGCGCTAAATTATAAAATACAGGTATGCACAAGAGAGATAAGAGCAAAGAATGAGCAACATTGTTTGCGTATATAATAGTCTGAAACTGAGAAAGTAACCGTTTGAGCAATTCTATTCAGCATTTCCCAAACTATTTCACCACCAAAGGGTGATGAAGAAAACAAGCCAAAACAAACCAAAAGCTTCTTCCGAAACCGCTCCTATGATAGGTGGATTCTCATCTATTTCCAGAAAACTAAAATGGTCTCTCTGATCCGTTAAACAATTTTTAAATGTAGTGACAAAATAAAGAAAAGAGAAAACTTTAAGCAAGGTTTCTTCCGGCTTCATAGACTCCTTACTGACATTCCTCTAACCCATTTTGATAATCACTAGATTGAGAAACTGGGATTTACAGCTGTATTATAAAGGGCGAACTACAAATCCCAGCAAGCTGCGGAGCCGACCTGACTCTGATGGCTTCTGATTGGATATTTCGCCTGAAGACGACCCAACCAGCGCTTTGATTGTAGCTTTGCGGCACTTTCCGCGGGGAACTGTGTGATGGGTGGGGGAAACTTTGAAAATTGGATGCTGCAGACCCGGTACTGGAAAGTTTCATCCTGGTGGTAGATGTGGGGAAGCGGGGTGCGCGCATTATTTTCTGTCCCCTCTCGGGGCGCGTGGTATTGATATTGGGGCAGCGGAGAGTCTCTCGCGTGCAGGCACGCCCCCTTAAGTAGGTTTGGGATCTTAATACGAGCTCTGCCGCGGATCTGTGGGCTTTCTGTCTTTGTGGGGTTGCAAGGAAGCTGCTCCTTGTTGAAAAAGCTCTTTTTTAGGGGGTTTGGGGTAGCGTTTCGTCTCTTGATACTCCCCTCCCCCTCTTTCACTTCCAGGCAGTTTGGTGTCTAGGCAGGGAAGCCCATGATTGGGGGAAATTTAGGGTGCCCGCTTTCAGGTTTTGTTGCAGGAGAGGTGGATAATAGCGTGGAATCTGGAGTCAGATCTCTGGATTCGAATGCGGACTCCATCATATGCTAGCTGTTAGACTGCGAAAGTTTTCAGCTCAGTGCCTCGTATCTTTAATCTGCAAAAGGAGTAAAACATCCCAAGGGCTTGAAACAGTGTATGAGACCTAATAAGGGCATCCATAAATATTAGCTATTATTGTTACTTCACAATTTTCATTGAACAACTAAAGGAGGGTTTTTCTTTCTTTTCATGATGAGGCGTAGAGGATTCAGTCTCTAGGTTTGAGTATCTTCCCTCATCCTCCATTGACATGAGCATTTGCACACACATACAGAACAGGAACTTACAGTCTCTAGTGGAAGAATCAAACATTCAAGCCATAATAATAGTTAATCATCTGGCAAATATGTACAAAGTGATGAGAACATTGGAGAAGAAGAGACTGAGTTTGGAGAAAGCTTTGTGAAGGAAAGTCAGGGAGGCAGGTTGGCGCTTGCCTGACTTACCAATATACTTTGAGGCTGGAGAGCAGTCGCATGAGGCAGCTAATGAAGTTTTGCTCAGTGAATTGATAATGATAATGATTGTTAACCTTGAGCATTACGTGAAATCCTTTAACCTTCATTACAGTCCTATGGAGTAGGTATTTGAATTACTGTTGTTTTACAGATGAAACTATAGGACAGTGGGAGGTACAGTAACTTTGCTAGAAAGGTCAGGATCTGGGCCTTGCAGTCTGATGTAGGAATGAGTGGGAAATGAGGAACCAGTTTATGAAGGGTCTTAATCCTAGGAAGTGTGGAATATATCCTATATCCTGTAGCCTGATGGTTCCATGGGCAGTTTTAAAGGATGAAGGTGACAAGGTAGGGGCAACTTTTTAAGAAGCTCTCTCTGGCAGGCACTGGCCTAGTGTTTGCAGGCCAGTGTTGTGCTTCTTCCTGTCCATGGCCAAGTACTGACAGTACTTACTGCATGATGAGTTATTTTTGTATATATCACTCTTCTTCTTTTGAGGATATGTTTATTGATTTTTTTAGAGAAAGGAAGAGGGAAGAGACAGAAACATCAATGAGAGAGAAACGTTGATGAGTTTCTCCCAGTACGCTCTCTGACCAGGGACTGAACTTGTATTCTACGTATGTGCCCTGACCAGGAATTGAACCTGCCACCTTTTTGGTGTACAGGACAGTGCTCCAACCATCTGAGCCACTGGCCAGGGCTTTATACATCACTTTTTATCTTTTACTGTGAGTTGCCAAAGGGGAGGGAATGTACTTAAATGATTCTTCAAAAAAATGTTTTTTAATTTATTGAGAGAAAGAGAGAAACATCGATTTATTGTTCTGTGTATTTATGTATTCATTAGTTGATTCTTGTATGTGCCCTGATCAGGGGTTGAACCTGCAACTGTGGCTTATCAGGACCATACCTTAACCAACAGACCTACCTGGCAAGGTTTTTAAATGATTCTTGTACCCCAGAACTTAGCACTTGTACTCCAGATCTTAGCAGAGTGTGTGCTTAAGGAGCCCCTGCAGAAGGAGTAAATGAATGGATTTTTTTTCTTGAGGCAGGGAGTGACCACATGTATGCAAAAGTCCAGGCAAGTGATGGGAGTGGCCCTAATAAAGGCAGAGATAGCAGAGTTGGTCTTTGTTAAAGTCCAGGCAGTTTGGGGTTGATAGGTCTCCTTTTTCATTGAATTTACCAGTCTAAATGGTGTCATTCCCTGGAACTACCTGATCTGTAAAGACACTAGGCAATGGCATAGGACATGCCACTCAGTAAACTTTCCACTGGGGAAACAAATCAATACTGACTAATTCCCATTAAGAGAAATGAGAGGGATGTATTCTGTGTTTGTGGGAGGTGTGTGTGTGTGTGTGTGTGTGTGTGTGTGTGTGTAAGAGACAGAGGTTTGATCTGATACACAGAGATACTCAGTCTGATTCAGAGATTTTAGATGTTAAATAGAAATTTGGATCATGGTATTAGAAATAAGTATCTACATTCTCAGTATATACATTTTTAAAATTATACTTTTCTGATGATTATATTGCTTTATCCCCTGGAACAAGGAAGAGTTCCTGTTTCTACTCTATGCAGAGGATATTTTGCCATCTCAATGAGATACAAAGCCTATCCTTTGCGTACGTTAACAAGGGAATGACAGCGATTCTATTCTAGCTCCCTGAAGGCAATTATTTCAGAAACCTTATTTAGCCCTAGTGAGGTTCAACAGGAGTGAAATTTAATAGTATTTGGGAATATGATCAGCTAGTATAGTATGTAGGAATGTGGGCAGCTAGTATAATAAACAGAATTCAGCTTATAAATAATACCTGGAGTAATAAAATAGCATTTGATTAGAAGATTTTCTGTGACTCAGAAAAAGGAGTTAAATATGATTATGGACTGGTAGTGGAGTGTGATGGTTAGGAGGATGGGCCTCAAGAGTCAGAACTCCTGGGTTTGAAATCTGGAACCACCATCTGCTATTTCTGGTGATAATAGAATAGCTAAGCTTTTCAAGCTTTTGTTTTCTCCTATGCAAAAATTGGGTCAATACCGTTCCTTATAGGGCTGTTGAGAAGATTAATTGTGATAATTTATGTGTAGCAACAGCGCCTGGTACAGTAGATGCTCAATTAATTTGTTGTTTCAGTGCAATGAAAGTAAAGACTTGCTAGGAATTCTGTTTCAGAATGTGTCTTGAAGGTTATTTATAATCCAAATTTATAAATGGATTGAAGAGCTCAAGATGCTTTACAAATGTCAAGTGGTATTACTATATTCATGAAATAAGTATCAAAGGATGGTGTGAAGTGGATATTCTCATACCTTGTTTCTTTGTGTGTGTTTGATCAACAGTTGTCTCCCCTGTTTAAAATATTTAGAAAAATTCTATAGCCTTCCTTTATTTTGTCAGTAGTATTTAAATACTATACATTTCATTAAGCATGTGAAAAATTTGAAGATTTCTTTATTTTTGAGAGTATTTTGGATAGTAGCCATCTATTATTGCTTATGCTGTTTTCAATGTTTTTTCAAGGTGCTTCTTTTTTTCCAGTCTGGAGTCATGAGCAGCAGGAAACTAAGACGAGTGGGTTTATCACAAGAGCTATGTGACCGTCTGAACAGACATCAGATTGTTACCTGTCAGGTAAATTTTATTTAATTTTTTTTTAATGAGAAACTTTAAGTACAAATTAATTTTAAGTACACGTATAACTTAATAACTCTTAAATAAACCTGAAATATGAAAACTTAGGTTCATAGAAAAAAAAAGGATAAATGATAGTGCTTCTCCATAGACTAAATTTAAAAATATTTTATTTATTTATTTTTAGCAAGAGGGGAAAGGACAGAGAAGGAAAGGGAGAGAAATGTCTGTGTACGAGAGAAACATCGATTGGTTGCCTTTTGCACGCCCTCAACTGGGGACCCGGCCCACCACCCAGGCATGTGCTCTGACTGGGAATCGAACCAGTGACCTTTTGGTCCATAGGCCGGTGTTCAGTCCATTGAGCCACACCAGCCAGGACTCCATAGATAAATTTTAAATGATAAGCCACTTGGGTTAAACTTCCAAATATGATTTCATTTGTCCAAGTTCAGTATTTTTGCATTTTGTGGGGATGGATGCTCATGGCGTAAGGTGAAGTACACCTGTGACATCTTTGGGATTCTCAAGAAGTTGTACCTACTTAAGAGAAATTTTGTAGTTGTATGAGAACTATGACTCGAGTGAGGGGATGGTGTTCAATGCATAATTCCTCTCAAAAGCAAGAGAAATTAATAGGATTATTTTCCTATTGATGGAGTGAGAAATGTTTAGAGAGGTGTTGCATTTTTAAGCACAATAGTGAAGAAAAGCTCTCAGATTAAATGAGACTTAAGGTTTTAGATTAGGATTTAATCCTTAGACAGACTTTCAGAACATGCTGCAATTTTTAAAAAACTGCCTTGTGTGTTAAAGGTATCTTTGGTTCCTTGGTTAATATATTTAGTAATCTCATGTGCATATTTTGAAACATTCTGAAAAGTATGAAATTTAACATTTCATTCCATAGTCAGTTTTATTCTCTGTCAATTATCCAATACTGCCCCTGAGTATCATGTAGTTAAGGAAGCAGCGCATTTCCGCCTGACACTCTCTGGGCCTCATTTGTGTGCAGACTGTGTCAGGGCCAAGTGCAGTGCTCCGAGACACATGGGCTGGATGCTGCTGTTCTGTGGTGTTGCTTGTGTGCCCTCTGGTACATGCCAGCTCAGTTGGATAATTACAAGATAAAGCTATCATCATCTTGTAGTTAAGGCATACTTTGAGGGGAAAGTACTATAAGAAGCACATAACTCTTTGATCTGCGAGAAATTTCACTTTTGTCTATACATGGACAATAACAGTTGAAATTTTCCTTTTAATTTCAATGTCTTTGTTACACATGTATTTAAAATATTCTCCTTATGACTCTTTAGGACTTTTTATGTCTTTCCCCACTGGAGCTTATGAAGATCACTGGCCTCAGTTATCGAGGCGTCCATGAACTTCTGCGTGTGGTCAGCAGGGCCTGTGCCCCACAGATGCAAACGGTATGTGTATAATTGACACCTGCCATTCTTTACAATCAATATGTATGGCGTATTTCAAGTTAGGTAATAAGAGAACATGGGCAGGAATTCACTTTAGTCTCCACTTACGTTGCCACTTGAGCTGCAATCCAATAATTCATCTTTCTTTTTTGTTTTATATTCACTCTTGTAGCATTCTTTAGATTTGAGTCCTGCCTTAAATTGGCTTAGCCTTAGTTCATTCTTTCAAGAAAGACTTTTTTGTCTGTTTATTTATTCAGTCATTTATTCTTGCAACCAATATTTATTGAGTGCCAGCCGTGAGCCAGGTACTTTGGCAGGTACTGGGGATACTGTAGTGAACAAGATTGGTAACATTCCTGCCCTCCTGTAACTTATACTAATGGGAGAAGTGAGGCATTAAGCAAATATTTATGTAAATATTTAGTTAATTGCAGTAGTGGTAAGTCCTCTTAGGGAAAATTTCAAGGAGTTTTGAAACTTAATTTTGGGAAGGGCTCCCCTAAGGAAGTGACTCTTAGGCTAAAACCTGAAGGATGAATAGGGAGAGATAAGCAAAGGAGTTGCGGAGGGAGGTGAGCGTGGAGGAGGGCTCACAGGCAGGGGGACTAGCAAATTCGAAGGCTCTGTGAAGAGAAGCAGAATTGTGCTTGCATGGCCAGAAAGTCAGGCCGGTGTGAGTGGAACATTGCAGTGAGGAAGAGAGTGTCAGGGGATGAAGTCAGAAAAGTAAGCAGGAGTCAGATACTTAGGGCCTGCAGACAATGTTAAAGATTTTGGACTTTATTCTTGGGGTAACGAGAAGCCATAAAAGGCTGTAATCAAACATGTGATTTTAGAAAAATCAAACATGTGATTTTAGTCTTGAACATGTAGTAGTCTTTTCAACATGTAGTTGAAAAGGAACAAGGAAATATTTGTGAAGAATAGTTAGATATCTATTAATATGTTCCAGACAGAAAGTGATTGTGACATGGATTATTAGTGTGGTATTAATGCAGAAGGTATAATGTCAATTAATATGAGAGACATTTAGGTGGTAGAATGAATAAGATTTGCTGATTGTGGGTGGTGGCGAATACAGGAGGGTGTCAGAGATGAGTCCTTGATTTTTGCTCTGAGAAATTGGGTGGTGCCATTTCCCGAGATAAGGGTTACTGGAAGAGGATCAGGTTCAAGGAAGGCAGATCATGGTTTCAAGTCAGGACTTGTTGAAGTTAAAGTGCTTGTGAAACATTGAGTGGGAATGTGATGTAGGCAGTTGAATACAGGGTAGGACAAAAGTGCATTTACAGTTGTTTGTAAAGTATTGCAATAATTAATAAATAACACACGAACAAACTGTGTTTTATGTACCCGCAACTGTAAACCTGTCTCTGCCCCAGCCTAGTGAGTCTGTATGGACATGGAGCTTGGAGGATAGGTCTGCACTAGAAGTATGCAGTTGGGAGTCATCAGTGTAAGTGATAGTCAAAGCCATGGGAATGGACGAGCAATTGCTTAGAAAATGAGAAGATAGGTATACCCAAGACCAAGTTCTGAGTGAAGCCAACATTTAAAGATGAGCCTAGACAATGATGAATATGAGAGGAAGCAACCACCAAAGTAGAAGAAAAACTGGTGGGATGTCATATCACGATATTACTCTTTGTCTCATTTATGCACATATGGGGTGGGGGGACCCAAAAAACCCCAGAATTATCTTCTGGAGCATGGGCTCCTTGTAGTACAGGCTTCTCCTGATAGGTGAGTGTTCTAGGAACCCACCTGTATCAGTGTACCAGCTGGTGTTGTTATGAGAGGCTGTGTTTGGCTTCAGTGGATTTTTTTTTAAGACTTTTTCAACCCCTTTGCTCATTTCATGATGGGTGATTTACGGGTGCACCTGCCCACACTGTGCTGAGTGTTCAGCAGTTTTTGACCAAAAATATGGCATGACTCCTGTGCCCCACCCTCCCTGTTCCCCTGATCTCACCCTGAACGAAAGGCATCAAAAATCGATGAGTTCAAAAACTGTCCTGGGCAGTGGAAAAAATGTCTCAATAGTATATTGCACCAAATGGAGAGAACTTTGAAGGTGACTGAAGTTTAAACATGTAAGAATAAATATATAATCTTTTATAAATTCATCTTGTTTTGGGGGGTCCCCCCTCACACTATTACTTCTGGAATCTTGCTTTTTTAGTTCATTCTATTCTGTTTTTGAGAGTCACCAAATCGATTATTCTAGTAATTACATTTATAGTTACCATAGTGCCAATGAAGCACTTCAATGCTGACAGATTGGGTGGCCTTTACAGGCTTGATAAAGTGTCCCCATGTCCACCTGTGCTGCCTGATGATGGGTTGTGGACAGTATTCACGTATTTCTAAATCAGATGCAAACCACACTTCTTTGACAGTAGCTTTTAAAATTAGTTTATGTGAATATACTGAATATAGCCTTAAAAAAATCTGGGGTAGTCCATGGTTTAACTAAAATAAGAATTCAATAGGTGAGGTTAGAGAAGACTAGGTACATTTATGGCTCATAAATATTAATATGCTGGTCTTCCTACATCCTCCCAGAGGCAAAAGAGCCTTGTGTTTGAGACATAGATTTATTAAATTGTAAACTTTAAGTGGGAGGAAACTAAGTCTGTTCAGTTTACCATTTTATTTCCAGAGCCAATCATAGTATATGGCAGGCAATAGGCACTCTTAATTTATTGAATGAATGAGTTTTTGTGGTTTCATTTCATTCATAAAATTTCATTTATAAAAATGAAATTTTTAATGGGAGAGATTACAAGAGACAAGTGTTCTTATATATTACCAGTGAGCATATAATCCCATTAATCACACCTGCAGAGATCTTTTTTCAAATGAGAGCTTTCCCAGGTTGCAAGGGTTTGATATGGGTATTTCTCAGCCTGTCACACCCACCTTTGAGCTATTCTTCACCAACCAACCTCAGTGTGAAGTGATAACCCGATCATGTCACTCTTCGTTGCTCTTGGCATAAACTCCAAACTCGAACAAGGCTCTTGATGGTTTGGCCCCTGCTTTCCTCTCTAGCTTCATCGCTTGCCACACCACGGCCACCCTCCGTCTTTGAACAGCTCTAAATGAACTCTTTGTTTTTTTGTAGTTTTGGTTAGTTTCCATTTCCTCCCTTTATTGCTTCTTGACCTTCCTCTGTACATTCTCTCTGGCAGGAACACACACATTTCCTTTGCTTGTCTAACAGCTATTTCAGATTTTAGCTTAGTTAGCTCCTCCTTGGAGTCTTCCTGGATCACAAAATCGAGGTCAGATATACTATCTTTATGTTTCCACTTTCCCTGTCGCAGTATCTCTTATTCCTTGCCTAGTAATTGCCCAGTTTCTAGTCCTAATGGTTGATTGTAAGTGCTGTGAGGGCAGGGGCTCTATCTGCTGAATCACATGCCCGTAATCCAGCTCAGTCCCTGGCAAAGAGTAAATATTTGTTGAATGAGTAAATGATAGAGAATAAAAAGTTGGAATTGGTGTTCTGGCTGCTAAAATTTGAGGTTTAGACTTGGTTTATGTTTTTGAATAGATTTGATGTTAGAAAGAACTAAGTCTTTTTCTTGCTCAGGCCTATGAGATAAAGGCCCGCAGGGCTGCTGCCGCCTCGCCTGCGTTCCTGCCTACGACCCTGCCTGCGCTGGACGAAGCCCTGCACGGCGGCGTGGCTTGCGGGTCCCTCACAGAGGTAATGGAGACGCTTCCCAAACCTCTCTTCCATTACCTTACTTTCAGAGCGAGGGGGAGACGATTAGTTAAAAAAAAAAAAAATTATCTCATGGATGTTAATCTGAATTAATTTACAAGCACCTCAGGGCATGCTTCTCTACTCTGTGTCTAATATAGCTGCTCTGCAAAAAGATGTTAAAAAAATCCTTGTTGACTGACTGCTTTGGTTGCTGTTTGAATTATTGTAGAAAATGATGAATCTTATGGAACAATATTAAACAATTTGGGAGAATTAAAAAAGGATCATTACTTAGTGTATTAGGGAAGAAAATTTGAAATTTTATTAATATTTGAGAAAATTACAGTATTAAACTGAAATTAGCTATTTTTACTTCCTGTTATGGATAGAATTTAGTTCCAGGAAGTGATAGGTATTTGTTATATATTTTTGCATAACAAATTACCTCAAAACTAAGTGGCTTAAAAAAAACCCACACTGGTTTTATTTCTTTAAGAGTGGCTTAGCTTGGTGATACTGGCAAGGAATGCGGTGGTATCTGAAGGCTTGGTGGGGCTGGAGTTATTTCCAAGGGGGTCACTCGTATGACGGGCAAGTTGTGCTGACCGTGGGTGGGAGGTCGCAGGGCCTTCCCCAGTGGGCTCTCCACAGGCTGCTGGAGTTATCTCCTGTCCTGATGGCTGACTTGCAATAGGATGAGTGATCCGAAAGAGGGGAAGATGGAAGTGGCGATACCTTAGATGACTTAACTGTGGAAGTTACACATCACTACTTTTGCCAAATTGTCGTCGCCAGAAGTGAGTTATTAAGTCCAGCCCATGTTCAAGGAGAGAGCAATTAGACTCTACCCTTGGGAAGAAGTATCAAGAAAAAATTCGAGGACATTGAAAAACCACCAGTTTTTTTTCCTTGAAAATGGCATTGGTGGGCTTACTGGTCTTGATGTGGTGAACTGATAGACTGTCTTTACCAACACAGTCCTGAGGGACTTCTCGCCTGAGAGTGCCAGGGGTGTAGATACTTGAAGCAAACCTCCAAACAACAGCAGACTCTTGCATTGATAGTCAAAAATTTAACTGTAAATTCTTCCTTGAAGATCCAAAGCCCTGTTTTAGATACTAAACCTTATCTTATTTCCTTTCTTCCAAGAAAGGTTTAAAAATGTGTGTGTACTATGCCCAGTATTTGCCTGTTGGATGGTAAACAAATGAATAAAGGAATCTAAAAAAAACAAATGAAAAACCTGCTACTGCAGAGTACTGCCACCAGATGGTGCCAGAATGCTGGTTCATATAATCTTTTTGTCATTTAGTTGGACCTTTGCTCAATTAAGTTCTTAATAGTGACCCACAGTTATAAACTTATTTAAAAAACAAAACAAAAAAACCCCAATGGAATGTAAGGCAGATTAGTCAACAACTACTTCTTATTTTTTAAGTTTTAGAGTCATTTTCAATACCTTTTCACTTAGTTTTTAGCAATTTTTTCTGAATCCAAGCAGTAGTTACAAGCCATTTAAGTGTTTTGTCATGATCTACTTGGCCAAATTGGAATGTAAATATGTTTATTAAGGGGAAAATTCCTTGCTTTCTGTTTCAGCTACAGGTAGCCTCTTCAGTCTTCTTAAGATTTTTTCAGCTGATTACAGGGAGTATTCTATTTACTTTTTATTAAAAAACAAAATTTTAGTATTTATTTTATGGTTACAGAATTAAGTATATCCTGTGTTTGTAAGTCGTGGACTCCTATGAGTCCAGGACCCAGTGTAAGGACCAGAACAGGACCAAAATCATTGAAACTAGCTGTGGACTCCCCATTGACCCATTGACCCTATCTTTGGCTTTCTGTTGGGAGGTAATATCCACCCTGAATTTCTACCATTTCTCTACTTTTTCCCTTGTAGTTTCTTATGCCTGTAGTTTTCCTTTTCCACCTATATACATAAGAGGTATTTTATTTAGTTTTGCTTATTTTTAGTTCTGTTAAATCATGTATCTGTGGTTAAATCATATCATAGTTCTTCTATCTGCTTCTTTCACTCAGTATTGTTTTCTAAGATTTATCCATGTTGTTGCAGTTAACAAGAGTATAATTCATTGCTGTATCATATTCTATTTTGAAAATAGGCTACAATTCATTTATCCTTTCTCTTATGAATGAATATGTGGGTTGCTTCTGGTTTGCTACTAGTGTAAACCATTTTTGTGAAACTGCTGCACATGTCTCCTGGGTCATACCTACAGGTATTTCTTTAAGGCCAGGATTGGCAACATACTTACTGCCCAGTGGTCAAATTTGGCTCACTGCCTGTTTTTACAAATAAAGTTTTACTGAAACACAGCTATGCTCATTTGTTTACATTTTGTCTGTGGATACAAGGCAGAGTCCAGTCAGCTGTGACACGGACCTCACGGTCTACAAAGCCTAAAATACTACTCTCTGGCCCCCATCTAGGGCACCCACTTTGGAGTGATTTGCTGGGTATAGGTTGTGTGCATGTGGAACTTCACAGATCCAGGGTGAATTGTTTTCCAGAGTGGTTATTCCTGTGTACAGTCCTATAAGTGATATGTGCGGATTCCTCTTGCTCCGTATTTTCTTGCCTTGGTATTATCAGACTTCTTAATTTCTGCCCATCTTTGGGATCTTAGTTTTCATTTTCCTGACTACTAATGAGCCTAAATATCTTTTCATAAATCATTTGGCTATTTAAAAATAATTTTATTAAGGTTCAATTTAACACTATAAAATTCAGCCATTGTTAACTATATAAATCAGTTAGATTTATATTAAATCATCACCATAACCCAGTTTTAGAACATTTCAATCATCCTAAAATGTTCGCTTATGCCCTTTTGTGGTTAATCTCTGCTTCCATCCTTATCCCCAGGCACCCACACTGATCAGCTTTCTGTCTTAACAAATTTCCCTTTTCTAAACATCTCATATCAATTGATTCATGTAATATGTAGCCTTTTGTGTTTGGTTTCTTTCACATAGCATGATGTGTTTGAGGTTCATCACTGCCACTGCATGCGCAGGAAGTTTTCTCCTTTTAAGTGCTGAGCAGTGTTCTGCTGTGCGGCTCTGGCACATTTTGTGCGCCCACTCAGCAGTCGGCCGACACCTGGGCTGTTCTCATTTTTGTCTGTCGGGGATGCTGCTGCTGTGAACATTCACAGACATATCTGTGCGAAGATAGGCTTTTGTTTCTCTTGCGTAGATTCCTAGGAATACAATGGCTAGATCATATGATAGGTGTGTGTTTAATATTTAAGAAAGTGCCAGACTGCTTTCTAAACTGGCTGTAACATTTTACATTCTCACCAGCAATGCACCATGGTTTGTTTCTACACATCTTCACCAAGATTTAGTGTAATCTTTCTTTTTTAATTCTCACCCGAGGATGTATTTATTGATTTTCTTTTCTTTTTTTTTAAGAAAGAAAGAGGGAGAGAAACATTGATGAGAGAGAGAAACATATTGATGGGTTGCCTCTAGGGCACTCCCCAACTGGGGATTGAACCCACAACCTAGGTGTGTGCCCTGACTGAGAATCAAACCCACAACCTTTTGGTGTGCTGGACTGTGCTTCAACCAGCTGGGCCGCCCAGCCAGGGTTTCAGTGTAACCTTTTTGATTTCAGCTATTCTAGGGGCTGCATAGTTGTATTTCATTGAGGTTTTAATTTGCATTTTCCTGATGACTAATGGTATTGAACATCTGTTCATGTACTTATTGGCCGTTTGCATATTTTGTTTAGTGAAATATCTATTCAAATCTTTTGCCTGTGTTTTAATTGGTTGTTTGTTTTGTTGTTTTTGAGTTATAAAAGTTTTTTATATATTCTGGATATACAAAATTCTTTCTCAGCTATATGATTTATAATTATTTTCTTTCAATCTTGGGCTTGTCTCTTCATTTTCTTAATGGTAGCTTTTGACCTTTAAAATTTTGGTGTTACTCAATCTATCAGGTCAGGCGGTTAAAATAGTCCATTAAATTGTCAAGATAAGTTTACTTATAGTTCTATTATTTTTTTTAAATTATTTATTTATTTTTTAGAGAGAGGGGAAGGGAGGGAGAAAAAGAAGGAGAGAAACATTGATGTGTGAGAGACATCTGGTTGCCTCTCACATGCCCCGAATTGGGGACCTGGCCTGCAACCCAGGCATGTGCCCTGACTGGGAATTGAACCAGCAACCATTTGGTTCACTGGCCGGCACTCAATCCACAGAGCCACACCAGCCAGGGCTCTTTTTTAGCACTTCTATAGTGTTTTTTCACTATTAATGCTTCTGTTCCTGCTGCCTCTCTTACACTTTATCTTTTTATCTTGGAATAACCTAAACTTCACGAACTTTCACTATTATTGCTATTCCAGAGTATTTACTTACAGTGTTATTTTCATTTGTATGCCATTTGTTTCTTCAAATTATCAAACTATTCCATAGTACATTTAAGTAATATGATTTTTCTACTTAATTGATATTTTAATTAATGAACATCAGTGATTCTTTTACTTTAGAGGTTTTTTCTTATATGTTTTTAAAGTTGTATATCTCTGATGTCTATATATCTACATATTTATATGTTTTTTTTTATATGCTGCTGTTTAACAAATCATTTCAAAGCTTAGTGCGTAAAAACAGCAGTGAATATTTATCTCACAGTTCTGTGAGTCAGGAATTCAGGAGTGGCTTAGCTAGGTGTTTCTGGTCATGACTTCTCAGGAAATTTCTGTCAAGATGCCGGCTGAGGCGCAGTCACCTGACGACTTGACTGGAGCCGGGGCAGGTGCTGTCGAGGTGGCCGACTGACACGGCTGGTCCTGACTGCCAGCAGTTACTGGCCACAGGGACCTTGTCACACGTCTGCTTGAGTGTCTTCCTGACACGGCAGCTGACGTTCCCTAGAGTAAGTGATGTAAGAGAACAAAGAAGAAATGGCACGTCTTTTGTGGCTTAGCCTTGAAGTTATATGCCATCACTTCTGTGTTC